AGAGTAGCGGTCGTTGTTGAGACGCGACCTTTGCGAGGGCCAGGCTTCTGTTTTCGGCTACTGTATGTACACTGCATACCATTCCTTATGCAAAACGAACATGATGGCCTGTCCAAATTGCCTAATGATATGTGAGACACCAATTCGGTCCGTCCGCAATTGATCCGCTATGACCGAATCCTTCGGACTGCTTACATTTTCTTCGCCTTCTGCAGGAGAGACAAATAGAATGAGGTTCGCGATCTTGTTGGCAGGCTCGGGGCAACTTACCTTTGACAGATGTCACATACACGATATGGAGCAGTTTCAGTGTCCAATGCCCCAGTAGAACTGGGTGACCTGCTATCAGTCATTGTAAGATCAGTAATGGCGGGTGCGAGCAAGGGTCTGGTTGTGAACGGTTCAGGTATTATAAGCAATCCAAAAGGCTGATCTATTCAACAATTCAACCTGATGCAAATGGTCAAAGCGAGTATGGTGAATGAGTGTAGGAGCTGTGAAAACACGAAGAAGCAACACTATGGGGCGATAAGGGTAGAAGAGGGTCCATTATATAGTCCCTCTGAAACCGGGTCTTCGGCACTCGGAATGTTCGAACTAACAGGGCTCGGGCGGGGAAACAATGATGCGGATATGATAGACTGACTTCACGTAGAAAAAAAAAGGAGCCCGGGATTAATCAGTATATAATGTTATGATAATTTTAATTTTAATCTAATACTTAATCATTTGCCTATTTATTTAATTTAAATCATATCTCCTTTTATTATAATGTTTATGTATATATTCAATTATTCCTTAATCAATTTCTTAACATTATAATCTACTAACGTGGTTTATCACCGGGTCGTCAATGTTACTAGATCGCTATTTTTTATACTATTCAATTACTTTAAATCTATATTATTCAATAACAATTAAATCAATTAATTGAAATTATTAAAAATCTAATAATCTAAAATCTATTCTATTATTTTAACAAATTTTTATATTATATTTTATCTTTCTGTATTTATTATAATATCAAATAAAAAATACTTTCTTATTAAAATCCTCCTTTTTTTGATGTTTATTATATTAAATTTGAATATCAATCTTTTATTGAAATAATATATCAAGAGTCTTTTATTTAATAAGTATATTTTTTGAATAAAATTAAGTTTTTTTATATATCGATATTTATTTAATACCTTATTTACTACCCAAAGTATACAATTTTTTATATTCAAAAGTGTATTCTTATAAGCTAATTTCTTTATATCTTTAGTTAGAACTAATATAATTTCAAATATAAATATAAAGAAATTTAATTAATAATAAATTATTCAAGATTTGATTAATATTAATTAAAAAAGAATTTTGATTGAATTATAAAAGATTTGAGAAATCCATTAATCTAAATTGAAAAAAAAGGGAATAGATATATAAATTCGAATATCTAATTTCAAAAAAATAGTTTTAGAATTAAATAATATTAAACCTACTCCTTAAAACCCTAATTTTATATTTTAAAAAATAATTGATTTTTAATATACAATTTTGAAAGTTATAAAGAATTCAATCTTCAAAATATAATTAATATATATTTTAATAATTTATTAATTTGAATATTATATAAATATTTTAGATTACTAAAATAATCAATATTAAATAATTAAATTAAATAACTTGAATACAATAATAAATATATATATATAATATTATTCTTTTTATAATATAATTAAAAAACTATAAATTCATAGCTTTCATATTTATCTAATACTAATATTTAATATTTACTCTTTTTTCGATTTAGAATATATTTATTAAAATATTTTAATTATTTTAAATCTGTTTTATTATTTATTCATCTATTAGAAATAAATTTAATAATCTAATTCATAAAAAAATCGATTTTGATATACTAATTAGAAAAATAAACCTATTCTTGAATTATTAAAAATAAGAATATAATTTCATCTTTTCGATTATTATATATAATCATTATAATCTATTCTCTATTATCTAATTATATTATCTTACTTTTATTATTTCATTTAATATTAATAATAATTATATTAATATATATAATCCCTATTATAAAGCTTATTTTATCAAAATTATAGAAATTACTATTAAGAATACTATATTTCATTCATATATTCAAAACCAATCAAAATTACTTTTCAATAAACTTAAAATCTTCATAAAAAACTCTTTGAAAATCATAAATATAATTAAAATATATCTTTAATTTTAAATAATACTTTACAAATCGATATACCCAAAACTTTTTAATATACTTTGTATCCCTTAATTTAAAAATATAATTTATTATATTTTTTATATTTTTAAATTTAAATAGAAATCCTTTTATATTTATATCAAATATATATTCAATAATTACTTTCTTTTCTATTTTTATAAAATTAAAATAATTTATTTGAATTTCTATTTGATTACTTCAATTATTGATTTTATTATATAATATAAATCGAAATATTATATAGATTTCTATAGTTTTAATAATTAATAGATTTTTAGATTTACAAATAACTTTAATAACTAAAATAATTTGAGTTTTTTTTAATAATATTTCTATAATAATTTATTGGAATATTGTATATTGAAATTAAAATAATTGAATAATATAAAAAATAGTGATTTAATAATATTAGCGATCCGGTGATTAACTACGTTATTAGAAATATATATAGAAACAGAAGTAGAATCTGAAACCAATTATATCAAAATTATTGAATAAAGAAAAAGAAAAGGAAATATATTTTCTATTATTAATTTATACTTGATTTTATATATCACTTTTAATTTATATTTATAATTAATATAAATGATTTTATAGATATTTGAATAAAACTTCTATTATTCAATAATAGTATAAATCCATAATATATTCAAAAAATCTAAAAACTTTTTATTTATAAATAATTCAATTCTAAAACTGAAATTATTTAAGTTTTTTTTAATCGACTTTTCGATTATTAATATAATATATCTATAATATAATAATTTATTTCTAATAATAAGGTATATACTTAATTATTAAATATATTACTGAAAATGGAAGTTTAATAAATATAATATAATTTCATTATATTTATAAATATAAATCTTCAAAATATATTATATACTTTTTAGCAAATCAAAAGGATTTCTTAGGATATTATAAATCAATTAGTAATAGCTAATATTATATAAGAAAATATAAAAGGAAAAAGCAATAAGAGAGTTTAAGAAAGAAATAGAAAATATTATAGAAATAAAAGAAAATATATATTTAAAAAAGATTATATAACTTTATTGAATTTTAGTAAAATTACTAAAACTGAATTTCATATTTATAAATTCTGTAGGAAAAAAGAATATTAGCAAAATATTTATTGAAAATATAATAAGATTAAAGAAGCCTTATATTTAAATAAAAAGATTAATAATAATAATTTTGCTTAAATAATCATAATAAATGAATATATTAACTTTCTTTATTCTCATATTGTGATATATATTGAAATTCAAAATAATATATGAATTCTTGATTTAAAAGCTTCTTATTACTTTACTAATTCTATTAAAAATCTTATTAATATTATATATTAAAATATATTATAAAAAGTTAAAATAGTGAATTATATATATATTATTAATAGTGTATATAAAATAATTATTATAAACAATCTTATATTAAGAGATATTTAGTATATTAAAGATTTTCGAAATAATTAATTTATTTTAATTGAAATACTTATTAAAACATATTAAAAAGTTATCTTTAAAAGAAATTCAATATCATATTAAAAGAATAATTAATTAGAAATAATTATAAAACATATCAATAGTAGTAAAGCTTATAACTTCTATTGGTTTCAGTCACGTAATGATATATATATATATTAGAATTATTCAAAATTTCTATCTATATAGTATACTCTATACTATATAATATAATAATAAAGCTTTCGATTAAAGAAAAAGTTGAAAGGAAGTAGTAATGAGAAAGAAGATCTTCTTTTTTTTAAGTTTTCGATTAAAGCTTTTTATTTATTATTGGTTCGAGTAGGATACGGAAGACGTAGTACCCACGTATTCGTAGGTCCTGTATGTCTAATTGTATTCTATCTAAAGAGCTAGCTATGTAGGAAAGTAGTAGGCCTTATATAGGTACTACTGAAAGAGCTAGTCTCTTTCGCATTCGCTTAATCCCTTTGATACAGTAGCCATTATATTGAAGTCATTCCTTTGAAGTGAATATTCTTGTTCATACATTTATCCTTTAGTTTTATATTTGCTTTTCTTTTTCTATTAGTTTTTATATTTATTTATCTTTTTCTTTCTCTTTCTCTAACTCTTATACTTATTCTTTTTCATTTGTTTTCTTTTCTATTCTAATATTCGAAGATCTTTAAATCCCTAAGACTTTTAAGGTTCTTATTTTCTTTCCTTTTATTAAAATTCAAAAATAAATAGGTTGCAAAAAGTGCTGATTCAATTTGTTATTAATGAATAAAGTATTTTATTATTAACGAATATATTATTAATTTGTAATATATATATATAAAATTTGTATGGGAATTTATATTGAATTTCTCTTCGTCTCGAATATTGATTCTGCCACCACAGGGTATTCCTTTTTATCTATATGAAAGTAAGGCCGACTCCTTTCAAGAAAAGAGAGATGAAAATGATTAATATGCATGGCCTGGTAGTATGTTTCTCGGGTTTCGGGTCCAATCAGATCTCTTATTCAAAGTGACGAATGAATAATTTGCATCGTTCCATCTTGGTATGTGCGATGACTTCTGCTGTTATATGTATTTCTTCATTCCTTTCTACTCGTCGTTTTTCCTACCCATACTACTCACCCGTCATCACGCATCATTCAAAGTGTTACCCTCTCACTCGTCTCAACTCATTATTCTAAATTTTTCACTTCTCCCGAAACTCATACTTGCCACCAATTCCAGTTCGACCCGGACATGCAAAATCACACCTGCAGATACCTCATGGCCTTCCTCCGCCGATTGACAGCACTTAACACATCTATCTCCGGAACCCTCATCAAGACTCTTCCGCCGGCCTCTTCTTGCTACACTGGAAACCCTTTTGACTCAACTCAAAATTGTTCTTCAGTCCAAAATAATTGGGCTCTGGCCTCATCGCAAGCCAATACACCAGAAGGGATCGATTATCCTATCTATGCCAATAACTCCTGGCTTCCTACCGATGTACCGAGGTATCAAGCTGGTAAAGACTGTGAGATAGGTGGTCCTCCGATTTATGTTGTCAATGCCACTACCGAGGATCAAATTGCTACAGCGATGGAATGGGCTACGGAAAGCAGTGTAGACAGTAGTATACTATAGTGAAACTGTGATGCATATTAGCATATTGATATTACAACTAGTACGTTTAGAAAGGAGATTATACTACTCTTATAAATATTTATATATATAAAGAATATTAGCAATATACTGAAATACAGGAATTCATTATAATATTTTCATTACTATCTAAATTAAACAATAAAACTCCATTCCTTATTTCAATCTAATCTAAATAAAAATGAAAATATTATAATGAATTCCGGTATTTTAATATATTATTAGTAGAATTGAATAAACAAATAATATTGAATATCTTTAGTGATATTAAATTCTTTATTATATACATATATATTTCAAAAATATATATATATATATATATTATTAAACTAACCTGTATATGGATTATGGGAGATACTATTGTCTATACTGATGGAAAGAGATATTCGAATTATAATCAAAGAAACTGGCCACGATCTAAATGGAAGGTCTGATTCTCCCATCTCCCGATTTATCCAATGTTACAAGAAAGTAAACAGCAAGTAAAAAATAAAGACAATATCTAACCTTTATTTAAACTTGCAGATCAAGCGGCGCCAACTCCCTCTCAATATGGACCCACGACTTCCTCAAACGGGAATTTAATACTTCTTGGACCATACCCGGCTCCAATTCTACAGCAGACGTCCTGATTGCCGGGAGTTGAAACAATCTAGAACTTATTTACACAGTCGCCTATGAGGCTGGAAAGTCGATCGGAGGAGGTGATGCCATAACTGTCGGCCCAGGATGATATCTCCAATGAGGTGGCCACGGCCCTCTCTCAAGCCAATACGGACTTGGTGCCGATCAAATCCACCAAGCTACTGTTATTACAGCCTCGGGCGAAATTTTGACGGCGAACGCGGACCAGAATCCTGACCTTCTCTGGGCCACCCGAGGAGGCGGTCCTGGTACATGTGGCGTCGTGACTGAATTCGTTCTACAAGCATATCCTGCAATCTCTTCTTTTGTAGCTGTAAATCTCGAGGTGATTCCTCTCGGCTCTGAAAACGATACTACCACTACAACAGTGTAGGCAATAGTATTTCCCGTATTTCGTATATAGGCTAGTTTAGTAATGCATATCGATTTTTTCGAAATATATATATATATAATATTGAATTCAATACTACTAAAGATGTTCAATATTATTTAAACTTTCGATATTATTAGTAATATACTGAAATATTGGAATTTAATGTAAAATATATATTCCTATTTATGTTAGATTATAAAATACTATCTTTTATTCCAAATCGAGTTAAGATCCCTTATTTCTAGTCTAATTTGGTATAGAATGGATAGTTTATATTGGATCCCAGTATTTCAGTATATTACTAGTATTCTTTAGATATATACAAGAGTAATATAACCTCCTTTCTAAATATACTAACTGTAATATCAATATACTAATACGCACCACAGTTTTATTGTAGTATACTATTGCCTACACTGCACTGCAATAGCAGCTTGGAATGCTCTGGCAATCTTATTCCAAAGTATCCCAGACCTAATGGACACTGGTATCGCAGGCGCAATGACTGCCGCTACTGGCTGTTCAGCGAGAGCTCTTTCCGGCTTAAGATCCGCACCCCCTGGTGTTTACTTCTCACAAGCATTCTACGGATACAAAATCAGTACCCCTGAAATGGCCACTGTCATCTTCCCTTTAATTGAGAAAATGAAGGATATTTCTGATGGATCACTCTCTCTTAATTACACAGTCACAGATGTATACCCTACTTATCTCGACATTTTCTATGCTGGTGACCCTGGCGAAGATCCAGCTGGACAAGTTCCTCTTCTTTCTACTCATTTACTTGGGCGCGCGCAACTCTCTGATGTCTCAATGGAAAAAGTAGCTGCATATCTACAACGCGCGCTAGCAAGCCAGGGTGGGGGGTGGATCTCACATGATAATTGGCTTACAAGTAGGACCTGGCCCGGCTAATGTTCCGAAAGAAATGCGTGGTTCGCTGAACCCGATTTGGAGAGAGATATATTTACATGTTATCATATTCGGTGCAACGATGAATGACACTTTGACACCCAAGAATCGCTTTCTCAGGCGGCAGAATGGATGGAACAGAATACTGAAGCGTTATGGAGACAATGGGCACCGGATATGGGTGCATATATCAATGAGGGTAATCCTTTTAACACTGAGTGAAAACACGATTTTTTGGCACAAACTACGATCAATTGGCGGAACTTAAGAAGAAGTATGATCCTACTGGGAGTTCGTATATATTGGCGGGTGTAAGTAGTGATGAGTGGGATGATGATCTTGATCCTGGGAAATTGTGTTGGGTTTGAGTTGTGAAAATCTATAATAAGTTCACTAAATCACTTATTAATATCTTACTAATTAAGAGATATCTTGATAACCAATATATGTATAATATGACTTTATATTATAAAACTATATTATCATATAGTTATATAATAATATCCCTTATCAAATTAATTTATAATGGAATAGAATGGAATGGAATCAAATGGAAGCATATAAAAGATTATTATTAAATTGATTAGATTTGATTGGTTGTAATTTCTTTTGATTATATGAATTGATTCTATAAGATTCGGTTTAAATTAATCTTATTTAAAAGCATAGAAAATACTAGAATCTCATTATAAACTATATAAACCTAGAATATTCTTTAAAGAAAATCTAGAAAAAGTAAGCAATTTCATCTTAAATAAGCCTAGCTCTTATAAATTAACTTCAATTCAACTCTTATATAAATATTTGATTCGTCCCTAAAGCCTAAACTGACTAGATCTTCTACTATTATTATAATAATAATTATTCTTATTATTATTATAAAACGTTACCTCTAAGAGTCTTAGTATTAAAACCTACGAAAACAGTACTAAAGGGATAATAGAATTGAAGGGTAACTAAAGATAATAATAACCGAATAAATAAATAGTAATTAAAAGATAGATATCTATTTTTTGTTGATATTTATTCTATAGTAGGTATAGGATATATAGTGATTATAGATTAGCTAGTAAATATAGATTAGATAAGCAATAGCTTTATTAGATTATAAGAATAAAAATTATATAAAGAAAAGTCGATTTGAATCGATTCAATTAAAGTATAAAGATTTATATAAAGAAATGGATTTCATTATAATATAAAGCTTAATACTTAAGATAATCATTAGTTTTATATTATAATTATAATCTTATTAAATTTCTATTTGAAATCTAATCTAAACTATTTCAAAAGATTTCTAGACATTTTCATATAATTCTAAAGGCAGCTCCTATAATAATACTATTTTCTTATTTACTCTAAATACAAAGTATAGATATAGCTTCTCTTATTCTAGAGAAAGATAAAACGAGATATATTTGAAATAAAGAGAAACTCAAAATAAATCCCCATACAAATTTTTATTTAATATATTATAATACTAATAGTTTATTCGTTATTAATAATATTATTACTTTATTAATAATAGATTTAATCAAATTCTTTTATAATCTATTCATTATTAAGTTTTTTTAAAAGAAAAGAGAAAAAAGTTTCTGAAAAATCTTAAAGATTTTGAATAGAATTATAGAAAGGGTAAATAGAAAGATATATATATGAGAATTAAAAGAATAAAAGAAATAAGTATAGAAACTACGAGGAAAAGAAGTACGAGTATAGAAGCTATAAGATAGATATAAGATATTAGTTGAAAATATAAAAAGAGAATTATTCATTTTACATTTGATTTAATTTTTAATTAGAAATCTTATTATTATATTATAGAATATAGAATATATTAAATAAATAGGGTTAGGATTAGATTCTAATATAAATAGATTTTTCTATCTAAAAGTATTTATTTCAGATAAAATCTTTTAACGTAGTTTATTAGTGCGTGAACTATATCAATACGTGTATCATTTCAAAATATATCAAAATTAGGCCTTTTTTAATATTCTTATTTTAATAACTAATTATTATTTTAGAAAAAAAAAGAATATTAAATAATTATATAAGAATGGATTCTTAGAAATCTAGTTTTTATATAAATATTCCTATTAAATTTTAGAAAAAGTGAAAATTGTTACGATTTTCACTATAAAATAATTATTTCTATAATAACTACTTTATAAATTAAGTTTTTCTTATAATTAATTAGATTTTTATAATTTATATATAATTAAGTATTTTATGTTAAATTTTCAGAAATTTTAATTTATAATTAAAGAAAGTGCACGGTTATATACAGACGAATTTTGTATATAAAATAAGTAGTGCACGTACTGATATGGTGCACGCACTGATAAACTACGTTAGACAATTTTCGAAATTTTCGAATTAATCAGAGTTTATTACGTGATTGGAATCAATAGAGCACCAGGGGGTGCACGGACTCACGGGACAATGTGACAGGAAAGTACAATTTCATACCAAAATAAGTAATTTTGATAATTTCATTAAAATTTAATTTATTATAAAACTCTTTTGAAATTGAAATATATTGTTTTTTAAGTATAAAAAAATAATTGATTTAAAATTAATTTAAATAAATTGAGATTTGAACTCAAAAAATAAATAATATATTTTCTTATCAAATTTTTTAATAAGAAATTGTATATTTTTTTATAAAAATATCAATATTAGATTTTTCAATTCTGTTTTGAGATTATATATAATAATTATACTTTAGATTTATATTTCTGATTTTCAAATAAATTTATAGAAATTTTAAATCTTAATTGAATTATCAAAACAGCTCTTTTTGGTGTGAAATTATGCTTTCCCTCTTCAGTGTCCCGTGAGTCCGTGCACCCACTGGTGGAGGTTGTGAGCTTTACTACTACGCCACGCACGCAATCTATTCAAAAGATACAGTATCAGGGATCGGTTCCTGATCGCTTACTACTATATATATACCTATAATAGAATTTTATTAATTAGAATAAGTTTTATAAAATGCAAAGATTTAAATCAATCTTATAAATACTTTAAAAAGGATTCTTTGAAAACACAATCAAGATATAAAGATTTTATTGTAATTAATGAAGGGGTCATTTTGTTAGCCATAGATTCTACTATCAAAGGGTGTATAATCTGGATGTATCAGAACGTCACTTTTCTCAGAGAAGCCACGAGTCACCTTCGTTAATGCATGAAATTTACCTTTCAAAGTTATAAACTGATGTTCTCGGGACCGAAATATCAGATTTGCTGCGCGATAATTCACAAAGCGCGACCGGCATTCGGGATTGAATAATGAACAGGAGCTGAAATGCGGAGAGCAACCGCCTGATTTGACCGAGTCTTTGAGTTTTAGTGTGTTCGGATTGGCTAATGAGATCAGGTGAATAATGAAACCACGAAGATATTAACAATATGTAACTCTATACCTGAAGGCTGACCAAAATTTATGAATCTTTTGTCCCAGAATTGTATTTCACCTCCGTAACATCAGTCACATCAAGGAATTGTCAAGCTTTTCTCTAAGCGGTCGTCTATGCAGATACCAATAATCAAGCGTAAATCTTACTTATACAAGATCTAGAGGAGCTTGAGACCCCAATAACGGTCCAATGATGGTATCTTATCTCGAGATACCCGTATTTCGTGGTCTGACAGATCCTCTCAAGTGCAATAATTCATTCTCTTGGTCGAGTCTAGCAAGAAGAATCGAATTATCTATATAATGTATGCAGAATGTACATTTATTCTTGGAAACTTCTCGCCTTCTTTCCATTTACAAAATTTCAGCGAGGTTCAAGCAGAAACTTCTCTCGATCATGAAGCTCCTACACCAGGTCGTAGCTATGCTACCACTTGCTGCGGCAAGCATAGCTTCGACGTTCAGTTGCTCTATTCCAAATTTCCAGTCGTTTTTGGCTGCTAGTGAAACTGCTGGACAAGTATCATCTACAGTAGCTTACTTTAACGATTCCACATTTATTCTACCGAGTTTCAGCCGCCAAGTCCCAACTGGCATGCCTGCAAACTGTGCCGTTCATCTAAACATCACCACTGAAGTCAATACTCATTTCAGTTTCATTTTGATGTTACCTACCAAGTGGAACAGTAGATTCTTTGGAGCTGCCCAAAGTTGTCAGGGAATCAATACATCGATGTGGTAAGTTAATCTTGAGTCGTTCTTTCATACCTCGCTCTTCCTTTCTTCCAATTACTGGTGCATTCTAATAAATATTAGGCCACTGTTATAAGATATGGCTTTACAGCTGTAGGAGCTGATACTGGTCACCTTGACTCTGATATGAGTACTGTTCATGGGCTGAGAACCTTGAGTCTATCACCAACTGGGCATGGCGGGCAAACCATGAGATGATCGTGATTGGTAAGATGCTCACAGAAAAGTGGTATGGAAGTGCTTCCTTGTACAGCTACTACACCGGATGCTCAACAGAAGGTTGCTAATCTCTAAAGGAATTGGAAATGTTACAAGAAGATTATGACGGAGTTGCTGCTGGGTCGACGTCAATCAAACCTACGTTTTCAGTCATATCCTCTACAGGAGTGAAGAGACCTGGGCCAGTGGGGATATAGGAGATAGTAGCGCATCAAATTCCGCGAATCAATTGTGGTACATGCAAAACATTTTAGGACATACCAACTTTGCCGCCACCGATCTGTCTTACGAGACCGTCGAGTACGCCGATGCTACGAATTCTGGAAACTCATCAGCCAACAACTTCAATCTTCCGCCCTTCTATAATCGTGGTGGACAAATACTCAATTATCAAGGATTGGCTGACGGAACTGTTGCTCCTGGTGCCAATATGTATTTCCACGATCATGTTACAAGAACTTTGGCCCCGATGGGTATAGAAGTTGATGATTTCTACCGATTATTCTTAGTGCCTGGTCTGGTGTAGGTTTCTCCCCATTTCTACGTATTTTACTTGCAAGATACTTTTCTCCCACTTACAGACATTGCACTGGAATTCTTTCTACAATGAATGCTGGTACTTTGCATGCTCCAATCAGGCGGCTACATTGATTACCTCAGCCCACAGTACACCCGGCTATCCTGGTCCCCGCCATGATGTTCTTCTTGCTCTTATGACATGAGTTGAGAATGGTACTGCACCTTATAGTATCATCGCAACTAAGTTCAATGATGATTTGACGGTTGCAAACCAGCGTCCTATATTGGATTCCCCAACCAGGCAAAATACGATGGAACTGGCAATGTAGAGAGTTGTTCTTGTGAGTCGTTGTATTAAATGAGAAGATAAGCCAAATACAAGGTGGATTGTGAGTGAAAATTTTGAGCTTAATGAAGATATCGTGTGGCATGTGGGAAGTCATGCGGAAAGGATGTCGATTTTTTTTTTTTTTTTGAGAATATATAGAACAAAAATTGAGCTACATTTTTAATGCTCACTTTGACATACTTTGTAATGGCGAAAATTCAACATAAATGATGTGAACTGATCTCTCGACAAAGTATACGTGTTTCATCTTGGAATGTAAATAGTGGGGAAGTTACAGGGAAGCATTTAAATCATCATGGCCTCGACTAGAAATATTGACAAGGGAAGCCGAATAGGTATTGAAGGAAAAGAGAGTAGATAGACTTGAACTGAAGGGAACGGTCAGAAATGAGGCAGAAAAAAGATAAGAAATTAGAAGCTAGCTGCGGCAGAGAAATAGCGCTGAATCTAAATGGAGCCATAGAATGCTATGAAAGTTAAAGTAGTGAAGAAATACTCGAAAAGGTGAAGGTACGAAGCAAGACTGTAAGAACGGGGAATTGAAATGAATGGAAAATGATCTTTGGGACGATCGAAGAAGGCACTGTAGGGAATTAATTATCAGGTTGAACGACCCAACAATACTAGGTAGTTTTGACAGGAAAGGAAGCCGTCGGAACTAGTGTCACCAATATTCGATCTCTGTTACATCAAGAATAGTGATCAGATCTTAAGTTTGCCAAATAAACTGGAGTGCATGGGAAATTCCAGGTCCCATGTGATCTTGAATGAATTCCCTGCTAGGTAACGGTATCGTATCCTCTAATTTCCGTTTTGGTTTACTAAACCCAACGGTCTGTTTGCATTAAAATCCAAGTGACAGCGGGTGCTCCCCCGCATACACTATATACCGGTACCTTGAGTCCCTTTCTCGCCTTTTCCCAGTCAAGAGGTCCGTGGTACAATTGTTCTGGATCGTTCTGATCTCAACGAACGATTCGGTACAAGGTGCAAGGATCCCGGTGATATTATAAAATATAAAATGTACAGAGCCTGTGGCCGATTGATATAGTCTATTACACATCAAAAAAGATTTCCGGAAGACTGATTTTTCTACAAGACTAAGATTTTCTTGGTTCATCTTCGTCCTCAATTTACACGCCGAGGTCATCCTTGTTGTTTTGCTCATTTACTTACGCTGAAGAAGTTTCCTTTTGAAAGAAAGATAGAATCAAATGACATCTTAAAGCTTCTTCTCCGCAGGCGGCACGTTTATCGCAAATTGGGGGGCAATTGGGGTGGATATACCTAAGCTGAAGAAGTATCGGAAGTAGACTACCGAACCAGGGGTTGCCATCCGCTTGGAGATGTCAGGGGCAAAACATGCTAAGATTCGGAACTAGCAAGGCTTGACTTTCCAAGCTTAACAATCTGCAAAGTTCTAATCAACAATTCCCTCATTTCGATATCCACTTTCTCCGTCTCTTCAAACTCCTAATAGAATGACTTCGGCTTTAATTATCGATAAAATGCCAGAATGATGTGAAAGTTCCCTACTTTCTGGTCTACGCGATCGGTCAACAGGGAATAAATAATCTATAGCTGTGAGATATAAGATTCCGCATATGAGTCCGGCAAACGATCCAAGTATGGAATTCAAATTATAGAGTGCGTAGAGAGTTCTCAAGCTCCTTATCATTTCTGCTGCCATATAATTTTTGTAAGATGGATATTTAAACGCTAGCGACGATATCCTATTGAAGCTCACCGCCGAAAGTGGGACTGGGTAAATGCAATAAGATCGCAACCCAAGATCTCAAATTATTATGATCGCAACACTCATTCCTTGTTCAACCTCCACTACTTTCTGTACCAATCTGTTTTCCTTCTGCATGTATTTGTTCTGTGTTCGTGCAAGATCATTTAATTTCCGCGCTACAGACTCACAAGGAATCTTCACATCTAGTCATCGGCATCTGATCACTTCTCAAGTATCTCAGGATGTTGTTCAGACCAATCGCACTTTGTTTCGGGGCTGCAGCGGCCTTAAAGACCCCAGGGTATAGAAACTCCAGTACAGCTCTGACTACCATCAATTATGGTGCATTTGTGCCAACCGCAACTTACTCTGTCGCCCAACAACTAGGTTTTTTTGCGGCTTATGATTTGGATGTCGTTTACACTCAGGTTCCTAACTCTACATATGCTTATGCACAGACTCTCATCGGCGCTTTCGATATCCTGACCGGAACCATCGACAATGCCGTTAACTTGCGTTTGAACTCAGGCGAAGAACTTACAGTTCTAGGTCAATTAGACGAAGGTCCTGACTTGGTTCTTGCTTCCGTTCCAAATATCACATCTGTGAAAGATTTAAAAGGGAAGCCAATGATTGTCGATTCACCAGTTAGTGGATACGCATACCTACTACAAAAAGTGTTGAGCGAATATGGTCTATACTTATCCAATGGCGATTACTACTTCATGGTAAATTCTCTTTGCTCGTGTTTGTGAAATGTCAGCTAAAATTACGCATCTAGACCGTTGGAGGCACCCCTCTCAGATATGCCGACCTCGTCGCCGGCGCCCTTCCCAACGGAACAGAAGTGTACGCAACAATGCTCTTATATCCATTCACAGCCGAAGGAAAAGTTCTCGATGCCTCTGAGAAGCCCAACATTCTCGCAACCGTTAGCGAGTTTGTAAACCCTGTCTCTTCCTCTGCTTTCACCACCAGTCAAGCCGCACTCTCAGATCTTACTCAAGTCGATAAATTGACTCGATTTATTAGCGCTATGTACGCCGCCAATCTATATCTTCTCAACTCTACCAATCAAGCTTGCGCCACAAGTGCCATTGCAAATCAGCTGGGCGTCTCGGCCGAAGTCGCTGCGCTTGAATATACATCAGCAACATCATCGAGCTCGGGGGAAATAAGTGCTGGCAGTAACTTCACTGTTAGTGCTACAGGTCTTATCAATGTGATCGACGTTAGACAAGAGTTTGGCGGGTTCAGTAGCTTATCATCATCGTATGATTTTATGGATGCTATTGCTCCGGGAACTGGAAAATTGATTGATTACACCATTAGAGATGCGGCAGTTGCAGCGCTGAAGACGCAGCTTTTAAAAACCACTTGTTAAATTGGCAGAGACAGGTATTTCAGATATCAGAATCCTTAGAGATTGCGTTTTGTTAAAGATATAAGCGTAATACATCAAGTGCGTTGTTCATTCATCTTATAGACCCGTGTATTTAACCCTAGAAGCACTTCCGAGCTTCCGTGAAGTAAGGCTTGAGATAGTGTGTAGCTTAACATGGATGATATCTTTCCATGTCAGTATTTCATTGGTTATAGAATGAATTCCAAGGTGAAAATACCTTACAATTTGGGTTTCATCCTCGAAAATCATCAGTTCTCATTCAATGTCAATATAATAAGGTTTTCACCTTATCTTTGCTGCCCAATGATCGACAATCTCGGTTCCCGATTGTCTACTGAAGCAACCATCTCAAAAGTAAATGTAAATGAAAAGTACAAATTCCAAGTCTTAATCATGGGTAACTACGCAAGAAGAAACTGCGCACATTGAACCACGCCTGCCAGAGCCGCTCAAACCCCTTTTATTTCTATCAAGAATCCTTTTTCAATTTTTCAACATGCTTCTCCCAGCTGATTCCACCTCCTCGGTAATTCTCATTTAATAAACAATTTGTCGGGATAACCCCGCTTATAGTCCCTACCCTGCCATGTCTTATTCTTCAGCGGGCCCACCACTTAGTGCTAATTAGTCTGACACCTCCAAGCGAGCCTAAGAAGTTTATTTAACCAAGCTTTCCTCCATCGAGGGGAAATGCGAAGTTCTCGTTAGATCATTGAATTACCTGCTAGCAACGGTTCTTTCCTTAATAGTTTTCTTGGACGGGGAAGCATGGATATGGACAGGGGCAGATAGTAGATTGCTTAATGTCTTTCCTTGCAGGATCTCAATTGATTTTTTCCCCTTCCATTCAACCTCCACGACACTCCAAAGGTAGACAAATTTAATAAAGCTCAAGAGAGATAAGCGTGCTTCAGAATGCCGGCCCTAAGTTACTGATTTGGATTGAAAATACTGGGAGTAAGAGATCCCACTGTTGTAAAGAGGTTCGGAAGCATCGACTTGGCAAACAAGGAGTGCAAGCAAGCCTTGCGAGAACAGATCGAGCTCTGATCTTCAAGCGCAAATGACTGATTCGGATGACGCCCGAAGAAGGTTTTGAGATACTCCGTACACTTCGTGAAAGGTGATTTCTTGCCCCGGGCATGTTTGAGGAGGTAATGTGGATATGAATGTGCGTAGAAATCATTATGCAGGTACTCATATAGGTAGGTGCTTGCAGTAGTCTGTAAAGTGACACACTGGACCTCTTTAGTGAATGTTCGAGCTGCTTGTTCGTAATCATCAAGCTTTCCTTTCTCTTCTGCCCACTTTTTAATGTGAAAGTTCGTAGCAGATTTTCGAACGCAGGAGGGATAGATAGACAGTGCTTTTAGGTGCTGCACTGTGAATTTCAAAACGCGCAGACTATCTTTCGCATATTCGTCTATCATTGCCCTCTCTCATACGCTCATTTCCTTCTTGTTCATTGTCTGGCTAAGGACAAAGCATCTCGACACGGTCAAAATTTGTTAAATCATGCCTCCCACTGATCTGACTAGCCCTTCAATGAGACTTCTTTCGCATTTTCAATTCGATCTCAATAACTTAATAGCTAGAGATGCAATCGACGATGGATTGCCTAATCCTAGGGGAAAGAACCTTGCGAATTTGGCGATTGCCTTTGCTTGTCTAAGTTTCTTTTTTGTCAGCGCGAGGTTAGGGACGAGAGTGTTTATGCAGAAGTTGGAGATAGATGATTGGTTCATTGTGCCGGCATTGGTATGTACAAGTTTCTGCTCTCCGCTGCTTTGGAAACCGAGAGTCATGACATAGGTCTTTCACGGCGGTTTTAGCTTGGGATTACCAGGAGATATCAACAGCGCGAAGTGGCAATGGCGACAGAACCTAATCGTGTATAGCTAATGGCACTTGCCATGGCAGTGACGTTCAACATGGAAGCCAAAAATGGTTTCGGTCTGCACACCTCGGTATGAATCTATCTATTCCCAGATCTCCAATAACTTTCACGATTAACATCTCTTAGCAAGTATCGAAAGAACATAGGATCGAGGCCCTCAAAGTTAGTCCAATTTCTTTCCTCGTGTATCCATTCCCATTCAATCCAGCACCAGCTAATATGTTGAAGTGGTTCTTCGCTGCTCAACTTCTGTACAAAATCGCTTCATGTTTCACGAAAATCAGTATCTGTCTTTTTTACCTACGGATATTTCCCTCGAAGAATTTCAGAATCGCAACTTTTGTTACCATTGGAATAGTCATTGTATACAGCATTGCAGCAGTCAGTGCCACCATTTGGTCATGCAAGTGAGTGACCGTCTCTCCTTGTCTGACGCCAATCTTGTGGCATGTTCTCTAATCAAACTGTATAGTCCCATCGAGAGATCATGGAATAAAGCCCTTCCTGGTTCATGCATACAGATCGGAAACGTTTGGTATAGCACATCTGTAATGGCAATAGTAACCAATTTGATAATTATCGTTTTACCAATTTATCAAATTCGACGACTTCAACTTCCGTTAAGTCAGAAGTTTGGATTGGTGCTAATGTTTAGTCTTGGATTTTTGTAAGCAGCCAGTATCCTCACAGCTAAATTACCGACAGTACACCGTCAGACTGATAGGTTTAATAGTGTCATTGCATGCACAGTTGTTCGAATGGCCACAGTTGGGCCAGCCATCACTGCGACGGACACAATGTATTATCAAGCGACGTCAAACTCATGGACTTTCCTCGAAGTGAATGTTTCCATAATCTGCGCTTCTTTACCAATCTTAAAAGCTCCCATAGTAAAGTTTTGTCCCTGGTTGATGCGCAACAAAACGACAACGTCAGCATATGATATGAACTTCTCGAAAGATAATTATGGAACCAAGAACGCACTTCCAAGTCATGATGGTAGTGTAAAGCACAGTAGGATCAAGAGTGTCAATGGAAAGACCACGACGGACACGCCTAGGGATAGCGATGAAGAGTTTATCTTGGAGGAAATGGGAAAGGGGGTGAGGAAAACGACAGAGTTCAATGTTAGCTATGAGGCGACGAGTATTGAAAATGTTGGTGGTAGGACGAGTATCTTGAAGACTTGATATCGGTGGTGTAATTGGGCTTTTGGTTTTTGGGGATTTCTATTTCTGCGTCACTTCGTGAGGGCGTCATTGTGTAGGGTGGGGATCTAGAAGTAATGTTTCATGTCTGTATACGGACAGGGGATTTCGGATGATGGTTTCTGGACTCTCTTTCTTCGGGATCGTTGTCAGATGAGGACCCGAGATCAAGAATATGATAAACATATCAGAGAACAGCATGAAAAATTTGTTAATTTTTTGCGTATAACTTTACAAAAGAAAGGAATCGAGGAAAACCAAAATATGTATGAAAAATAGTTAGGTTGATCCCGTGATTGATCTCGTGATTGATGGCTTAAGTTGATTGTTTGTTCTACAATTTTATCTCCAACCAAAAGATATGATTACATATGAAAAGTTGAGATTCATTATTAATGCTTCGATCAATGATTGCATCATATGTGTCTCTCTCGCTCCAATAGCTAAAGGTACCCGGTACTTCTTTGCTTACTTCTGCTAGTGTCGCGTTTCCGAATCAACTTTTGATATGGGCCGCTTCAGCTAGGACCATGAAGACAGCCAGACAGGCAGACCCATCAACCGAAACATCGATCCGGTACTCTAATGGACTTCCGCCTACTGAGGTAGGTATGGATAACACATACACCAATATGAAAATAGTTAAGTGACCAGATGATGTTCAAGCACCCAATATCATGATTCATGATAGCAGAGCTCAAATAGAGTCGCACGTGAGCAGCATTGGAGATTAATCAGCTGCCAACGCACGGTTATGTCTCCGTCTTTTCATACGTCAGTTGTCGGAAAGGTCTCGGTGCAATTATGTATTTTGATGAATTTTCTTTTTCGTTTTCATAATCTGCTTGAATCAGTGGGTTGAGAGTAGCTCGACACCGCAACTGTTTTGTGACAAATACATACATGAAAATGACGACAAGTTGTCGATGTCTATCGGTACTTGCAGATAATTAATGTATCTGGACTGAAACATTATTGTTCTCCATAAGCTACATCTCATAGCTTACATCTTCTTTCGGCGAGAATGAGCTTTCTATCATCATTGGCTTCACAACATATTGGCACATCTGTTTAGACCGAATAAAGCGCCAGTATGTCAGCTCAACGTCCGAGTCGAAATGACAATCTTCGGGCATATTCCACGAATGCTCTCGAAGGACAAACGGATAGTTTCTTCAAGGATAGTGACGGAACTCCCAATGCCACGAAGGGAAAGCTGGCAGCTGCCAACAATGGCAAAATCACATTTCGAGAGAGAATTCATCATTTTACATGGGCGTGGTTTACTCTTACTATGAGCACCGGGGGAATTGCTCTATTGCTCGCAAATACACCACACAAATTCAATGGCCTCACTATCTTGGGGGACATCGTTTTCATTTTGGATTTATGTCTGTTTGTTCTCTTATGTTCTGGGATTTCGGCACGATTCATATTATATCCAAAGGCATTATCTGCTTCATTGCAAGATGCTACAGAATCCCTCTTTTTCCCAACGTTTTGGATTTCTTTGTTGAGTATAATTGCAAACACGCAATTATATGGCGTTCCCCATTGTGGCCCATGGCTCATCACCGCCCTTCGAGTCATATTCTGGATCTATACGGCGCTTACATTCTTTGGTGCTGTCGGTCAATATTGCTATCTTTTTGCTGCCAAACAACAAACACTTCAGTCCATGACTCCCGCCTGGATTCTTCCTATCTTTCCCGTTATGCTTTGCGGGACCCTTGCCTCCGTTACAACGGGGTCACAAACTCCTGAGCATGCGCTTCCTATGCTGGTTGCTGGGATCACGTTTCAAGGACTGGGAATTTTTGTTGCGGTCTTCATGTATGGTCCTTACATTGGAAGATTGATGACAAATGGCTTGCCAGAACCCAACACGAGACCGGGAATGTTTATTGCAGTTGGACCACCTAGTTTCACTGGGTTAGCATTGTTGGGCATGAGTGAAAACTTCTCCAAAATATACCCGGCGTATACTACAATATCATCAATCACGAACCCAGATATTATTGCCGACATATTCCGAATTATTGCAGTCTCTGCTGCAGTGTTCTTATGGGCTACAGCATTTTGGTTCTTTTGCATTTCAATGGTGTCTGTTTTGGCGGGTGCAAAAGAGATGAGTTTCCATCTTGTGTGGTATGCTTTCGTTTTTCCAAATGTGGGTTTTACTATTGTTATCATCAATATCGGGAAAGCATTCAAAAGTGAGGGCGTGCTTTGGGTCGGAAGTGGATTAACAATCATTCTCGTGATTGTCTGGTTGCTCGTCTTTGCGGCGCACATTAGAGCTGTGGTTTTGAAGCAAGTTCTATGGCCGGGTAAAGATGAGGACAAGGGAGAGAGGAGTGAGTGAGGTGGTCTGGATGAATTGTGGGGTACTAGATCCTGGACAGGTGACTTTTGCGAATTGAATCTAATTTCTCGAAATTGGCATGAGTTCGAATCACATATGGTGGGTGGACCGAGATTAAAACAAGACGGCTATTTATTCCATGTGCATCAACGCATCAAACTATCTAAACCTCATTCGTCCTACATCACAGCTCTGCGTACAACGATTTATCTCTCCTGATACCTTGAGATAGGTCCAGACCAACATTACGTCCAAGAAAGAACTTAGGCATCGCGGATCTCATTCGGACACGATCCCTCAAGCTCGACAGAATCTCTCATCGAGTTTGCAACCCCCCGAGCACTCTGGTCTCACATCACTATGCGGAAAAACAACCAGGCTCACCACTCTCATCCCAATCGTTTCTTGGGTCTGGAAATAGTTCTGGCTCGTTTCGTTGCCAAAAGTTATCCGGTGAAGGCGTCATAGGTCGTATTGACCTATGGCAACTGCATCGACAATAAGCTGTCGTTCTCACATTTCCCTGAAGTTTGCTCTCTAGCAAATCAATTCGTTCATGAAGTCTATGGATCTCAGTCAATAGAACAATCTGGTCATTGGAGCTGTCGTAGAATGAATTCTGAGATGGGCAACTGGGGTTACTAGATGCGGAGCAAGATGGTGGCCGTGGTACATTTTCTCTCTCGTCGTTCTGACTGATGCGGTAATCTTTTCGACGATGTTCCGTACGGATTGGCAGTGGGAAATGGATATCATCTTGAACTTGGGTGTGCGAATGTCGTTGATCATTGTCTTTGACGGCATTTGGGATGACTATAGCAATGCGCGGTCCTGGAGCATCATCATCGATCACTGATTCTTCGTCACACGCTCTAAGAGAATTGTGTGAATCATCTTGATTCTTCTTTCGAAAAAAAGATCGTATACGTCGTGGCGGCAAAATGCTGTTATGGTGCGAAAAGTCTTCCGGTTTGGAACAGTCTCTCAGATAAGTATATGAATCATCTGCATTTGGTGATTCAAAGCAGGAGCCTGTATGTCGAGGAGGGCAAAGTCGGTTCGGATGGGGTGATCTCGATGGGCCGAAAGATGGCTGTAGATCTTCTTGGAAAGACAAGTTCGTGTGATGGAGTTTGCAGGAAGCTCCTTGGCGGAATTCCTTCTTTCTATCGGACATTTTCGGTATTGGCTGGATTAAGTGAAGTTCCTTGGTCTCGCTACGCACTTGCTGGTGTGATGTAGAAATTATATGGATGGATAAACGTGGAAGAGAGACAGACAGATGGTTCATATTAAATACATGGATATTTTCAAATCTAGAGCAATATTGAGAATGACTAAATTCAATCACTCATTGCATGACTTTACTGACTCCTCTGCTCTATCATACATCGATTGAGTCATCTATCGCTAAAATGGCAAAGAACAAACGATTGGCCAAGAATGAAATGTGTCTCGACGTTACATCATGATAGATACTTTTACAAAGAGGGGAGTACAGCGACAGCCAGCCACGTTCCAAGGCTGAACTTTTACCACCCAAGCCAACCACTTGAATGACACTTACACGTTATGATGACCACTTAACGTATGCGGGCAATGCGTATGGCGAGCAACTAATAATGCGGTGTAGTATCAAGGCATGACACAGATTGGGTACAAATAAAGAAGACGCAGGAGAAACAGCGAGGTCGAATGAACATGGATCCCTTATGCGGCACGGGCAAGTGATAGCCAATGAATATTGCTTTTCCAAATTCCCATTAGGAGACACCAGCCCGCATGAGTCAAGATGTAGGGGAGGAGATGCTGAGAATTTGGATAAAGATTGGAAGGGGAAAAGAGAAAGGGGGAGAATGAAAGGAGCGGAGTGCTGATATATAAGAAACTCCTATAAAGTAAATTCACCCCCCTTACGAGTGAAGTGTTCCTCCTAGGAATGCGCGTTCGGTCTCAGTTATCATATAGCCTTTCATAGGCGTAATAGTGATTAAAAGTTACGCAATTCTCCTTCAAAACATTATCCAATTACCCGTTTGAATTGTGTGATTTACTTGAATTGAACTGAATTGGAGTAAAATCAAGTACAGCCATACACTTCTTTTACAATATGGGTTCCCTCATTGCAAACTCCCTTTTCACGATTGACGGGAAGAACGACGGATACGTGAACTCAACATCAAACCTAATATATGAAAAAGATACGCATATACCGCCGCGACAGAAACAAAATATTGAAGGTGTACCGACAAATAAAAGTACATACGAGTACAACAATACAAATCAATACTATCGATACTTTGATCCTGATATTGATGCTGATATTGCGTTGGATCTGGAGAGGTGGAATTGTTGTGCGAGGATGAATTCAATTATGGATAGTCCTAAGGAGATTGGGCGTGTTGGTGAGAGTGATATTGATATTCACCAACATGAAGCAATTGAGGCTTGGGGAGGGGAGGAAGATAGTGATGTCGAAAGTTATGGTCAGTGAACAATTCTTCCCAACATTCTTTCTTGATTTATTTCACTTAGTTTTTTGCCTATCTTTCCTATAAACATTCATCATATCATATTTGTATTGCGAATTTTTGGTTAGGGATGTGGTTTGTGGTTTCTGGCTTGTGGCTTGTGGTTCACCAACATGCTGGGGTGGAAATTCGGGCTGGGGTCGATCGGTCGGTCACTACTTTGCGCTCATCAACCGACCTAGCAATAGTTCCATTTCTTCTGCTTACTTTCCCCCCTTCCCCTCCAATCATCAACTAAAAGATGACCTCAATCTTTGGGTCAAGAAACGCAAATACTCATTCTTCGGCTACAGCTTCATCTTCACAGACAAACAATTCTGTCTCATCAACAACTAACAATCTTCTAGCTAGCACTGAAGACGAACATTATCAAATTGACTCATTGTCCCACGATCCTAGCCAACGAGCCAGCTCTGAAGATGAACTCGACCTCTCATCTCCCCAACTTCTCCACCACCTCGAAAACGATTCCTCGATCCTCACTCTTGCTGTAGGTTCAAAATATATTTATGCCGGTACCCAAGATGGAGAAATAGTCGTTTGGTCCCTCGCATCCTACGAGCTTGTTTCGCGCATCCAAGCACACACCCGCAGTGTACTCTCCCTATTTCTATCTGCAGATGGCAAGCTTTTGTTCTCATCTGCTGGTGATGCCATTGTCAATGCATGGTGTCCTACCACTTTAGTCCGCAAATACCATATTTACAGTACCTACGATGTCGGCGATGTATTTTCCGTAGCCTATTCCCCGCAATTCGAAACGGTATATTTGGGAGCTCAAAACACGAGTATACAATGGGTTAGTCTAAGGGATTCCGCGACGAGACCTACACCAAATCCAGAACGTCACCCAGATAGGAGGAATCATCGATTTTTCGATAGTGTGCAACATGGAGGGACAAGCACACCAAGACCGAGGCCGGCTGGAAGAGCCGCTGCGGATCAGGGAGATGTATTGGAGATTGACAAGGCCCACATGAAACAATATGCTCACTTTGGATATGTCTATTGTATGCTCATGGTTCGAGGAGTCTCTAGGCAGGTTGATGCGGATGAGGATATGCTAATTTCAGGCGGAGGGGACGGTACAATTAAGTTGTGGAAATTGAGCAAGGATGAAGACGAGGGGATTAGGGAGATTGAAAGACTAGGGGAAGACGATGCGGAAAGTGTTCTGAGTTTGGCGGTGGACGGAAGTTTTCTCTACAGTAGCAAATTGGAGGGAGTGATTGAGTTGTGGGATTTGGATACGAGACAGAAGCTGAGAGTTATCAGAGCGAATAGAGGGGATGTTATGACTTTACAGATGGGATGGGGATATCTCTGGAGTGGTGGAAGTACCGGGCATGCTAGAGTGAGTTTAATTCTCCCTTTTTTTGTGGAGTTGTATCGTACAAGTGGCTCACATTTTGCAGAGATACAACACGGTACAATATGGTCAATACAAAACTTCCTCGAATTTTAGCCAAAAATATCAGTGTGTCAAACGATGGAAAGCTCACGAGGGTAGAATTTTGGCTTCTGCAGTTGCCACCCATCATGGTCAACAACTTTATATAACTGGTGCGAACGATTGTTCGGTTTCGATATGGGATGTTACTGGATGTGATACGGGCACATACCCAAAACGCGAGTCGCTTCAAGATGACCAACTTATCAAATCGTTGCAAGATTTTGTGGCTTTCAAGACGATCTCTGCACGACCCGATCATGCCGAGGATTGTCGACGAGGCGCTACCTTTTTGAGAACATTGTTTAAGAAACATGGAGCTGTTACTGAGATGTTAACAACTGAAGCTCATCATAACCCAATTGTTTACGCCAAGTTCAAGGGAAACCCGGAGACTGCTGGAAAGAGGAAGAAGATCTTGTTTTATGGACATTATGATGTTGTTCCAGCGGATGATAAGCAGAAGAAATGGATTATCGATCCTTTCCAAATGAAGGGAGTAAATGGATACCTCTACGGACGAGGAGTTAGTGACAACAAAGGTCCAATTATGGCTGCTCTATATGGAGTTGTCGATTTGGTTCATGAGAAGGCTTTGGATTCTGACGTTACATTTTTGATTGAGGGAGAAGAAGAGAGTGGATCAAGAGGCTTCAAGGATACTGTGAGAAAGTATAAGGAATTGATTGGGGATATTGATTATATCATTCTTGCCAATAGTTATTGGCTCGATGACGAAGTTCCTTGCTTGACATATGGCCTCAGAGGTGTTCTTCATGCCACTGTGAAAGTCAATAGCAAGCATCCCGATGTCCATAGTGGAGTTGATGGGAGTTTTATGATGGATGAACCACTTTTTGATTTGACAGCTATCCTCGCAAAGTTAAAGGGCCTACATAACAGGATTCAAATTCCTGGATTTTATGATGAAATTCTTCCACTCACATCGGCCGAGGAAGCTCGTTACGATGATATTGTATCCACTCTCCTCCGTCGTAATCCAGAACTCGGACCGGCGAATACTCTAAAACAGTCCATTATGGCTAGATGGAGGGAACCGAATCTGACTGTCCATCGCTATAAAGTTTCTGGGCCAGATGGTTCCCTGGTTTCGTCCCACGCGAGCGCAGCTATCTCCCTCCGTTTGGTTCCCAACCAGGAAGTGGACGATGTTATTAAATCTTTGACAAAATTTCTCCAAGATGCTTTTGCAAAGCTCGATACGCACAACAGCCTCACAATTACTATTGACAACCAAGCAGATGCTTGGCTCGGTGATCCCGAAAATGAGATTTTTAGAACGTTGGAAGAGGCTATAATGGAGGTTTGGGGACCTATTACAGACCATACTAGAAGGAGTAGTGTACAAGGTCCTAAACATGTTGAGAAGGAGAAGGAAAGCTCACCCACGAGCCCCGTCAGCGCATCGCCAAGTCTCAAACCCACACCTGCGACAACTACGAGTTTAACTGGTGGAAGTGATCATACGAGTTTAGCGGCTGCGCCGGTAGATCTTGCATCCTTAACATTGGACGCGGATGATGTTTCCAACAGCCGCAATGAGAAAGAAAATGAAGGGTACGGAGATGAAGGCGGCAATGTAGCGCATAAAAGTAAAGAAGGAAAGGGATTGGGCGATGGAAATGTGAGAGGCGTGGGGAGGAAGCCGCTCTACATCAGAGAAGGAGGTTCGATTCCAAGCATCCGATTCTTGGAAAAGGAGTTTGGAGCGCCAGCGGCGCATTTACCGTGTGGACAAGCAAGTGATAGTGCGCATTTAGGTAAGTCTTTTCCTCATCTTGACCGGCTGTCAAGGATTTGATGGTTTGGGTGGGAAAGTTATTATCTACAAGAACTTTGCTAATTATCATTCAAATGAACAGACAACGAAAGAATCAGGCTTAATAATCTGTACAATAGTCGGCTGGTCTTCAGGAAGGTGTTCAGGGAGTTACCAAGGAAATAGAATGTTGTTTGGTGGGTTGTATGACATGAAAATATGATGAGGGCGTTCTGAAAGGAAGGTAAAACACATACATACGTGAATGAGGTTTTTGTGAAGGAATAATCGTCACGTGCCGAGGGCAGAAGCAGTGGGAGAACAGTTTGCTTAGCATTGTACTGTAGTTTGAAGGATACCAGCCTTTTGGGCGAATTTTGAGGCTGAGTTCTCAAATGAGTTGACTAAATAACATTGAAGCTAATATAATGTGATCTTGGGAGACGAGCCAGCTACTTGTGACCTCGAAATCTTAGTATAACCTAACTAAATGGGTGAAAATCGAGGGCATCAAACTACAAGCTAATAGTTAGTCTACCACCAGCCAAAGCTTGAAGTGGTCGCTAGTTCTCCATGGATACAATCCAGTGCTCAATAATCAAATTACAACCCGACCTAGTAAACAATTTGAAACAAGACACGCTTAATGGCTCCCAGATTTGTGTCTCTTGGCTTGCTTTTCCACCCGAACGCATATCGATGTCTGGCTTTACTATAACTAGACATGCAAGTTGTAGCTGCATCGCCTGGGGGTGTGAATGTCGACCTGAGTCAGCTATTATTCGACTCGTGGATTTGCAGCTATATTCGCTAATTCTGCCCGACTTACGCAAACATTCCATTGGGCGATCAATTGAAGAGCGATTGTCAATCAAATCTTATCATCTTCTCATCGCGATTGAAGTTCGAGCCAACTTGCATTTTTCTGTGATGTAAGTATCGGCCTATAGATTTTCCCGCTGTATTGGAGAAACCCGTCAAGTCATCAGTTCTAGCCATTAATTCGGGTTTAAGATGCCTTCATCAACGGACCTGACTCGATGCCTCAGTACACTGACCCTTTGACGTCGAGTCAAATTCTATAAACTTTAACAGTAGAAAATTGAGTTTTCGAGGATGCGAACGAAATCGCCTCCAGCGCTGATTGAGGGACCCTGAGCTAGAACTGGTGTTCCATGGCTCAACCTTGCAAAAAACTGTAGAATAACAGTCCCTCTCAAAAATGTCCTTGTCGAATTCATCCTAGCACGAAGAGTATTACGCGCACTAGATAAGTTGAATAAGATCATTTCAATGCTAATATATCTGACTCTCCAGTTATGTTCAAAATGTTCAAAATGGAGAATAAGCGACCGAATTATCGGGGAGGACAATGTCAAATTTTTTGCAAGTTTACAGATATGGATGAGCAGACAAGCAGATAGAATCAGGATACGATTCAGTGGATAATGAGAGTATGGGAAAAGAGCATCGCTGTCAACGATATTTCCACGTGAAACAGAGAAATAAAAGACCAGCATCGAACCTCAAAGACTTCAAGAACTAGCCTTTATTTGAGAAGAATTGGCATGGCTAAAAGGGTCTAGATGCTTTTACCGAAGCACTATGGCAGCCAGATGATCTCGACTACCGCAAAATAAATATTGACGAGATATTTAACATCTCACACTCGCCGTTGATCATTAGACAGAATAACCTACCTATGACTTTGGTTTGGAGTCTCGAGCAAATAATCTAGCACAAAGCTGCCAGCCTCATATCTTTGTATCAGACTGAAAGGTTGTGTCGTGAAACATAGCTCCATTTGTATGAGATGTTCTTGTGAAGAAGTCGCGGAACATTCTAACAGTGACTATAATTATTTACACTTTTACCTAAACTTCACGGGATCAATTATTAAACAAAATGCAAGACGGGGCATGGCATGATTGATTCTATCAAAGATGAAGAATGAACATTTTGTGCATTTCCCATGGTAACCATAATCCTCAAGAATGAATGTTTTCCGAGAGAAGGTTTGGGAAATTGTAGGGAGATAGGTCAGAGTCTCGAACAGAACTTGTCGTGGGCAAAAAAAGGCGAGAGATAGTGATGCGATTTCCTCATGATCATATAGAGCGTTGAAAGTCGGATGGAGTAGCTAATTTTGACAATGGAGTCAGATTAAAATTACAAAACAAAAATAAGTCTATTTGGTGATGATGAACACAGGATTGTTTATTAAGAACAATTTAGCTGGTTGAGCTCGACATAATCAACTAGAAGAAGATCAACAGTAGCGGAGGGTAGAGGAGAGTAAAAGTGTATCTGTGGGTAATATTTGGTCATCCGAATTATCCTTTGAATTTGAATAGTTGTGCAGTGATGATTTTAAAGGATTGGGCTCCCTGGCCAAAAAAATCCAATTTCAATTTTGCCAGCCCTCACTGAAGGATGCATGAGAATAAACCTCTAGAAATGGCTGGCCTTGAGAATTTGTTCAGCTTAGGGAAACGAGCGTTAGTTACAGAATTCGTGTGGGTTATTGATAAAACTATTCGTGAGGGCCAACTGCGACAAGCCTTATTTGGCATCAATCCAATCAGCGATCTCATACTCTCTTCCTTCACCTGCATATATGTCCAAGCCATCATACTGTCCAGGTCTCCAGACTCTCATCACAGCTTTTCCATTTTCATTGATAGCGGCGCGGAACATGCCCCCGCAATTGTAATCAGCAACGACATGACTCACTGCATCTCTATTCCGGCCAAATTTATCAACTACAACCTGTAATTCAATTCCAATTATACCTCCTTCACCTTCGCCAGTCTTCTTCCATCGGTCCCCTGCAGATTTCACTAGATCTCCATCGGGGCCGGTTATTTCTGTGATAGCGGCTTGAAGAGAAGTATCGGGTCGATATCGAGCAATTGCCGATGCACTTCTTGCAGCTGCAAGGCGAAGGAAAGAATCACCATTTCCAGTACCCGACATAGCGGTGGCCCTCATATGTTTCCTGGACATCATAGCTTCATCTTCTAGCGCTTCTTGGTAGATCAGATTGTACGATCTTAAACTCAAACCTGGAAAACAATCTGCCAAAATCCCTTTCAGCTGATCGCCTAAGGCAATGATCGGCCGTTGGTTGTACATTCTTCGACGGATTTGTTGAAGTCGATGCATGTCATCGTGCGCCGACGTATCCTCCCACTCTTCTGCCCAAAAACCAGCACCAAGCGTTGGCGTGTCCCCAATTCTTCCTGTCAATTTATTTGTCATGCCTCCAGTACTAGTACCTACACACAACACCCCATCCGCATCAAGGCACACAGCACCACATGTTCCTTGTGGTATAAATTCTTGGGCATCCCAAGATGCATTTCCATTCTTATCCTTCTCCTTCTTTAACCCCGATATATGTTCATCCCACCTTGCTTGTACAAAGAAGTATTTCTCATCTACAAGCTCTAATCCCCATTCTTTTGCCAATTTTTCGGCGGAATATTTGTGCAGCTGTGAATGTCCCTGTGCTCCGTTGCTTTGCCTAAATGCGTCCTCTTCAACACTCATCGGCCCTCGATGTTCACCGTTTCCACCCTCCAAGTCTTGTTCTCCTCGTATCAACATCTCGCGCGCAAGCTTTATTGGATTCTTGACGTGTTGTAATCCCATAAGTCCTACTCCTCTCTTCTTCTTCCCACTTGAAACCATTATCGATGCCTCCAGTTCATTAATTCCATCGCGAGTAAAGACTGCACCATGGCCGCTGTTGAATAAAGGGTTATCTTCCAATTGTGTAACTGCATAGGTGACAGCATCGAGAGCTGTGGTGGTAGAAGAAGACGTTTTGTGGAGAGGAAAGGAGGATGGCGACGTGAGGAAATAGTGAGTGTTGGAAATGATGCGGAGGAGTGAGTCGTGATATAACTTATACTTCGCTGGTGGAAGGTTCGCGGGGAGAATATTACCTGCACCGCCATGGATAATGATGCGGGGTGTAATCAATTGGGAGCAGATTGGTAAAGGTTGTTTGTATTCCATTTTGTATTCCATCATGACTTGAGGTTATCTAGAATGTTTATGCAAGCTGAAGAGTGACGGCGGTCAGTGAGGCCGATGAATCAGGAGATGAAGAGAACTGAACTGTTCTTCTTGTAATGAGGTTACAATTAATAACGCTTGAAAGATCAATAGCAATATGAATATAGAACACGAATGCAAGTTTAGGATAAAGATGTCTGATGTGAATTGAAGAAACTGAGACTGACAATAAGGCATCTGATCAGTTGCGTTGCTTATCGTGCTTATCGAAGCAGTGCGCATGGCTTGGCATTACGAGAAAGAGGCAGCGGAGTGATAGATCACGTGCTGCTAGATTTATCCTCTCCCTCGTGCTAACTCTGCGAAGAACAAATTTCTTGTGGAACGAAGGTGGGTGTAAAGAGTAGGCAGGTACCTAGGTAGGGCAATTCATCTTACTCAATCATTCCCATTTCATCGTTCAAGGGCGGCTAGTAGCTCGGCACCTATCTTGAGAAGTCTTCTCCTTCCGGCCAGTGGACCAAGTAGGAGCGACCCTGACGCCCTACATACGTAAAGAAGAAGACCACAACAGCTTCGAAAATAGATTCATCTGCTTTATCCAAGCTTTTCCCCGTACATTCGCAAGCACAACATATCCCGATCAATAAGCTCGATAGCGACCTGGCCCATGTTTTGCTCCATCAATATGACGCTTAATTCATGCAAGAGCGCAGGGGTTTTCCGGATAAGAACAGGTTCATCTTGGCTATGGGTCCTTGAACAACTCCCATTTGATGCTGTGAGTCCAGGGACAACTCAAAATGGCTTATAAGCTCTACAATGACTTGGTATCTAGTGCAGGTTTCGGGATGGGGGAGAGATTAAATATGGAGATTAAAAGTTGTGAAGTGCATCATGATGCATCTATTGTGATGTAACAGTAGAACTGAGTGCGAAAGCTCATGAGCTGTCAAGCAAGTTTTGCTCCATGGATTTCAGGTTCTGGCAAGAGCAGCAAAATATAAAATGCCTTGACCATCCGTCTTCCTCTGCTCTTACCTTTTTTGTATCATCACAACACGCGCAGATTTTTAACTCTAAGCCTTAAGCAATCCACAAGTGAGGTCCCATTGTCCCGCTTATCTATACCACTTCTCAGCTTATATTAACAATTTCCTTAGATCACCTAAACCACCAATTACTCGAACCAGTCATCATGGGTCTCGGAGAAGATATCAAAGAGTTCGGAGAGGGTGAAATGCAACAACAGGGTGGAAGCAACGGAAATGATAACAGCAACAACTTCAGCGATGGCATAAGCGATAGCACCAAAGATACCATGACAGATTCCGGTATGTTCTCGTCCACCCACTTTGTCCTAATTAGTTCTAACATTCCATAACATAGCCGTCGACTCATTTGCGAGCAAGGAGGGAGTACCTTCCCAATTGGACTCAGGAATTAACAACGTTGTTAATGATGAGGTCAACAAGTTCTAGACATTTATAGTTGTTTTTGTGATTAATGTTTACTGAGTGTGGATATGGGCTGGAGCTTTAGTTTGGATTGTGTACTATTACCACTCTTGTTGAATTTGAATCATATCAATTACACAAAATCACTTCTATTTTCTTTTGCACATGTTTAAAGGATCTATCGATATCTTCTTATATATCTTCTCGATTCAAGTGAAGTCTAATGCCAAGGCAGCTAAGGGATAGCCAAGAAAGCTTATTTCAAAACTTTTCGAGCGCATTATTGTTCGTCTTTTTCGAACTATGGGGCGCTTTGATCTTGTTGTTCGTTCACGTATAATTTTTGCATTGCAGGGTTACGTGCTTGCTATCCATGAGTCTCCGTTCATTCTAGTTTCCATTTCTCTGCATTCATCTTTTCCTAGTGGCGTGATTGAATACCTTTCCTCTAGACCAGCATTAGATTCTTCGCCGTCATGGTAAGTCAAAAATTTCAAGCTTTCGGAGATTAAGAGAATTCCTTGAGGGAAAGTCGACTAGATTGTTATTACGTGAAAAATACCTATTGACATGTTGAGAAGATATTGTCGCATAACGAGGTTTGATTGAGGTCTCTTCCAGTGAAAGGATCGAAATTTGACATACAAGTGTGTGTTGGTCATATCCTTTATAATCTCTGCCAACAATGTAAAACTAATAAATTCCTTCATGGGTGCTCGTAGGCAAAATAGATTCTTTCAATTACTCAGATATATCACAATTATAAAGTCATTTATCGGCACGATCCTACCAAATTAATTTTCAATATGAAAATATATGCATCAATGGTCTCTAGCCTCACAAGTCAATCTGAAGAGGCTAAACTTTGGGTCTATCAATCAAAGAATCCCTTCGAAAGGGCGAGGAAAGGAAAATCGAACAGAAACTCTGCAGGTCAGAAGGCAAATAATGGAGGAGGCAAGGCTAGGTATCAACCTTCATTCGTTGAAGATGACGTTTTTAACTTCGTTTATTACGACTCAAATTATCAGCCCAGAGTTGACGATGAAGCTATACTACGAATGAATCCCAATTCTAGCAACCCCGAGAGCTGGAAAGGAGCATCATATTTTTTTTGAATGGAAGAAAGAAGAGAGTGATTGGCTTATGCTTAATAGTATTTTCATGTGTAATAATGATAAGGTGTGGTTATCTTCGTTGACGCCCAGCACGTCTGCAAGGAAAGGCTTTGGGAAGAAGTTCAGACCAGTAAAGTATACTCAGCAATATGCAGATCTGGAAATTCGTCTGTGGGAAAAGGCTATGCAGGAGTTGAAAACGCAGAACGCTGATCGAAAAGCCGCGATGAAAAAGGAGGAGGATAACATCGCGAGGTTTCTATCACAGCGAGAGAACACGATCTTAGAGGAAAAAAGGCAAGCGGAGACAGATAAAGAACAAGCGGAGAAGGTCCAACAAGCGACAGAAGTCAGGAGAGTGTTAAAGACACTGAATAACGAGGCGGAAGCCGATGCAAGAGCAGGGGGGAAAGGCATGGGGAAAAAGCAGAGAGGAAATGAGACAAGCCAAACAACTAGACTAGGAGAAGGTCCTAGGTCGCAAGGAAAGATTCATAGACGAGAGGATCAGACCATTGGAACAGATCAAAGTTCCAAGGGAGGAAGGCGAGGACACAGTACCAAGCAGGTCAAAGATAAACGAACATGAGTTGTATGGTCATACAAAATTTCCTTTATTTTCCTTTATTTCGATTCTACTAAGCGCTTCTATCATTAATTTAGAAACTAAAATATTGTCAAGGCCGGCTTCCTTAGATATATTTACAGTCCCTTACTTTTCCAACGTCAAATTAAGATCAAAGCCAACTAAGCCTATATAGCATGAAGTAAATCGAATGAGATTTAAACTTTATATTCTTCTTAACTGGTCCAAAACCTTAGCTTATAAGGACTCAGGTCTCGCTTTAGTAACGTACAGTTCAAGTAAGTCGATGTAAACACTGACTGAGGGAGATCGCAACGTTAAAGCGGTGGTGATAACCGGGATCTACCCCTATGAAACTACCTATAAAACTACAAAAAGTTCCGACTTACCTTATTCTGTTGTGACAGAATTTCGCCTAAATATATCTAAATTCTTATGATCCCTTCTTTGAATTCTTCCTCGGGTATAGTAATGGTAATTCTCGCCCAACCCTTTTTATTTTCCGTACCGCTAAATTGCTTCCCAGCGCTGACCATCACTTTGAATTCTTTGAATGTTTTCACAACCGCTTCTTCCTTCCGCGTCTCTGAATCTTTCGCAAGCTTCGCGAATACAAAAAACCCGCATTTGTGGGGAGAGAATCTATTCCTAGGTGATTTTATGTAGAGGAGAGTAAGGTGTAATTCTTGGAGAGAAGAGCATTATTCTTATTCAACAAAGAAGACAGTTTATTGGGATTGAGTAAGTGGGTAAGAAGAAGAGCAGAGAGTGAGGAAGTTTGATTGTAAGTCTAAATAATGGCGCTAACATGAAGCATAGGATTAGACTGGGCTATTAAGCAGCCCTTGGAATCCTTAAGTTCTGCTCTCCTATTATGTGTCTACTTACTAACTTGACTTCGGGCAGACCGAAATACTTGCTGGCAATCCAAAGAACATGGACTTTGCTCCCGTCAATCATTACTTCGCGCTTTGCTCCCATAGAGCCATCTAGTAGCGAAAGAGCCGAAATGGACGCTTCGGCTTTCTCGTCACATCCAAATTCCAAACAAACATAAACTTCGTCAGAGATGTAGTGCAGACCTTTATTTGCACTCCACTCCAGTAAGTCCTGTAAAACAAACTTAGAATAACACTCTCCGAAAAGGGCATGAGGATTGAAACAAGCAATTTTTTGATCCGTTTTGGATTCGGGGAAGATTATATGCTGTCTCAAGAGCCGGAAGAAGCGTTTCGGATGTCAAAGCTGTAAACAGTAGGCTTGGATATGCTGGAACCATTGTGACACCAGCATGACAGTACAGATAAGCGCCCACGCTACGTACGAAAGTTAATCACTAAAGTTTGTTGGGAAATTTGATAATGTACGAACTCCAACAGGGACCAGGAACTAGGATTGAATCTCCTGGCTTACAAATGCATGATGCTATAGTATCAAGACAAAAACCAGCTCCCCAAGCAGTGACAAGATAAACAGAGGTGATCGGAATTGCTGGTATGAAATACTTGTTCAAAAATTTAGAAATCGATTTCATGAGTGATGGATCTCCTCCAAGTCCCACTGGACAATTCAATGTCTGATTGCTTAAAATTCAGTTCGCGCATCTAAAGTCAAATCTTGTCATGATAGCTATCTACTAACCTCCGCAATTAGATCGTGTGCGATGGCATCTTTGCAAATCTCAATCAAATCGGGTCGCAGAAGATTGTTGTTTGATACGGAAAAATTTATGAAGTCAGGATTTGGCTCGGCATGATCAGCAGCAGCAGCTGTGGCGGCGGGAAGAAGAGCTTGAATGATGTTGCTCATGCGACTTGAAATGGGAGGTATAATGTCTGCCATTTTAATGGTCTGGAGATGCATGAAGGACTGGGAAAAAATCGAAGGATCTCTTCTTATAATCACAAGAGAAAACAGATGCAAAGATGGTATAAGTTTTGCTTTTTGATCTATGTGATGAATGTAGCTGGTGATGTTAGGCTGATGTTGGAACTTCTGGGCGTTGTGCCCCGATGAGGAGAGTTCAAGGAGCACAGGGAAGGTGGGAATGAGGACCATATTTTTTCCCCATCACATTGCAGTGGAAGTAATGCAAGTGTTGATATCTCTACTTCTTTTCTTGCCTGCCCGAGGAGAATGCAATATTGGCGATGTCATCTCAGGATATCATTTATAGTCGGCCGACTGAATCATACATCACATCGCCCTTGTCCTAGAGCCTCGTAAAAATTTACACAAAATGTTTCAAGTGCTTCGGTATAGTCGACCTCTGCACTTATGTCCTCATATATGCCCTAGGGTACTTGCCTTGAAGGTAATGTCTGAGGAAAATGCTGGTGGAAATAGTCTCCGCCTCCACCCAAACGCCCATTTAAACCTTCGTACCGTAAATGCATCACGAAAAGATCATCAATTAAGCAATACATGCCCGGAATATATGGTCTAGAGAAACCTTTCGTGGACATTTATTGGGATTCGCACTAGAACGTCGATGTGCCATGTCAGCTCATGAAAGGACCAGTCTAGGGCGGCGCATGCGCAGATAGATTTACTTTTACGGCCTCGCCAGCTCCATCTACCATCAACCAGCTTACGTTCAATGAATTGCGACGACTCAAAAAGCTTCATGGATTGACCGAGTGTAATAGAATAAATACTTTGGGTATGCGCATTGGAGAGCATTGCTGGGGGATATCGTGATCAGCTACGGTGATCACTAGCACTTGCCAAAATCTGTAGGGTATAAATCAAGGATCTTGTGGATGTATAAACTTCTGTACGCTTTGAACAGAGTGCTCGAGTCCCTGTCACGTGTTACTGTCGTGTTATCTTGAAAACAACATGGGAATGTTCACGCATTGTTATAAGTTAGGTGTTGCGTTGCGAACGTGAGGAAAATAGCTAGGTAGGTATAGTATACGATGGTTCAGTGTTACATAAGACCACCCACTAGGACATTGCGATGTGTCATTGGACTAAACTTTAGCGCTATCTAGGTACCTAGGCACGTGCTAGGGAACTCTCACCAACACCATCACAAAACATGACAACTACAATCATGAATGAACATTAACATTTACTTCTTGCATGAGATTCGCAAACCAATCATTAATATGTTTGACATTCAACGTCTCCGCTGTTCTCAACTATGGAAATCGATAGTGGGAAAAAATTCGATGATTCCCCTTGTTCATTACAAACGCAAAGAAGATTTAAAGAATTTGAAGGATGCTCTCTAGCTATATGGAATATTCTCAAATCACCATCGCTGCAAAGCCTTTTCAAACGACTCCGCTCAAATGACTTCTTCTACTTTGATGATATTTGCGCTTTCGTCAAGTACCAATTTCTTCTTCTCAAGAGATGCTTTTCTTGGATTCTTGGCCCGGAAGATATCATCCAGTTCTTCCAACTAATGTGCGGTGTCAGATTCATTCTCATTTTCCCGTTTAAATCATGAGGCCAACTTACAGTACGATTTTTCGTCTCAGGAATGAAGAAAAAAATTACAAGCGCCTGTATTGGACACCAAAGCACAAAAACGAGATAGGTTTTCCACTTGATCTTCTCTAAAGCCACAGGATATGCGAACTGGTTCACGAGGGTCGCTATTAAAGTCGTTAATTGCCACAAGAAGACGGCATTGCTAGTACAGAGATAACATACCTGCCGACACCGCAAAGTTGCTAAAAGCCATTCCTTTTGCCCTCATCTCGAAACTCAGGACTTCTACAGGGTATAATGCTTGCAACGGCGTAAAACCTACACTGAAAATTGCGTCGAAGAGAGAAATCATCGCCACAACAGCAGAGCCACTGCTCTAGCTACCTGTATTTGCGTTGATGGATGATGAAACTGTAGCTCCGATCCATACTATAGCGCATCCAATGTTTGCGAATAGAAGCAGAGGTCGACGACCTACTTTATCCACGAGGGAAGCACCGAACGAAGCCAAGCCAAACTGCATGATATTTAAACCTAGGTTGAGGTTCAGTTGTGTGAAGGAATCCGTAATTCCTGCGGTATCAAGAACAGCCGAAATGAAGTATGAAATTGGGCCTTTGCACGAAGTCAATACAATCAAATCGACCAAATGGAGTAGATTCCATACCATTCCCAGCCCACTGTCCAAATATAGCAATTGTGCAGTTACATGCCAAACGGTATCTTGAAGCTTTGTCTTTGAACAGTGCTCGGTAATCCCACCATCTTTTGTCTGCTCCATCCAGTTCTAGATACTCTTCATATTCATGAAGCTGCATTTCGACCCAAATTCTGTTTGGGTTTCCTTCCCTGTGGTATCGTGTAAGCATTGCTTTCGCCTTGTCTCGCTGTCCATGCACATATTGCCAACGTGGACTCTCGGGAAGAGCCCATACTAGGATAATACAAAGACCTGGAAATGCCATTTGTAGTCAGACTGGAACTTGCCAGGATCGGTTACCGGATAAATCTGCACTTGCTCGTGCAGATCCCCAAGCCAGAATTGAACCAACAAACCTTAGAACATGTTAGCATGGGATTTATGAGGTATCCGACGGAGACGTAGAAGATCATCCGCTTGAAGAGCTGGAATGATATTGTTTTGTAAGATAAACTAACCAAAAGGTATTATAAAACTATGAAGCGAGTCAGTCACAATGTTCTATTTTTATCGTACTTGACTTACAGCAGTGACAACATCTCGATGGGCAGGATGCGATATTTCGACAACATACCTTGTGATGAGTTAGCTAAAAATGTTCCCAGATTTGCCTGAGTATTGTTATTACTTACATTGGGCCCGCTGATGCAACAATACCGACACCAAATCCAAGCAGAAACCTGCCGCCCATGAACTGCCCGATGACATTACTCGAGTGAAGTGTGGTAGACTGGACTATAGTTCCCAGCACAATGGATGAAGCTCCGATATAGATACCGACCTTTCTTCCCCAAGTGTCGATCGCCGGCCCTATAAAAGGAATAGCTACCACACTGCCGATCGAATACATAGAAGTGACGATTCCAGTCCAAGTACCATCGTTGGCCACGTTGAAGTACGTCCTAAATTGCTCCATTGCGAGAAGAGAGTTGAACATAGAGCCATCGAATCCGTTGCAAGTGCTGCAAAAGAAAGCCACGAGCGCACAAGCGTATAATATGAAGGATCGTCCTGACCATGTTTTGGATGGTTCCTTCAACATTGCTTGCGCAGATGTCTCATCGCCTTTTACCACTTTTACTTGGGTCACATGCTTTTCATCGTTCTATGCTCGACTTGTCAGTTCTATCGTTCCTTTCATTTTGCCTTATAAAACCTACATGTTCTTCGTGTGTCCCCGCACGCATCTTTTTATCCGCGGACATAGTGGAAATTGCGCACTGACAAGCAGCAAACTTTAAAAGAACCAAAGTTTCGATGATCGCAGATTTTAAAGAATTAGAGGTGAGTTCTTGAGTTCTTGAGTTGTTGTATATGTGCGTCTAGTCTGACGTGACTCTAATAACAACATAGAGCGTCTTGCATCACAAGTCACTATTTAACAAGGTGATTCGGATTCCCTTTCATATACCTGAAGGTAATTCTGATGCTTTATGTACAACCTCATCTGTTCATATGTCTTCAATCGAGCTCTTGGCCCAAAAGCTTTACGACGCGCAAAATACAAACTAACAGCAACTCAACCCCCCCAAAAGAAAACGGAACCAGTACTCGCCGCCTTCACTCGAGACGCCGGAATGCATGAAGACCAAATGATTATTCAAAGATACTACGAGAAAATTCATTTTACAAGGATTACTTTTTATGGCGGAGGCTTTACTCAATTGAGATTGAGGGGTAGCTGGGCGCCACCGGACCTCGCTTGCTTATAGGCTTAGTTATTGGAGAATATATCATGCGATCCGGGGTAACACTAATTCTGAGTATTTGCCCAGCCCATGTTTGATTTGCTCGTATGTCCTCAATCTATTCACGGAGGTACAAGGCCCGCATTGTGGTGATCTTGTGGGGAAGTAAGTCTTTTATGGTTCTAGATTTGTAGTGAAACACAATTCACATTCAAAGTTCTCGAAATTGTATTTCAGTTGCGTTATTGTTAGCAGCTGTTTAAATTTCCACCAATATTCGTGGATAAAAGGAACCTAGAACTGGGGAAGCTTCTCGATCTTCGCGATTGGCTATCTCAACTGTGGGTTCTTATTGCTCTGAGGTTATCTCGCAACACTTAACCACCTTTGAAATGCTAGACTTTGCTCCATCAGCTCGACACTCGTTCTTGACTGGGAATCCACAATCGTGAACGAAATCTAGCCTTTTGTTGTTTTGCGCAGATGCAGGATAAATGATACTATTGGGTGGATGATTGCAGTGAGTGGCAGTTTGCTAAGTATACTAGTGTGCATGACGCGAATAAAATAGGTTACATCTACCGGTAGATCCTCACAGTATTTCTTACAGCACCCTCAAAATTTCAACCAAATCCTTTTTGATGTCCAAATTTGACCTAAAATCAACGATATTGCTGTCCGGATGCTAAATAGTCAATTAGCTTAGGCTTCAATATGGCCATTGGGCGAGTGAGTACTCCTCAAGACTTTGCGCACAGTTTACTTTGTCAAACAGGGTTTCGAAAGCTTTTCTCGCTATCACAATAGCCAAAGTCAAGTTTTACAAGCTCTTGAGTTCAGTTATCTTTGAATGAACTCAATAGGCAATCTACCGATGGTGGTTTTTCGACGCGTAAGGGCACAACCAAATATTTAAATCCTAGAAGTATCTAAATTATGCTCGTTTGATAATATGGCATATCAACACTATGCCTTTGTTTTGTACTTAATTATTGCAATTTAATGGAGATGGGAAATGACTTCCCCGTCGCTCGCTCTGATTTAGGCAAAAATATAATTCTGAGGACTGTCCAGAAAGTCCGAATATTAAGGCTGCCAAGGGATGCAGATATTTGGTGACAGCTCCGCTTCACAATTGATATCGAATCGACTCGTTCAATCATTTTGATATCTTTCAAATTAACAAATGAGAAGTTCGATCTCTTGAGTTGTCGCCATCAAATCTCCCTACAAGAATATTTCCTCGTCTCAATATCAAATCTTTTGAAGTGTAGAAAATTTATGTTCGATATTGCCGACAATTGCACACAAGTTGAGATGTTGAAATAACGCATCGTTTCCATGATTGGCAATGCAGGATGCACGAAATCGATTTACGATACAGGGGTATCGGAGTACTGTGGTTATTGATGATGAGGGACCTCGGCTTTCCTACACATACAATTCATTTCATTTGCGTCGACAGAGTCATGAAAGGGTGGCAAATATAGTGATACAATCTTCATTGATCATCAATTGCCAGGGCTCACATTGCTTCTAATTTCTAGGCTTCGTACGATGTGGGTGACCATGCGTACCAGATCATAGCCACGTGTAAACTGTCATCTTTTATTGGACGGGGTATACAAGGGGCGACATGACGTGGATCCAAATCCATACTTTCCTCCCTTCTTGGTACTAGTACCTGCAGCCAGCTGAAGGGTACCCCTCCTTGAAGATACGAGAATCGCACCACGAGAAAATACATATATATGTACAATTAAACTCATTCTAACATCTTCGTTCACACCTTTTCAGCCTTCTACCCTTCATTGGAAACTAGACTTATATGATACAGATGATGGCATCTCATAGGATTGTATTCCTTCTTATGCACTTGTTTTGCACATCATATGCGAAGGCTGTCCAAAAGACTAATTGTAGAGCGCTGCCTGAAGACCAATCATGGCCATCTGCAACGGAGTGGAACAATCTCAACAATACCGTCAATGGTAGGCTAGTAGCTACGGTCCCTATCGCAAGCCCTTGCCATGAACCTAGTTACAATTCAATGGAATGTGCATATCTACAAGCGAACTGGGCGAACCCAAGTCTTCAGTGAGTCTTTTGCGGCGTCATTTTTTATACCATTTGAAGTGTCTAATTCAAAATCTAGTTGGAACTCATCTTCCTCCTTGATAGCTCCATACTTTGCGACACTCGGAAATGAGAGCTGCGACCCTTTTTCTTCCGAACAAAGTCTTTGTCGTTTGGGAAACTTGGTTAATTATGCTGTCAATGTGTCGACACCCAATGATGCCGTTGCTGCCATTCAATTCGCAAAGTATCATAACATCCGTTTTGTAATCCGGAATACTGGTCACGAGTAAGTTTCTTTCTCAGAAAAGTTTGATGCTATTCGTCAGCTAAAATTATGCAAGCTACTTGGGCAAGTCAACCGGTGCAGGTTCATTAGCTGTTTGGACTCACAACTTGAAGAATATATCATTTTCTGAGTGGAAATCTGACTACTTTACCGGAAAGGCCATGAAGATTGGTGCTGGCACCCAAGGATTTGAAGCATTAGAGGCTGCTCATGATGCAGGCTTTGTAACAGTAGGTGGTGAATGTCCTACAGTTGGAATCGCCGGAGGCTATACACAAGGGGGTGGTCATTCGGCACTCTCTAGCAATTTTGGTATGGGTGCCGATCAAGCGCTTTCCTGGGAAGTTGTAACGGCCAGTGGCGACGTAGTCACTGCCTCACGAACCGAAAACAAAGACCTTTATTGGGCTTTAGGTGGCGGCGGTGGTGGTACATACGGAGTAATCATATCTCTAACCGTGAGAGTATATCCTGATGCTGTAGTCAGTGGTGCTTCTTTAGCATTTTCGGCAACCGGCGGCAACACGAGTACTGAAACTTTCTGGAAAGGTGTTGAAGCCTTTCATACTCATCTTCCTGGAATGGTTGATGCAGGAACTATGGTTGGCTATGGGGCTTCGTCTTCAATTTTTCGGATTATTGGTATGACGGCATATAACAAGACCAAAGCTGACGTCCAAGCTCTTTTGGCCGATTTCACCGACAAACTCACAACTCTTGGTATCAATTTCACAGTCGCATACACACAGAACCCAACATACCTTGATCACTATAACCAATATCTTGGGCCTCTTCCTTATGGTCCTTGGGGTGGACCAGGAGTCAATACCGGTGGTGGCAGATTGATATCAAGAAGCGTCGTCCAGGAGAACAATAAAGCTTATGTTGCAACAATTCGTAATGTTACAAATGCGGGCATACCTTATACAGGCGTAGCTCTGAACGTCTCATCTCCTTACGTTACATCTACTGCCGATAATGCTTTACTCCCAGCTTGGCGCGATGCCCTCATCCATGTCATCTTGACAACACCATGGAACTATTCTGCGTCAATATCTGAGATGGTAGCTGCTCAATATCATATGATCAATGAAATCATCCCTCAATTCGAAGTGCTCACTCCTGGGGGAGGGAGTTATTTGAATGAAGGCAATTTCAGACAGCCAAACTGGCAGCAAACTTTCTATGGGAAGAATTACCGCAAGTTATTAGGGATAAAAAATAAGTGGGATCCAGATCAATTGTTTTACGCAACGACTGCAGTAGGCAGTGAGGCATGGAGTGTAGCAGCTGATGGGAGAATGTGTCGGACAGGTAACACGACTATCTGAGTGCTAACCATGCCGAGTGTTGGCCAGAGGGTTGTGCCTATTACGAAGCAGGTGCCACCTGAACCCGAGCTATTTCTAAGCTCTAAACAAAAAACATGCATGCAGCAAAGAAGCCTTTTATAGCTATTTTCTCTTAAAAGGAACGAATTTCGACTTTGAATCATGCAACTAGCCAGACCGGTCATATCTTGAATTCCAACATCATCTTAACTACTAAGTCTAAGTGAAGAGTCACAGCACTCGACAAATGCAATCGAGTGCAGTATTTCCAGTTCGATTAATCATTAAATGTTCCATTATTTCGTCTTGTGGTATCGAAAGTCTCTCGAGTTAAGTTCCCATGGTCATTATTTCCTACTCTTCTGGTCAGCAAGCCCTCGTGTATTTATCAAGTGCGATGAAAAATCCATACCACACATCTCTTCCAAACCCTCTTCACAACCCCATTTTTTTTCCTTTCTCTTTCCTCCCTTTCATCGTCTTCTTTTCTCCGTCTCGCATCCCTTAATATCTGCTCCTGTTCGCGCCCAATCATAATCTTTCTAATCAAATTCTCAATTAGAACGTCACAATTCTCGCCTTCTTTTGCAGAACATTCTGAGAACCCGCAATTTAGCCTTTCAGCTAATGCCTTCCCATCCTCAGTCTTGACACTTCTTTTTTCCCACATATCACTCATAGTCCCGACTACTTCCATATATAACCCCTTTTTTTCTGGAACCCTCACATGTTTCACAAGAGTCCAGAGGGCTTCTAGAACAGAGAATGATTCAGGGGAACAGATTGAATACATCAATATTATCCCATCCGCGTCTTTAATATGTGGCTCAAACAAACTGAAATATCGACCATCGTAATCCAATTCCTTAACATCTACGATACATTGTTCGGAATCGATAGTGATGCATGTTCGGTGACTATCTTCGAGAGTTGGATCGTAGGGATCATTTGACACACGGAAATCATTGTAAACGATCTATCCTGCTGTCAACTCCCCTTCTCATGAAGTCTCAAAGATTTGGGCCTTACCTTATTCTTCATGCTAGCTTTCCCAGACCCACTATTTCCCAAGAACAAAACGCTGTAATATCTTCTCCTAGGCTCCGGCCTGGAAGACACCCGATTATGTTGTGGTCGATTCATTTTCGGCTTTAAATCTAGAACCGGCCAGTCTCAAGTTTACATTTTCTAGATGTTATAACCAAATTGCGCGGCGAGATTCATTATCTATTATCTAGAATACCCATGCCGTAGATTTTGTGTGAGTAGATAGGCGCAGTATCGTGGCTGTGGGGTTTGTGATTAACGTTGCATTTACATGCGGGTGCGGGTGCTGGGAAGTGGGGGCATAGCCACAATTCCTTCTCGTATTAGTACTTCAACAATTGTTCTTGCATATATCATATCTATCTTTGGATCTTTACATTGACAGACTAACAGCATATCAGTATCAGTCTTCGTGTGCTGGAAAAGTTTTCAATTTTCACGTACTTCTTCATGCCAGGGCTATCACATACACAGCTCTACCGCATTTCCGGTTCCTAAGACGGCCTATTAACGGCACGGACTTGTCAGTTCCCCGTGCGGAGGCTAGCGTCATTGTATATAGACTCATATCGTTTTTAGTTTTAGTTCTAGAGATTTTGTATTGCTAGCTTATTAATACTGCACTAATGGTGCAACATCATGTAGTAAGCCGGTTGGAATGACAACTGGCTGTAACAGATTGAGAAATTTTTGAATCGGAGGTTGGTTTTTACTTGCAATATAAATTCGGAATGTTCATTAACATCTGTTCTGGCTAGTTGCCGTCGATAAAGACTTTATAGTATTGTTATAAGATGGGGACTTCTTTTTTATCTTTGCTTCTTAAAATTCGGCACAGATGCGTTCAATTACAATGTGCAACTGGCCAGTTTCTTCCAATCCCCCGCCCCCCGAAAAAAATCAGTGCGGTCGCTTTCCAAATGGCCTGATGCCTAAATGATGATTTTTTTTTCTTCGGCGGTCACAGCCAGGTTGACTATTCAAGGCAGCCTTAACAGTTTCAGAGCGAAATTCGATAGCGAGAGGGTTTGAATCATCAATTGATCTAGATAATTTTCAGGTATATGAGTCCTAATTTCGGTATTCGTTTCTAATATAAATGTGTTAATGGAAAATCGCTAGGTTTGATATAAATGAGTTTCCATATCCAATTGCCTACTCTGGCATGCACCTATCTCAAGCTCTTCGATACACAGTTCCAGTTCCTACTTCAAAGAACACTCGTCCGAATTGTTGCATATGGTGTCTGCTCTCAAGTCGACCACTGGTCACCAACTGGAACTATTGGATTTTGACGACCCCAGGTGCCTTTTTTCCCCCAAAACCAGTTCAAATGTGGTATGATATTGGTTTTTTTGACGACCTCTGATAGTCGACTACGCTGCTGCCTAGTTTGTTAAACTTCATGATTTCGTAGATAAACCTCGTCTCCGCAAGTAAAGATACACTTAAAAGACCAAAAGTCAAAACCTATCGAATTCCGAGCCTTCGATTTCAAACATTGCAGGTATGGAGAAACGATATGTCAATTGGACGGATTTAGAGAAAGATTACCTCCGTCGTCACGGCCCAAAGCCAGGCGATAATGTAGAGCCAGAAATCTGGGTTGAACTAACTCAGGGTCTAAATGATAGAATCAAAGAGTGGTGCGAAAAGAATCCATTTCTACAGCTCGGAAAATCATACCGTCGTAAACCTTGGGAACGAACCTTAATCGCGGTTGAAGGTTACTACGGAAATTATGGCTTCTCAGAACTCTATCCCGAAAAGGGGCCTGCGGCAAAAGCTAAGAATTTGGTCAAAGCGGTCACTAGGTATACCAAAGATACTGAATCGTCGAAATACCCACCAGAGCTTGATCTGCAACTAAAAATAATGATTAATGACAACCCAGATTGGACGGCTATCTTGAAGAAGTGTAAGGAGCTTGGGGGAGAGGGCAACCAATATACACATGGGTCTGTCCGGAATCGTCATACCAACTTTTTGAAGGAGTTAACTCTTGAACAGCTGAAAGATCGAGCCAAGAAGGTCGTGACGCAACAAAATGCGTCAGACTGCCTACCATTACAAACATCCGATGGGGAATCTTCTTGCACCCAGCAGGAAGTGGAAAGACCACTACGCATAACTGAACGTCGAGACAGTGACGCCCACATTTCTACAGATGGGCGAGGTGAAAGCAATAAAGGGGAGTCTTCCAAGAACCGCCGAGACCTTCCAGTGCCAAAATTATCCGCGGGATCTTCTTCGGGTAGCAGACGAGAAGGGCAAAGGCCAGTACGCACAACTAAACAACAAGCTGAGGCCAGCAAGACTTCCACAGTGATAGCCGAGCGCGCCGATATTGGGAGATATCGCCAACATCGTGAAACGAGTCAGGCACTGGCTCCTGCTGGTGGTTCAGGCAACGATCAAAAAAGGCCTGCAGCGAAAACTGAAGCACGATATCCGCGACAAGAAAGCCAAAGAAAACGTGAAGAGAATCAAAGGCCCCGAGAAACCAGCGTCAAGCGTGGTAAGTCAAGGGATCAGTACAGAGAGCGCGAAGATTTCGGACCTGAGCTTGAGCTTGAGGACGGCGAGATTGATCAAAGAAAGATTAAACGTACTGGTACTGGAAGATCTCACAGTCCAGACAAACAAGGTGCCAGGGACAGTCGTCGTGAAAAAAATGCCGAGGATCGCCGAAAGCGGGAACGGCAGAACATTTTTGGTCGCAGATAATGAAAATAGGGTTCCTCCTTCTATGAGAAAAAGGGAACTATGGTTCAAATCTATGGTAGGGCATACATGGCTATTTGAAATAATCATTCAGAAAGTTCAAAGCAATATACATCTAGATAATCAGTCATTCATTTGCTACCTTGATGCTTTCCTTAATTTTGTTGCATTTGATCTTGAGTTTGATGATGCTATTCAAAAATAACTTAGACACAATTGTGATCTGTTAAAATCTTGCCAATAATATTCACTTTCATGCTCAGAGGATACCCATAGCACGTATTATTATGTCGATACGTCAACGATAAACGAAAGTCCCTGTTGCCAAGAGGATTGAGAATGTTTGATTGTCTACAGAAATAATGCTATATTTTCCCTTCAAATATCTATTGGTTCTTCTACCTAGCAAATTCCTCTTAATATTTCAATAGGAAAAGTAAGTTTTTTCACTTCTATGAACAGTTTTCGTATATTTTATCTGGACACTGAAGCATCATACTCTGGAACCCGCAACACACAGAGAACCAATAAATGAAGATAGTTAACATGTTTTCTTTCGCATGTATTGATTCAAAGTTTCATCTGGCAAGAAAAAGGTCTCGTTTGGTGCGAGAGAACAAAGAAAAGAGTAGCGACGGACTAGGCATGAATTACCAGATGAAATGAGCTGATTCGAGAGGAATCTCGAGCTTTGAAGGTTAAGTGATGGCTATGGTATAAGTAGTAACTTCATACTCTGGTTGTATCCCTATTAATTACACCGTTTTCGAATGATTATCCCACTTGCCTGACACACGAGACTTATCCATCTGCGATGTCCCATAATGCCAACGACGCAAGCGAGCCATTGGAGTACGACTGGACTGCTGGTCTTGAAGCCAGAATTTTCGCTATATATGTGTCATTCAAAGATGATACTCGTTTCCAGAGATACCTTGATAAATTTGAGATTGCGAAAGAGAAGAAAGGAGCACCTTTAGAGAATGAGGAAATGAAAGCGATCAGCCAGAAGTCGAAGGATGATCTCGAACATGAGCTTGGAGTTGAGTGCATCTGTCAGGACTGTTGGGCAAGACTTCAAATGAAAATGGCAGTAGACAAGGGATCCAAGAACGCGGAAGTCAGAGAGACGAAAAATGAAAATAAGGAGGCCATCTAGAAGATGGGGGAGTGGCGGAGTGGTGAGACTAACACAGTTGCTGGTGGAGCTACGGTCTCATTCAAGGGGCTGGTGGGCCGCAAACGAAGTGACTAATTGAGCTGTCGGAAATAATCTCCACTCAGACCTCATGAATTCGAATCGTCCAAGGGAAGGCAATTTTACCGACTAGACTATAGACACACATCAAAACGCGATTGGAATCAGATATGCTCCATGCCATCGAGAGAATCGAAATCCACTTAATGCTGCACGAATTTTCTAAGGAACGGTACCCTAGGAGACTTTGGCTGATATATCCATGCTTCTAAGCTTAATAGTTGCAAGTCTTCGCGCGTGTACTGATGCTTAGGATAATTTGACGAATTGTGGGGATTGAATGGGAGTTTCAAGGGCTTGGCTGAAGTAGAAGTCAAAGTTGTGGATTACATGAGTACACGTGAGTGACGATCAATGTTGAAGATTCGAATAGAAATAGAGGCATTCGAGGTCTCTCAATGTGGACGTATAATTGTCAGTGGCATGAGAGGACGGCAATGGAGATAGGTTTACAATCATCATAACTGCAAGAATCAGTCATACATAAGTAGACAAGATATCACATTGAAGCTTATATTCACCAGAACTATCAATTTCTCCAGCATAACAAGACACTGTGAGGAATGCATATACATCTCGTTTCAGTTCACCAAGAAACCCCCAGACTGGGTTAACCATTCAAACAAGCCGTTTTTCTCTTCGGAGACTATCTCCGGCAGAAATGAAATCGTCAATAGAATGCAGAATGAAATTACTAAGTGAGCGTCCAGACCAGCTACTAATATTCAAATGATGTATCAAGGAGGTTGGAAATTGAATAATCCTTGAATCTCAAAAGTAAACACATTCTTTTCCGACTATGCAATAGTTGGGCGACCCCCTCCAGCAATGGGAACACCTCCATTGGCAGTGAGTCTTGCAGCAGCACTAGCTGTGTATGATGCACCTTGATTTATACCAAAGGTGATCCAGGCGAAGATTCCATCAGATACTGTGCCACCGAGCAAAACATAGGTGAAGAATGGGTCCGAGCCATCAGCGATCTAAGGGACTGGATTAGTACAATAGTTCTGGTACAAGAAGCCATCAATTGGGAAAATGACAAATACCAAAAAGAGAAACTTGCAAGAAAAATACATACTTCGGCAGCCACAACTCTATCGGCAGCATTTGTGGTCAACCTTCGCGTGTTGGTATTATAAGGAGACAAAGCTTCCACCTTGGTAATCAAGCTCTGATCGAAAAATACCTGTCCGATATGGGAGACCTTCCCACCAGTATATGTGCCATTCGATAATACGGTTCCTCCAATGTGTGCAACGACATGCATATGAGTTGTTCTACCCGCATAATGTCTAGGGAAGAGAGAAGTAAATTTTGCGACTCCGTTAGCGTCCGTAGGTTGAAGGCCACGAAGAAATGTCTTGTTTATATTAGAAGCATCTCCGGCATTACCATTCATGGAGCTCGCTGGAATGCCGCCATAAACACCAGTAGAGTTACAGTTCAAAATATTCCAATAAAGATCTTGTATTGGCTCGCATGTAGTGGTATCGAGAAATTGACCGTCCAAAATAACAGGAACGCCAGCTTGGGTTTCCCGAAGATCGCTACGTATATGCTCCCCTGATACGTCTAGCCATTGTTAGTGTAGTGACTAATTCGCGGCTGATTCGAAACTCACAGAATGGGCCTGTCTCTCCTTCAAGTGACAAAATACAAGAAGAGTTGCTATAAATTATCTCTTCCACGTTGGGCGTTGTAGGTGTGACACCGAGACCAGAGAGATGCGAGATGCTAACAGGATTTGTGGCTCTAGCTTTGATGGGTGCTTTCTCTGTGTGCTTGGTTAAGGTCTATCCTCGGGCTTGTAATGCACCGAAACTTACTCCGTGGAAGTCCCAAGTCAGCACGAGCTTTGGCCACAGCGACCGCAATACGCTCCCTGTTTCCGTCCTTAGCACCGCGCTTCCGAAAGATATCTGCACAGTGACTGAGATCACGAGGCGTTTTCGTATCCTCAAAGAAGATATCACGGTCAACAATCTCATCTTGCAGCTCTCAAATGGTTTGACCAGGATGAGCGGTAGATATGTGAAAGACACATGCTGCTGCGACAATCTTACTGAAAAGGCTGGAGTGAATCATAGTGTATAAGTTAAGAGAAAGGAGAGCAAGAATGATATCGACTGATACTTTGCTGACATTTTCAGGATATGTTCAAAGCTTTTATAGAGGGCATTCCGATGTACAGAGCCTTGCAGCGAAGCATTTCTCTGGTACATTTTTTCGACACTTTCGAAACTGCAGATTCACGACTTCACCTTCAACGCTGCAGAAAAATCCCCACGCCAACCTGCGCATCTCCACATCCCCGCACACCCTCAATATGCATGATGAAGCCCGTATATGAAGATTTTCAAGGCGCAATAAGCTAGTTAGGAATGTGTCGCAAGTCTTTGAACTTTTTGAACTTCCGCCAAGCCGGAGTTACTATATGCCAAGAACTGGGGGAAAGGAAACTAACAACACCGACCTTGATTATTTCAAGTTTGGCACCATTAATCAGATAGATCAGAATCTCCTTGATGATTAAAACGAGTAGAATTGCTAATTTATCTGATTGGTTATGGATATTTTCGACATATAAGCCTCCAAAAGGCAGTTGGATAGCAAATGGCGCAAGCATTATGAGAGGGCTAAATTCACCCTTGTTCCAAATCCATAAAAGAATCTTAGTGTGTGGGGATATGATGATCAACATCAAATAGAGTAGGACAGCCACGCAGCTTTGTAGGAGCCCGTCTTAGACTGCTTGAAATAAGGAAGTTGATTCGTCAATGTATCCTCCTTCGACACATAGCACATTGACCACTGGTCTTTTCGTGACGGTAGAATTCATTGGATTGCGCAACTAGGCTTGTCCACAGTTGTATGTGGAAATAAAAGTTTTACCTTCACATTCGTTTCGCTCCAGGAAAACTCTTGATATGTGGCAGCTTTGATGCAGCCAGTATCTATCGATGGAGCGGCAACGCGTGCATATCACGCACCATGTACGAACAGTGCCACTTTCGAGGCCACGATCTCTGCTGCAGCTCGGACAGACAACCCAATTTTGGCGAGTCATGCTGTTACCAATTCCGAATTTGTTTCGTCTTCAATAGGTCAAGAAAATGCCCTCCGGTAGCTTGCACTGCAATCTACATTTGACGCAACAAAGAGATTGATACCAAGGATAGCAAAGTAGCACAAACAAACAAACAAGACCAGCTTCCCTATTAAACGTAGAACTATTCATTAGTATCATAAGATTAGAAGCTAAAGAGTCACAGCGGCTCCTCCCTAGCTTGAACTCATGATCGCTCTGTCCAAAAAGTAACTTGCCACTAGCATTCAATTTTCGAAAATTCTGTTAAGAATATCTCCTTCACAGTCCATTTAGAAGAAAGGCGCCATGCCTACATGAGAAGAAATGCAACAATCAGATATACTTGCATAACCTTATCTGCCTACCCAGTATATCTAGATATGATGTTCAGAAAAGAATCACTGAAGTATCAATATGCATCCGAGTACATACGATGACTTAACCCATTCCATTGGACATCGATTGGATATAGATACCAACTTCGAGCGTGTTACTGCGTGTTGAGAGTCAACAGAGGAGCATTTTATCATCGTAAAGATTTTGAAACAGAATGAAGTTTGTAGTTGGTGATGTCCCCTTGATCGTGAGTTGAAGAGAATCTCGAGAATGTAAACTTAGGTAATCTTACCCCACATCCTATAAGGTTACGCTGGCCTTGCATTTTAGCCTTCCCCTTCCTACCCCTGAAGTAATCACGTCACACATCATTGAAGCTGTTCGCCGTTGCCATCTTATTGAATTGAGTCAAAACACACATTAACAGCTTTACTCCTTTGAACCTGCAGTCTTCTCATTCAATCGGACCACAATGACCGCCATTTTTGCTCGTGTAGTTCCAAGAACAATTCGTGCATTACCCCGCGCTTCTCCTATTCAGAACTCCTTCAGAGCTCAAGTTGTTGCCCCTCTTTCGCGACGATTCCTGGCCACAAACACTTTACCTGAGCAACCACGATTGAGATTGGGTTCCGAAGGTATGGTCTTGTTAATTGCTCAATAATTTCTAAAAGCTTGACTTTATCTGTGATTCAGTTGATGTTAACAACTATCCACACACAGCACCCAACTTCCAAGCCGAAACAACTCAAGGTCCTATTGATTTCCATAAATTTATCGGCAACAGATGGACGATCTTGTTCTCCCATCCCGCAGACTTCACGCCAGTTTGCACGACCGAACTTGGTGCTTTTGCAAAACTGAAGGACGAATTTGAGAAACGGGATGTGAACATGATTGGGTTGGTATGCTATCACTTCATGACGTTTATCGGAACTCAATGGTATTCAACATATCGTATGCTAATATCTGGGTTGGTTTGAAATAGTCCGCAGATCCCCTCCCTTCTCACAAAGAATGGATCAAAGACATCAACGAAGTTTCTGGTACCACACTACAATTCCCCATCATCGCGGATGCGGACCGCAAAGTAGCTTATCTCTACGATATGCTTGACGCTCAAGATACGACCAATATTGATCAAAAAGGCATTGCATTCACCATCCGTTCCGTCTTTATTATCGATCCTGCCAAGAAGATCAGACTTACAATGATGTACCCGGCTAGCTGTGGGCGGAATACCAAGGAAGTGCTGAGAGTCATTGATAGCTTGCAGACGGCAGATAAGAAAGGTGTCACTACACCCATTGATTGGCAGGTAGGAGATGATGTTATTGTGCCACCAACAGTCAAGACGGAAGATGCGAGGAAGAAATTTGGAGAGGTTAGAGAGGTAAAGCCTTATTTGAGATTCACAAACGTTGGGCAGTAGAATTTTTGCTCTATCGTTGCTATCTTGATACCATTGTACGACGGTATAATTAGAAATGCTTAGCATTACAGATAAGAGCTCATTATTTCAACGACTGAGCTCATAGCTAAAATCTCACAACTTAACTCGCTCATCACATTCATCTCTCTCAGCGACCAGAAATTCTTATCCTCAAAACGATGGCGAAGTTTCTCTTGAATCCTCCCCAGATTACCAGATTACGGCGTCTCTGGTCTCGGGTGGCCATACAGCATCAAACTTCTGGAAGTATGCAACACGTTTGAATGAGCCGCACCCGAAATCCATCAAAATCAATCCCAGGCAGATTCTTCGCTCCATTCCATCGCTCACCTGCTTGAACATTACCAAAGTGCGTTCTTTCGTCGAACTCCAAGATTTCATGGTGGTCTTGCGACGCTCATTCTTAATAGAAGGGCCCAGTATTTTTTCCTTACATCCAATTTTGCATCAGCGTAAAACATCCCTAGTGCCAGCCCGTTGTACATTGCGACGTTCTCTCGAAATGGACTCACGAAGCAAGAAATATCGACTTTAAGAAGATGGCCTTTGACAGGGATTGATCCACTTTTCACTGGCCCATAGCGATTGGAAACGAAGTCTATGTGGGCGCCTACCAACATTGCATCCCACAAAATATCTGTATCCTCGAAATCTGGACAAGAGTAATAACCAAGTGGTGTATCTTCTGTTAGCAGTTTGATGCTCTTGAAAGCCACGGGAGCATAACTGAAGAGGGTACGACACGATGCCCATGACCATGAAGGGGCGCTATATTCAGAATCAGCCGGTAACTTGGAGCGACGAACGCATCCAGAACTAGGCCGACGAGGCAGCCAGCACAATGCTTGCGGGAAATCGCGCGCCCAAAGGCCTGCAAGGTACGTATCTCCTATGATTGATCCAAGCTGATACGCCAAACCAGCAACTGCCGGAAGCTTGTCTTTTCTATGCAATATTTGCTTTCCTGAATACGCTTCTAGCAGTTGGTACCAGGTGTCTATTTCTCGGGGAAAATAGAATTGCTTTTGTCCTTTTTTCAGAGCTAGGTAAGGAAAGGTAGCAAGCTTACTACCAACAAAGATATCAAGATCTCCTGCATCTTTCGCTGGGTCTTCGTCAGATCTTTTGTTCTTGCGACATCGGAAGTGCATGCCAACAGGTGAGTATATCAACGTCCGAGCCGCCAAAATGCTTTCTTGGAGTACCCAGGCCCTGCCAAAAAGTGGGCATGGTAGAGAAATACCCACTTCACCAGTTTCGTGTCCGGTTTGAATACACGGTCGAATCCACAAAGATCTCACTATACTCTTTGTCTCTGAGCCAAGAACATGACCAAGTTTAACACTCAATCTCTCGGGTAAGAAACCGCTATCTCCGTCAAGCGCTGCTGCAGCTGCGATGTTGAATTCAGCGTTATTGTAGACGAAGCACATTTTGGACGACTCTTCAATCCAATCTTCATCGGAGTCCTGAATAATGCAAAGCGAATCGATCCACAAATATCGCATTTGTAGTTCTCTAGTTACTCGTACAGCGTCTGCATATGTCTTGTTCAAACTATTAACCGGAATTGCGTATTTTCTTTCATTCAAAGTGTTTTTCTTAGTTGACAAGTGCGTCGATTTACCCCAGCAGTGGCTCAAAGTGACGTACTGCCAGTCCATCCCAGTTTTAACGCCAGAGGGCGAAGATCCATAAGTGTCTATAAGATGTGGTACACTGAAATCACCGCTTTTATCGGGATACCCAACGTCAATCAGCCTCGATGGGAGGCACTTCGAATTGAATCGTACGCGACATCCATCATGATTTTCCAAACATTCTCTGAGCCATTCTCTTGTCATGTTGACGGTGTTTGATGCCAATGGATCTGGTGCTTGGTGATATTTCAAAGGCCAGATCTTGTGCTTATCCCCCTGCACGTAGAGTTGCAAACAGAGCCCTCCATACATCACCATTCCATTTCGCTCACGAAGAAGCTTGCAGCTGAAATACAAATCATGGGAATTCTCTGGTGAGAACTTGCGCCAAGACTCCAGATTTAAGTAATGATCGCCGTTCAGAAATTTCAACAACATCTGGCACAACCGGCAGCTCTTATCAGTAGAAACCTGGAGGCTTGCTAGATTTTTATGATGATGCAAATGCGGTTCCCATCCATTCCATGAGATGGGCCAGCTTGACTGGTTCTGAGGCTTTGAAGCTTGGATCATCGTCTTGGAAGTGATCCAAGTGCGAAGTCTTTTACACTTTATGCATAATGGCATGATGATTATGTGTAAACCATGACTTTATGAGAACAAATGCCAAGACTTGGTGTGAATATCTGTATGTAATGGTCAAGATAACTCGAGAAACAACAGAGCTTTATGGGTTGCCGTGAAAAGGATTTCTCGGGTGCTACGATGGCAAATGATGTGCCAGAGGTAGCACGATGTCTGTGCGATGACAGATCGTGCAACGAAGAGTCTAAAAGATATAAGACGAATTATTAATTTCAAAGTCTTTTCATATTGAGGATGTAATTTGATAGGCCATTGATAAATCTGTGAACGGTTTGAAAAAGAAGGAATCATGAAATTGAAAGGTCGGGTAACCAGTCACTGAAAGTCTGATCAGGCTCTTTTTTCCGGGTACGCTTTGAGCAATTCCGGATAGCGAATCATTCAATCGCAATTTTACATCGGGGGATACAAGAGCCTTCCACTGGGAAAGCGAGCTGGGTAAAGGAGAAAAAAGCAACCAAATACTGATCTTTGCATGGTTTTGTAACATATATTCAGTCTTCCGATTCCTTGGTCAAGCAACAGGGCTGATGAATCTCCATCTCAGGAGATTTCTGGATGCCGGTAAGTTCTCTAATGTTCTATCAATGATAGAACTTTCTCTCAGCCAAACACTGCTTAATCTGCCTCTTCTTGTTTTAAATCTCATGTCCTATCTATTTGCGAGAATCTCATATTTGTGTCGGAAGTGCAATAGAAGTGATTCAACTGATTCATTCTAGCATCTCGGCACCTGAGACGTATCACGTCGCCGGGTGCTCTTCGAGAACAAGGCAGCGCCTTCCGGTGCGATGTGCTAACGTGAATGTAGGCGCACGCGTAGAAGCCCCTCAGGGCTGCATGATCGAAAATTGGGATTCATGCATTTTCTCTACGTTCGACTGAACTCACTCGTCAGGCCTTCGGTGAGCATACACAATAGTTTTTCTGGATCTTGTGTTTCTCATGAGGCCTTGGTATCTTTTCTCTTCGGTGATATTTGACTCTCTATCCTTTTGCCAACTCCAGATCGAAATCCACTAAGCCCGCCAAAGAAGACTTTTTTGGTATCCAGATGTTCTATCGATATCTTCTCAGCCTCGAATGAGAAAGCGGGACGAATTTCAAACCCTCGTGACGTTATTAGAAATGCCGGTGGGGGACAGTAGTCTGGATTAGTTCACTTAGCAACCGTTAAACTAGAAGGTTAGCGCCAGGTCGGTAGTATTAGCGTAAAGCTTGGCATCGGACAGGTAGTGGGGCTGAGCTTGAAGACATGGAGAAGGTGAAATGTGAACAAAGTGCATAAGTAACTGTTTAGGAATCAGAGAAGATTCCCGATGAACTATGCCCTCGCATCTTGTAGAGAAAAAATTCCACGGACATGAGCTTCAAAGAGCACCCCGCCTTAGAACAAAACTCGATCTTGCAAATCACCAACTCTGAATTGTGTTAGTTAACTTTCAAGGACTATTAGCGAAATATGGTGCAGTAATTAGTATAGTTAGAAGAAAAATGAATTTCATTACAATGGACATGGTTACCATTGGTTAAGCCATACCCCTTAGGGCTCTGGAATCGATCTAATTACATATCATATGCCTATTCAGGCTAGCACCTTCTTCTACTACCTTTATTTCATAATCACCATTTCCATCTTGTCAACTAATTGGTGGATGTTAGTGTGATGTTAGTATTATACTATGACGTTTCCGGCTCCAAAGCGAAGATAAGAACTTCTACAAGTTCTCAGTAGATTCATTTCTATTTCCAGAAACCACGTTTCATGTTTCTTCCATAAGAAAAGATAAATGAAATAACAATTGCTTCAAAAGAATCATCAATTCAAAGGAGAATACGTAGCAATCATGACGGCCCATAACAGCAGTCGTTCTCAATATACTCGTAAGTAACTCCATTTTGCATTCATTCTCAAGAATAGATCGTCCATCACAGTATGAAAATGAAATGACTAACACCTAACAAGCCATAACCACTGCATCTGATGTTTCAATCGAGCCCTGCCTTTCGAATCCTGCAGCCGTTGCGAAGGATACTCAAACTTCAAATCCTGACCCTTCATCTTCGATTACCGATGCAGAGAAGACCAAAGTTGAGAACAAAGACAAGGAAGACGGAAATGGTAGATATGAGAAAGTTCGCCGCCCATCACCAAGAGATACCGATGTTATTTTTGGTAGGGACTCTGACGCTGGCGTCGAACCTGTATCCGAACTCGACTTTGAAACCAATTCCATGACGCCAGTAGGCGACAAGGGCGAACAAGAGAGTGAAGTTTCATCTTCTCTTCAGCTCACACCCACATCTACGGCTTGGTTCGTTACAGAATCTGATTCCCAATCGATACACCAGATTTCAGCCAAGACAGAAATTGATCATGGTTCCGCATCTGGCGAGGGGGCAGATGCGAACCACGAAGCCGAGACTGCATCTCAAGCAGCTGCACATTTAGATTCATTGGATCCTTTGAACCCATCCGTTGAGCAAGACGATGCAAGACGCAATGCCAGCATACGAGCCAAGATAAAAGGTCTTCAGAAGTGCGCCGTCATAGCACTCTTCCACATATACCTCGCTTTTATACTTCTCCTCACAACCGTATACCTTGAGATTGTTCTTCCTGAAGATGACCAGGCCTACTACTGTGGCCGCCCTTCGATGATGGCGCTGCTAAACAGTGTCATACTCTTGCTTTCCTGGGAGACGTTTGTTCTAATTGATTTGATATTGATAGGCGACATGGGGTTTCGTGACATCAGATATCATGATGTGGAAGAGATTCCAGACGTCCGGTTGACCGAGGTGTTGAATCAATTGAGGTTTCATCGTATAAGAAGTATTGTAACGCCACTTATCGCTTGGATATGGTTTTACGGGTTTGCGAGTGGGCCTGTGGCCCAGTTTCCGATTTTTTATGCGAAAGGAATATGCTCGGCAGAGGAACTAGGGAGGGGAGGGAACAGTACCACAAATGCCACGGCTGTTGCATTTGCTGACTCTACCTCGCATGTCCTGCTGGGAGCAGTTAAAAATGCTACTAACGCCACTGTGAAAGCTCTCATGGACGCTGCAGCTAAGGATTGAATAGCACAACATTGTTTTGTTGAGGGCTTTCCTAATAGTTGAATCATATCAGACACAAGGCCTTAAATATACATTCTATGAAAATTCTCGTTAATTTACACTGACATCTATCCAACTCCCATGTTCCGCACTTATACAATAAATCGTGCGAGGGTACTTGAAAATGATTCCATCACCTCAATCTTTCAATGGGTCTTCCTTCTCTCACCCGCCCGATTAGAAACCAAGCACAACTAGCCCAACACATACCAAAACCAATCCAATTGGAAGCTGGCAGCTTGAAACCGGCCATAATTGGTAGTAAGAATGCAGCTCTTGGCACAAACAAAAAGCTTGTCGTAAGGGGACCAGTTGCTCTAGTCAATGCAATTGTGCACCAGAATACTGCCCATGATCCAGTGCCGCCACAAAGAACCATCAACCAATGAAAGAATACATCCAGGAAATAGCAATTGCGATAGACATCTGGCAGTTCACCAGATAAGAGGAGAATAGGGATGAAAATGAGGATGGAGAGAAGGGAAGTATAGTGTAGCAGACGCCAGTATGCTCGATTTTCTTCGCGGGAACCAGAGAAATCAGATGGGCCGTTACTGGAAGCGAAACCACCTATGAGGTCGCCTTGAGGGACAAGTTGAGCGACCAGCGCTTTATATGTACGTTGAATCTGAACAGGATATAACGCGACAAAAATGGACGAGAAGACTCCAGCAACTATACTTTCCCATGGAGCACGAAGGCCAGCCTTCATCGTGCCTAGTAGCAGAAAGAGAGTAGCAATCAACGCTGATGAAATAGTGGATGCAGAATGCTGCTGTTGCCCAAGGATCGCAGTGAATAGTAGAGAAAATGGAATGATTCCAATCCTAGCCATGACATATATAGAAAGTTCGGCGTAAGCGAAAGAGATATTGCTCAGTATAAGTTTCACCACAAAGATAATGGCGAGGGGCAAGACTTGCCGAGCGACAGCATAGTCAAATTCGAACAGCCCACCACCAGCAATACCTCCGGAACTTGCAAATGACAACCTTCCCAGAGTCGAAAGTAATCCATGTTTCTTTCCCTCTCCTCTAAACCCAGGTAAGTTTGAATTATGTAAAGGTGTACTTGGCGCAACCGCACTCGACACCCCAGCAGTGATGCACACTGGACTTGCTAATCTTGTAAGGAATGCCGAAAGCCATAAAAATCCGTGGGTAATCAATAATTCGATAAATGTAGTCGTTAAAGGCCAGGGAAACTTATAAACTCCGGCTAATAAGATCATAAGCTTAGTATATGAAGTATAATTTTCTTGTAGGTACCCACTCCAAAGAACTATTCTGTTCATGACAGTCAGACCTATGCCACAGCCCCCTAACCAAAATACCAGAACTCCGACATAAAACCGCCAGCCTAATGTTGTGTTGAAGAGAAATTGACCCAGTCCTCCACTGTAGAGCGCATATCGCCAACCTATGTATTTTGGTTCTACCCCGGAAAGAATAGGTCGCCTGGATGATGTGCCCCAATTATCGTATTCTTCGTCGCTTTCTGATGTCGGGTCGGGACCCGAAGCAGCTTTTGGGCGATAAGGGGAAGGACTTCTAGATATATTTATGAGTGGGATGGATGGGTGAAGTTCAGATGAGGTCGTTGCATTTCGGGAAGACATCTTATCACCGCTCTCCCCATCTGAGTCCAAACTACTAATTGAATATCTTTTTCGATGATTCGACCGAGTTCGCGGTAGATTAGAATTCGCAGTATTGATAAGGTATTGGAGCGCGGGTCGAAATGGATTTGGGGTATCGGTGTTGCGAGCTGAGAACATGGCATTAATTAAAAATTAAATGAAAGGAGAGAACAATTGTTGCATGCCTTAGGTAGAAGAATGAAGTGTCAAATATATGTGTGTAAGATCAATGAAGTATAAAAATATAATTCATTGAGATTGTTCGAATTCTATGTTACCTTTGTAGACACGACACGATACGGATTCCTCCTTTTCATTAAAACTGGAGACGTCGTCGTCGTCGTTGTGGTCGTACTCAGGATATGCGAATCTGGTGTCAAATTAGAATAATTAATACGGATTAATCGGATTCAATCGATCTGAACCCTTGCTGTCGATCAATTGTGCTTGGTATTGAATACTGACTGCTTGAATGGTTCACCCGCTCACCCGCCAAACTTTTGTAACCGGAGAAAACGGTTTCGCCAAATCCCGTGACCGTAATTTCTCTCGATGGCTGAGGTAATCCACAATTATTCGAGATCTGGAGCGAGATTGAGTCAAGGTTAGTAATAATGAGGTAAACACCTATATTTCCAAAAAAACATGCCACTATCTCTTCTCTCTTTTTGTTTTCTTCACCTCAATTTTTGATCAATGGCTTCAATATTACCAGGACTGCGAAAGGCAGCTCCCAGATTATCTAGGGATTTCTTTATATGTCATCAATGTTTAAAACAACCTCGTCCTACATTGCGGCAAACAAAGTTCCCCGCCAAATCCATATCTTCCCGCTCAATACGATTCAATAGTAATATAGCTACAATTACTGAATCTGCCAATGGAGCCTCGCCACTAAGTTCGCTGGCTGAATCCTTGAGCAAATCAAGTCAAGCAATAAATAAAGAATCATCACGAAGCAGATTCCCGGAAACAAGTTCGAAATCAGTGGGTTATTGGCTGTTGGGAAGTGCTGCAAGTGTATTTGGAATCGTTGTATTTGGAGGTCTCACACGGTTGACAGAGTCTGGGTAAGTGTGATGTGACCAAGATTCTTTCGTTTGCCTTATTTATCCTTCTGGTTTCCAATGCAGCCATCTTGAAGCGCTTTGCTGACTTCCTTCAAGTCTTAGTATTACAGAATGGAAACCCGTAACTGGATCTCTTCCACCTCTCTCTGCCGCAGACTGGGAGAGCGAATTCGACTTATATCGAGCCTCACCTGAATTCAAGCTTCTCAATCCACATATGACTATGTCAGAATTCAAAAAGATATACTTTATGGAATGGTTTCATCGCCTATGGGGTCGGTTTATTGGACTCTCTTTTGTTGTCCCAGCGGTCTACTTCGTCGCCCGTCGTAAAGTCTCAAAGCCTATGGCTCTTCGTTTATTTGGAATATCGGGACTTATTGGCTTTCAGGGAGCTATTGGTTGGTGGATGGTTAAGTCAGGATTGAAAGACGATCTTTTCGCCCCCGGCTCTCATCCCCGTGTTTCTCAATACAGGCTTACCACACATCTCGGCACTGCTTTTATCTGTTACACTGCAATGCTCTGGAACGGTCTCTCAATTCTTCGCGACCGCAAACTTTTATTTAACTCTACACCCGCTCAGGCGCATGCTCATCTTCTTCGTCTATCATCGTCCTCACTATCAGTATTCCGTAAATCCGTTGCTGGTCTCGCTCTTCTTGTCTTCACAACAGCTATGTCCGGTGGATTAGTCGCGGGTCTTGATGCTGGTCTTATTTATAATGAATTCCCTCGAATGGGCAAGGGATTCGCGCCACCAAAGTCCGAACTCTTCTCCGAGTTTTATTCCAGACAACCGGACCGTAGTGATTTGTGGTGGCGTAATATGCTCGAGAATCCATCAACAGTGCAATTGGATCACCGTATACTAGCATCTACTTCATTTACTGCTATTCTCGCTCTATGGGCATATTCACGCTTCAACCCTAGAGTTAAAGCTGCACTCCCAAAAAGTGGGGCAAAAGGAATGCTTGGTGTAGTCCATCTTTTGATGTTGCAAGTTACTTTGGGTATCAGCACTCTGATATACTTGGTACCCACTCCACTTGCTTCTGCCCATCAAGCTGGAAGTCTTGCATTATTGACTGGGGTCGTCGTTTTGGGTAGTCGAGTCTGGATCCCCAAAAGAACCATGGCTATTTTGAGAAGAAAGTTAGCATCGCAAAGTCCACAAGCTGCTAACGTGAAATTCGCAAGCCGGACGTCACCGCTTGTAGCGAAAACTTCTTGATGCCGAAGTTTGCGACTGTATATTTAAAAGGGATAGATGTAAAGGTGTTTGGGAAAAAGGAGAAAGGCGTACAGTTAAGCTCATTTCATGTTTAGACTATTAGCCTCTCAACTCTGTATATCAATTTAATGAATTATGAGTATTCATCCTACTTCCATAAGTACGATTCTTTGTCGCTCAACATTAATCACTTAACGGGCTACTTCCCCTTGATTATTTCGCGAACATTTGTTCATCAACGAGATACACGTGCCATTGTCATGATTGAGGGCGATTTTATTCCCACATGAAGAAGAAATAAGAATTGTCATTTGTTGAAAATAGACGAGATCCAATGCTGTATTAATCGGTCGCGTGCGTCCTTGAGTCAGCCCAACACAACCACCAACTTGAAAAGTAATCCCACAGCGATAAAAACTACTATTCCCTCAGATCTTCCACTTCCGACTGAGTAATCCATGAATTCCAGTTCCTTTACTTGTTACTGTCTGTATATGTGTAATAGTACCCATCATCATCAACCTCCTCGTCGCGTTTTGAAACTTCCGCCGTTGAGTCTCCGTTGTTAAAGAATCCTCGCTTCTCCTTTGAAACATTTGATACATCTGCATTGTTGAAAAATCCTCGCTTCACCTCTGACCCTGCATCATTGTTATTGAAGAAACCCCGAGGAACACTAGCTTCACGTGTGGCTGTCATATCGATGTCAGTGGAATACAAATATGTGACGAGCAGTAGGCATACCAAGTGAGCTGAGTTCAATGATCGGTGCTGCCATAACGGCGATGGCCAGCGTGGCTGATGCAAGACAGAAGGTTTGGAAATGCATGATGGTGGCGAATTTGCGGTGTGCGGTCGTTGTGTATGGACAAGTGCTCTTTGAAAAGGCTTCTTATTCTGATATTTTCTTGACCTGGCTGACCTTTTTGGGAGTGTTGCTGGCCGACAGTTAAGACGGGTTTATATAGTAAATGCTTGGATATATGATCCTCCCACAGTCCATTCAGTCCGGTGATAGTTCATTCCCGGTCTCGTTTCTATCTTCACGGTGTCGGAACTGGTGTCAAAAGTCTCATCGGGTTGCTTGATTGCTTGAGTGAGGGGTACATTTATCACCTCGCACAATATACAGGGGGGTATCGCAAGACCGGATTCTCTCATCATTCAACGAACTGCCATCTGGCGTGTTGTTTGCACTTTCGCTTTTCTCTTGTTAGCACAGCAGTCAACTTACGCTGCCGTATATCCGGTATGGCAATGCTCAAAGTCATCCCTCACATCGTGAATATGTATTCATGAAGAAATCGGCCAGATAAATGGTGGGATAAAGTTACTACCACTTTATTCGCCGAGTCTAGACAAGCTAGTAATCACGCGATGGTCTGGCCGAGTAAGTGATTGCGATCTTTAGAACAATGTCATGGAGCCACTTTAGCAGCGGTGAGAAAACGGCCATACATATTGTGGTGCGTGAGATGTGGTGTAAATGCATGTTAGATGTGCATGATGTTGAGCTTAGTATTGCACAACAGAAGCGACCTGCCATTGTATTCATAAATCGAAACTGCTTATCAAACCACTGTCAACCGCGTTGGCAAAATATGTCAAGATACTTCTCAATGATGCCATAAGAATTATTAGAACGAATGGTTGATTATCTTCAAGGATTTAGGTTTGCGATTGTATTCCGTAATCAAATTATCTTGCAAAGGTCATGAGAGTGCGAACAACGAGAATTGATAGAATTAGATTATCAACCGTCTAACTAGTTGCCTTAAAAGACTCAATGCTCAACTTCCACAACTCTTCAGGGTCCTTGCATTGCCTCTCCATCATCCCGTCGACATTTTCCTTTCCTTTGGAATCAGCTTTTGGCGGCTCGAGTGTTCCATCAGCTGTACATAGTACTGTCTAGAATTTTGGTGTGAAATCAGTGCGAAGTTCATCAATCTTTTTTAAGAAAGACATTGAATCCCATGGCATCCTGCTTTGTTCTGTCGCTTGCAATTATAATCCCACATGAACATCCGAGCAAGTTATCCTCTAATCAAAATTTATGACCTCCAGATTGTTTCCGAAGCCCTCAAAGAAGTCAAGAAAAATGTGAATGGAAACTGTACATACCTGTCTCAGATAATCAAAACAATGCAACCAATGTAGTGGATCCCCATGTTCCATGTGACCAAAATCATGACCATGGCCATGATTTCCTCCTGCTCTCTTGTTCTTCTGTTCCTTCCTCATCTTGCTCTCCGTCTCTTCATCATCTTCCATCTCATCATCATCTTCTCTCTCATCATCATCTTCTCTCTCATCATCATTCTCCATCTTTCCCATCTTCAACTTTTCAACTTCCATCTTCAACTCCTCTATCTCCCTGAACAATTCCTGGACTCCTCCCCTCATAATTCCCAAGCAGTGGAGAGAGTGAAACATGGTTATCCCATATTTATGTTTCTTCCCCTTTTGCACCTCTCCTTTCTTTCCTTCCACATTTCCTTCCCCATTTGACTCTGTGTCTTCGTCGTAAACCCTCAAAAATCCTCCATTTTGTGGGAGTAATTCATTCCAAAGATGATCATATTCATGAGAAATATTTTCATATGTCGAATGTTCGGAAAATAGAACAGTTTTAGAGGGAGTTGATGAGGGGTTAAGGGATTCGGGAATCGAGGGTGTGGATGATGGGGAGGTATGTGAATCAGATGAAGAGGGGTGAGAGACAAAGAACACTGAGGATGTTTGAAGAAAATATACAAGGGTTGTGAGGATGATTATTAGGAAGAGGAAGGAGATGAGGAGGGATGAAGATTGTTTCGTAGAGGTGGAGCGGAATGTCAACATTTTTTTCGACCTCTTTTGTCTTTCCTTTATCTTATTTCATAGTGTTTGAATTTGTCTCTCAAATTTGCGATGCAGCGTAAAACTGCAATAATAATCGAAATCCAGCATTCTATTATTTTTTGATCATGTATATCTGTGAAGAAATATGAGGGTCCGCTATCAGTACATATCACCTTCCTATAAAACTCTAGTTCCCGAATGCCAAGCGATGAAAGTCTTGGCAACTGCCCTTCGGGTAAATCGCTGGACTGCCATTTTCGGGTGTGGGAGATATGCGAGTGACCCCTACTCGGTATCTGCCCGTCGAGCCCGTAGGACGCTCGAGGGACGGTACTTAGCTGTATATGTTAGACACTGTAAGATCCTGGAGTTGTTGTGGAGAAGATGATATGTACCCCACTATTTCCAGAGCTGTTTTCGGAATTGAGATGATTAGCGATGGGGGCAATTGAGGCGGTTGAAGCGATGGATTGTTGAGGTGGAGAAAGGTTTGCTCATGACTATCATGAAATTCAGATGTAATATAAATTGGGGATAGGTATTCATGATGCAAGTAAAAATAAACTAAAAGATTCTGTCGAACATATAGACTCCAATCCGCAGCAATGTATAGCCCATCATCGTCTCCCAAACCCTTACGCAATTCCCGAAATATTCACCGGACTCCTATGCTCTCCCATCCACTTCAAAACATGTTTCCAATCTCTACACATATGCGTGATACCCCACCCATCAACTGTGAACGGAGGCTTCCCATCCGGCATCTCCATTGCCCATTCTATAGTCATATCCGCAGAACACATCATTGCTTGTCGTAAATAATCGAAACAGTGGGACGTATGTTGTTTTTCTGATTCTTGAGCTGCCGAGTCTGAGAGGTTTTCATCGCCGTAGATGTGCGGGCGAACTCTCATGAGTACCGAGTTGTAGGATTCGCGGATCATGCCCTGTGGGTGTTAGATGGTGATATGGGTGGATTTTAGAGCAAAGAGGGAAAGAGATATTACCAGACAATGGAGTTGGTGGAATACGGAAACTGAATATCGATCTGGTCCATTTACTGATGGTAATCCTGGGCGAAGACCGTATTCTTTGGGCTCCTCGACAAGAATGAAACCTCGTCCAGCTGGTGATATTGGGTTAGCTTTTGTTGAAGATGTCTCGACCAGTAAACTTCTAGGGGTACAATTTACCTGGCATTAAATTATCCCATGCTGAATCTGTTTCTGGACTAGAAGCAACAGCATATCTTTCGTCTTCTTCAAACATAACTGGATGTGATGGAACTGCTTGATATGAGTACGTGATATCTAAAGTGACCATGATCTTTCCACGAGGATTTTTTATCCCGAACCTACAATCTGGAGGAAATGTCTGTGGTACACTCCTATTAGAGATGTATAGAAACGTAGCATAGATAACCAGAATTATGGATAATCCACTGAAAAGCCCCACAGCTACTCCATATAGGAACTTTCGCCGCAAAGTAGCCGCATCGCCATCTCGTAGGTATAGTCCTTCATCATTCTCTATTTTCGGATTCAAAAGTGAATGGTATGGTAGAGAAGTTCTGCTATTGCTAGACTCGTACGAGCGAACTTCAGGCATGACGAAACCTTTTGGTTTTGTGTGCTTCTTTGAAAATGGAGGAATGAAGGTTTTGGTTCTCACCAAGTTGGGATAAACCACTTGGGTGTTTAATGAATAAGAAAGAAGCTTTTTCAACCTTTTCTTCATCTTCGAGATCAATATCTTCGCTTCGGATGTCTAAAGACCATGAATCTCGTCGCACTGCAGTGAAAATTGAGAGAAGTATGCACAAGAATGCCTTGGCTGCTCATTTATGTAATGTGATGTCTCTAGGATACACATCTTCAAGCCTTGAGACCACTAAATCTCTAGTTGCATGTAGTGTATGACACGTATAACAGAATTTCCTAAAGCCTAGATCACTCGACATAAAAGTAGCATGGCCAAGTAGTTCTCGAATTCAAATCGGAATTCATGTAAATTAGGAAAACATTCGTTCACACGGTACAATTAGAGAGTGTTGAAGAAAAACGTAAGCATAACGTGTCTGTCAGATGCAAGACTAGCCGAATGATGTGTATCACGTGATGCTGGCATAGTCCTAGCGGCCGTGCCAAAGTCCGGGGTATTCAGCACCACTTTTTCTTCACGAGAATCTTGATATCATGAAAGTCACAACAGAAAGACCTCGTGACACAAAGTCAAAGAGATAGGCAAATCTAAGGATCATGAGATGAGCAATGATTCCTCAATTGAGTCCCAAAAACTCAATCCACGCTTCTTTGCTTCCCAACATCAAATCATTCCTCTGTTCGTTATGCCCGAGGTTCAATTGTCGCAGTAATACCAACAACAAATTGTCAAAATGCCGTCTGAACCTAACATTCTTCACGTCACTTGCCACAGATATTTCCTCAAATTTACTTCTGTATGGGGGTTCACTATCTCAGAGAAGGGTTCGTCCATCCGCCCTTTTGAGAAGATGGGAACTTTTTAGAAGAAGAAAATCTATGATGCTTTCAATGCCTTCTTCGGAATTGACTTTAACAAACTCTTTGGATCCAATTAATCCAAACGAGGCTTTGTATCCCCCATCTCTTACTGAAAGCCAATCAAGTTCCCCGAATTCGAAGTTGGATTCAGAAGTGGGTTCGTCATCTCACACTGACATACGCAGGCGTCGAATGGATTCTCCAGAGCCAAAGGTCAAGACGATAGATCCTGAGCCAGAGGCTGCGTGCCCTAAATCTGATTCATCTTTGAGGCTAGATAGGAGTGAAAAAGACACCTCCGTGCCGAATCAGGGAAAGAGTTTGATTGGCAAAAAGGGGTATAAAGCTCAGTTCTGCAAGCCACCACATCAAAGGGGAATGAAGTCGAAATTCAAACTGGATCAGATCTCTGCATTGGCCGACACGGAAGCTGCATCTAAGGATCAAGGAAACACTTCTATATCAAGGCAAACTTCGGTCGTAGTCCTATGGGACATCGATAATAAAAGATATTCTCCTTTTTGTGACGACGTGGTAACTTCGTTGAAGAAGTTCGCTGGGAATTTTGGGGAGCTTATTAATATATCAGCTTTTGGTAGTCATCTCACATTCTATGGAATTGGTACAAAATTGGTAGAGGCTGGCGTGCACATTGAACGCGTGGGTACAGCACCCCAAGAAGCAGATGCAGCTCTACAACGCTCGTGGAAGAAGTGGAAGATGAAGCAGTTAGAGAAGGAACCTAGTTCTTTTGTTTGGTTAATTTTGGTCTCGGATGATGCAGGGTTTCGGTACATGTTGAGGTCAGGCAAGAGAAGTGGATTTGGAGTTGTGATTGTGAACGAATTTTTCACTAAATTGTCGTTGGAAGGTGATTTGCGCATGCCTTGGCCACAACTCAAAGCTGGAAACTATAGTTTGGACGGCTTAGCCGACCATATCGTTGGCATATCGACCATGGGTCGAAGATGGATAAGGGAGAATATGAATACAACTGATTCCGAAGATGAAGATCCAATTGACAAAGTCATACTAAAGCTTAAAATTCAACTGAAGGCTAAAAACACCATGAAAAGGGAATTGTTGTTGAGAACAATGCAAAAACGGTCGATATTGGAACAGCGCCTGAAGCGTACGAGTGAGAAAGATTTGCGAACCTTGGAGATTCTCGAAAAAGCACTACGGAAATTGGAAGATCCATCTGGGCATAAAAACATGCGGGGAATCGATGGAAGTATCTTGAAATTGGAAACTGAATTGAATGCAAGGATTGAAGCGAAGAAGACAAAGAGTTTAATTCACGAAGTAACGCCTGGGGGGGATACGTCTGATGAAGAATTTTTGAAAAATCTGACTCATGCAGATTTCGTGAAGGGATTGATGAGATTGGCGGAGAACTCGAGTTCATCAAAGATAGACCCAAGTTCGTAGAAAGCTCTTCCGGTTACTTCGATTCGCAGTCCGCAATATAAACAAAGACTCGGTACCTAAACAATGCCATGCTGATGCTGATGTCGAGCATCTGAAACTATCACACAGGGAAGAAAAATGCAATGATCACTACTTGCAAGCTGCATACAGAATGATGATCACAGAGCATGTTGCAACACCCAAATAATGTCCAGAATTATTTGTTCCCGCTTCATAGAGGAATAGGGGCGCACGATTGAGGACAGGCCGACTACGGATATAATGGTCAGCAATGATCTTGCGTACCTACCGCCACCGCAGACCACGTCCAATTTTATCAACGAGAACCTCCAGTCTCACGGCTGTTCTAGAAGAAGTTGGAGTTGATGGGCTGTCACCAAATGATTTGTATATTAATTAATGTTCAAAAATGATTGATCATAGCATAGCGAATACATTAGATGTTAAATGCATGATATGTGAATCTCTATGTATGCAGGTGATTTTCACAATCTATACTGTCGAGCAGAGAAATACTAACATGGACAAGATCCATGTAACCAAGATTTGGTATGTGGAGAGAGAGAGAAAAGAAAAGGGAAAAGGAAAAGATGGAGTAGCCTTTGCTTGTTTAAAGAGTACGATGCTTCCCAGTAAACTTCTACACACACGCTTCAGAAAGTATTTCTGATGATGGCCGCTCAATTTAGAAATGGTATATATACGTTGAACGACCCTGCTTATTCATTAAACAAATACAATTTGACAGGCGTCGTGACGGAGTGGTTAACGTGATTGACTAGAAATCAATTCCTTTCGGGGGCGCATGTTCGAATCATGCCGACGTCGATTTATTTTGTCGTTCTTTTTGACAAATTTCTGGTATATTGTTTAGTATATCAAGGTGTTTTATGTTTTTTGTTTTCAGGGATGAATTGAAGTCGGAGGATCGTTAGGCATAGGAAAAGGTGGAGTAGTCTCCATTATTGTGGAGAGAATATCCATGTTGTAAATAAACGAGAATGAAGGGGTAGTCTGATGTCGGAGTGATTCTTTTTAATTGACCTGGAGTGGGTGTTATCATCAAAGATTCGAGGCTTATAAGAAAAAGTAGTGGACTCTTGATTCAAAATCGATCAATTATTCTTATTTATCTATACATGATCCATTTTTCTACTCAAAGTTTGATACAATCGCTGAACATATACAATATGCTGGGAATGACATTCAGATGATAGAGCAAGTAGAGCACGATGAAGTCACATTTACGCCGAGACTAAAGATTTGAGAAATATAACTTGAGATTCAAGACGGCGATTAATTATAAATCATATTAAGCTTTTGGAAAATCTAAGCTTGATTCCCGTTTCTCTTCTCTAGCCCTTAATCACATCAATATCTACTGTATCTGGACAAAATAGTATGATCCTAAATAATTACAAAATCCACTGTAATATTCTTGTTCATACACTTCTTCGAAGTATTTTTGTGGTCATCGGATATGAGAATTATGTACGAGATAAAGCTAATAAGAAAGATTGTTTTGTTTTCTAACTAACCACAATCTTTGGAGGCTAGTTTTTCCAGCATCTCTGGGAATATATAGTGATTGAAAATTTTATTCGCTTTTATTGACACCTCTCCATTGTCCCCTTCCTCTCAACACTTCATAATCATGGTATTCCTGCAAAAAGAACAAACTGAGTCCTAAACATCGGTCGCAATAGTGAAATCAACTACTGAAACAAACGTCATGTCCCGGCAGGTATAAGATAGAATCAAGCAATATCGAAAACTCTCTCCTCAAAAACTCCATTTTGCATATCATTCATCAGTTCACCTTCCATTACACCGTGAACATAGCACGGCCCGATTAATTCATAAGTTCCGTCCTGGTTTTTTCGCAGAACCACTGGAACGTCCATGCCATACAATATGCATATTTTATCACCACGTTTTGTTTCATTCGGCACAAAACCGATATATCCAGATGCCGTAACGAGGAGCCTTTGGTCTCGGAGAGTACTACTGATTTGCAGCGGCAAATCCCTAATTTCTTCGGTAATATCGTCGACCGAAAAATCCAAATTTGACTCAAAGACTTCCATCGCAATATTGACCCAGTCACTGAAAGATCTCCCCGCGAATTTCAGCATCGCATTCTTAGCATAAAACAACCTGACTTCATCTAAATCATCCCAGTTCCATATATCTTTCAATGGCCACTTTTCTTTTGGTATTACCACAGACTTGAACGTCAGATACAAAGTTCGGCTCGCAGAAGTTGCTTTGGCATACCAATTTTGACGAGACGATACCAGAGTATTCCAAATAGCATGCAATAGATCGTCCCTAGTAGGATAGCGTGATTTGTCTGTAGTCGATTGTTGCAAGCATGTATGACCGGACAGAAATTGGAGAGTCGGTTTCTCTAGAAGATTAAATTGGGGTACATTAGTAGCTGAGCCCATACCATCAACAATATCTAATATCAGACCTTTAGCCGATAGAATACCTGCTTCCACATGGACTCCAGAGAAGGTCATTGTTCCGGACGCCATGAATACATGACATTCATCTGGCTCTTTCAATAGGAAATCCATCAGGTCTCTCGAATGTGACGATGTGGTGAAGTCGGGAACCCAAGACGGCAGGCCATTCATTCTACGAGACTTCGGCAACATACAAATAATGTTCAGTGATCTCTCTTTTTCTACAAGGATTTCAACTGTATCTTGGAGAACCAACTGAACAGGTTTGGTATAATCAGGGCTCACACTATCTTGATCCTCGGCAAGACCTAAGAGTGCATATATGCGATCTCGCGGGTCGGAACAAAACGACAACCTATCCCGATACAATAGCTGAGTCAGTCGAACTCCGAGACCGCGTGCTCTGCGATATCTAACATCTTTGATGATTGAAATCCTTTTCATGGCCTCGTAAACTCCGACAGGTACCACAATTGGGAACACTGCACATTTTGAGCTCAAATAATAGAAGTACAAATGAGCACCATTGAGTATGTTCCATGTAACAGAAACAGTACCGTAATGTAATCGAATGGATTTTGCAAGTACGATTTCTTGAAACACCCAAGTTCGTCGCCACCATTCTTTCAAGAAGAATTGACTTACTACCCTCGCATAGTAATCATCCGACCATACCGGCCATTCAGAGTCGAGCGACCTGGATCTAACATTCTTCCTAGCCCAATCTAATTTGAGCAGGATCTCTCGTAAAGTGGGCGCATCGCTTTCAACCATGGGTACCCCAATCCATACACTGACCGTTTCAGCAGAGGAGTAAATAATGCCCATGCGCATGACTTGAGCTCCTCGCTCTATCACATCACACTGATTAATGCAGATTGCATCTACCCACAAGAAGGGTAAATTCTGGGATTCACCCTTCATATCACTTGTCAACTGCCTCAAGCAATTTGCAAGATTGGTATTCACCATCACTTCGACACCGTTGACAATAATTGGCGATAACCGAGCTGGGTCTCCCCAAACATACGACAGGGCATTATACTTCCTCTCCTTCTGAAAAAGAAGCCTTGACTCTAGTACTAAGTCCGATTGATGGCCTTGCGAATTTGAACCATCTGATTGTGTGTGGAAAAGTGTGCATGATGGTAAATCTGATGGATGATGTCGTGGATATAGTCTTAACAAACGAATTTCATTCAGATCTTGATTCAAAGGTCGATACAGTGATGAAGGCACTCCCCTTGATCGATTATGCTTTTGTGATGTGCTCAATGATTTTGCAGAATCGGGTCGAATAGTGGTTTTATAGCGACATACAAATATATGTATGGATTGTAGTAGAAGTACTAATAATATTGGGTTCTGCAATGTATTCAATAACGCTCGAAGGTTGCGCAGAATGATGTTCTTCTTTCGAAAAAAATGAGGAGAACAATAAATATAGTGAAGCAGGTACGAGAGTTTTAAGATCATGTGATGTGCACGATAATTCTTGAAAGGACGGACGGATATCATTGATTTTTCGGAAGAAGGAAACAAATGAATAATATGATGGTGAAGATATTGGCATTTTTGGATTTCGTGATATGTTTAAATGATTCTTGAGTAATGTTTGTCTTTCCAAAGAATGAGTAAATATATTGCATGCAAGCTGCTGCGGGCAGAACTAATATGCGGGGATATGATTCTTCGGCTTAACGCTGCCACGTTTATCGGCATAACAGATTGGCTACCAGTCTACCAATCTCACTCTGAGAGGCTATTAAACATCCAGCCTTAGCCAATAAAGAGTCTCTACAAAATAACTCGATGACATTATGCTAACTTAATATAGGTACCTACATTGTACAGTGAGCCTTCCTTTACTTTTCTTTTTACTCTCATCTCTCCTTTCGCCTGCCATCTTCTCTTCTTCTTCTCAACATTAAGCGAAAAGGCTTCTCCCGATAATTCTTCCATGAAGAATGATTCAAATGAACCGAGAGAACGAGATGGTTCGATGACCTTAAAAGCGGTCCCCCAAAACAGTCATGCATCAGCAAATAAAAGCTATTCCCACGCCCAGCTTTTCTCTTTCTCTATGACCATCTGCACACACTCTCTTTTGTTTCGATATAGGATCTTAATTGTCGCTATTGTACTGTTTTGGGTTGAGATTAAGGCCTCACCTCGCGTTCTGATTTTTGGTGGAAATGGGGGCATTGGCCGATTGATCGCTGAGTCGATGCTTTTGAAATTCTGGCACGTTGCCAGTGTGACCAGAGATCCAAGACAAGGAGTAAACATCCTTCAGTTAGGACCAAGAGAGATTCCAAAGCCGGTGTCCTCGTTGTTGATCTTGTACATATGAAGGAAGAAGACGCCAGTAAGATCCTCAAGGAAGTCAAGCCCTGCTATATTGTGTTCGCGCCAGGTAAGGAGTGTTATGATTATTCTACAAATACTTTTGCTAAGCTGCTTTACTGTTCACCAGGAAATACGAGTAATTTTGACGTCCTCGATCTGGATGCAACGATGGGAAATCATGGTGGCATCCGTTATCTCTCCCGAGGCGACAAAATTTCTCATGATATCATTTCCTGCCACGCGCCGCAAGAAAGCGCCTTGGTGGGACAACTCTGATTACCATAACTTTCTCGATGAGACAAGAGCATATCTAGAGATAGCTAAGAAGAAGCTGAATGCTGACGAGTACCTGGCCGTCATGGCTAAACAGAGGAACGATGATAGCCCATCTCCCTTCCAAGCAATTGGTCTACGACCAATTTGGCTCACTAATGCTCCCAGGTGTAAAACTTATCTGGGCAAGACCAAGTTTTCAGGGAGGGTATCGCGTGCCGATGTTGCCGTTGTAGCTGCCAGTCTTCTTTCACGAAATGATACTTCAGGCTGGTTTGATCTCATAGATGGCAACGATGATATTGAATCCGCTGTAGATATTGCGGTACAATATAACTTGAATTCCATCGATATGGAAGATCTTGAGCAGATTCATCGTGAAGCAAGATAGATCTATTCAATCTCATAATTCGCCACTATTTGATAATTGAGAGCCGGAGCAGAGAGATTACGGAAACTTTCACAACATTAGGAGACCATGTGAGCAAATGATGACGATGTGCATATGCCAAACCAGGTCACTTATCTCTCTCTTGAAAAGCCTGGGATGCCACACATGAGAAACATAGATAAAATCTTCAGATTAAGATTTTGTCGAATTGTAGAGCCATTTGACCTCGTTCTGCCCTCCATCTATTTGTAGACTCAAATAAATCCCAGCATCCCTTGATCGTCCATCCCCAACGCTCCAAGAATCCCTCAGTCACCTCCCAACCAGCCACATCCCACGGCTCTCCCCAGATGACCATGCCTGTTCTCCCAGTGCCAGCACTGAAAAGTCCAACCAAGTCTCCACAAAGGTCCATAACATCATAAGTGTTTCCGGCTCGGATTAAATTTTGCCGCATCTGAGGCACAGGCAAACAATCAATCCAAGGATGATGGGGGATCTGGGTTTGAAGATCTGTGGGCCGCAATGTTGGCGGCAACGCGAGGATGCCGTTCACACCAACAGATGGCGGACAAAATGCAGAGGTTGCATTATCGTTCGTGATGACGTCAGATGGAATTCCAAGAGTTATGGAATTGCTGATGAGAGCTCGAAATACATTGACTTTGACGAGAACTAAAAGCGTGTCGCTTCTCGGAGATCCCATCGTAGTAGCACTTTGTGGCCATTTTTGCAACCACTCTATAATCACCGAATCACCCATATTGCCTTGTGCGCGTGCGACAGCTGTACGAGAACGCTCGCAAGCTTTGATTTGAGAAAGACCCGCAGCTGAATTGAAGACATTAAGCAGATCTACCTCTTGCCACAGAGTTACATCCGAGTGTGAATGGGAGAAATTTTGACCCGTAGCTCTTACCATCAGCGAGCTATCCTCTAATGAGCCGCTAGAGCCCGACGAGCTAGTCTCCGAGGGTGCAAGCTTTTGCCCGGGAGAACTGTTCGACTCAACGGTTGCAAATTTCACTATGCGAAACTGTGATCGCTCAAGCTTCTTTTTTCTCCCTACGAGTTAGAGACGCACACATTATCAGTACCCCATTGTGGCATACAAAGACTTTTTGCAAGAAGCGGAACGAGTACTTACGCCAAGCTTTCTGACGGACTCGATTTTGTGCCTTTCTTCGCTCAGCCGCATTAGACACGCTAGAACGAACATCCTCTACTCCTTTGTCTGTGTCTTGATGCAACGTATACTGTAGGGTAATCTGAGCGGCGAATGGTGATTTGGCCATATTCGAATGATGGGGATATTGCACTTGTTATTTACTTGCACCTAGTGTGGGGTGTTCATAAGCAGTAATTAAGTAGTAAGCAGCAGGTAGTTAGCAAGCAGTAAGCAGATGAGGCACTCAAAATAGGAAAGGTAGAATTGGATGTAGGAAGGAATTAGCAAACAAACTCTGGGAAGATAGTATAAAAATGGAACGTGCCGGGGAATCTACGGTGAACCTATCTCCGCATCTGGTCCTGGGTCATGCTTGTGCTCGATCGCAACCTTATCGGTATGCGGCAATGTAGCGTCCTTGGTGACGTAGATGCCATGGTTGCAATATTGCCCTAGAACAGATATGGCAACTTGCCTGTCAATGGGCAGATCACTTTTCAACCCCTCGTATCTCGTCCTCGTCTCCCGTTTGCAATGTCAACATTCAGAAGAATTCAAAGCTCTAGAATCAATCATACTTGTGTCAATTCGATCAATGCTCACATGATGTTCAGTCTTTCCATGCGTGCTATAGCTTCAAATAAATGATTAGGCTTAACCGATATCCCTGTATCTTGCACAACCCTGTATCTTGCACAATTTGATTTATTAAACTAAAAATCGATATTAAATTCAAATATCATTATAATGATTTTAAAATTTGTATAATAGAATCTTATATTTATTAAAAGATAATTTCAGGAATTTGAAAGATTTGAAATATTCAATTGAATATTAATCGATTTTGAGTAATAATATTTTAAAATATTAATAATAAAATAAAAACCTATATTAGAGTGAATATATATAATTAAAAAATAGTTTTTTGTATTTATTATTATTATTATTATTAATCAAAAGTTTGAAATTTCGAAAAATATCAATAATCAAGTTTTATATCAAGTTTTAAATTTTTGTATAGTTTTAAAAAAAAGAAAATAATTTAAAAATACTTTTTAAAATATGATAAAATATTTATTTCGAGATTTTAGAAAAATAAAATTGATATTTGAGTTTAATTTATAAAACTATATTTTTATATATTGGAAAATATATAATATAATAATAATAAATAATATTGAAATAATATATTATCTAGAAATTATAATTAATTATGTTATAGAGTAATATAAATAAGAAAAAATAATAATTAAAATAATTGATCTTTATATTTCAGTTGAAAAGTTTATTATATATTTTTTTTCAATCAAAAATATTGTAGTTCCTTTTTTAAAAGAATTTTATTTCTAAAAAAAGTTTTTAAATTTTATAATATTTCTAAGAATTTTATAGTTTATATTCGATTTCAAATTCATTTTATAATATTTAATACTAATTATTAGTTTTTAAATTTAAATTTAAATCAAGATTTTCTTTCAAAAAATATTTGAATAAAAATTCTTTATTATTGATTATATAATTTTAATTTTTAAATATTAATATTTTTAAATAAATAATTATATATATTAATATATAAAATATAGTATTTTATTATTTAATTATCATATTAATATATAAATAATATATTATATAATTAAATTATATTCAGAATATAATTAATACTTAAGTTATAAAAGATTTTGTTTTAAAACAAATTATTTATTAAAACTCTTATTATATATTAATATAATTTCGAATTTTTGATATTAAAATTAGCTTTTTTTGATTCCATATATTAAAAGATCTTCAAATTTATAGAATATATTCTAAAAACAAACTTTTATTATTTCTATTATTAAATAAATTAATATATAATAATTTTATATTAATGGTTTTGATATCGAGATTTCTATTCAATTATCAATTATAATTATGATTTTATTATTTTATATAAAAGAAATAATATTATAGTATTCTTATTTTTATTTTTAATAGAATTCAATGATTGGTTGATTATATATCATTTTTAGAATATTATTTTCAAAAGAAATAAAAGTGTGCAAGATGCAGGGTTGTGCAAGATGTAGGGATATCGGTTATTAGGGATCAACTAATTGTTGATACGCGTACTTATTGCATTGAGTCTGGTTGCCTACCTTCTCTTCCGATAATGTCTTTTCTCTTTCTCGTTCACTGATAAGTACTTCCTCATTATGTAGTCCGGAGTCCCTTTGGTGCGTCGACATCTGCCTTATATGAGAAAACCGTTGTTCAAAGTCATTAACCTTAATGCAGGAGGGTTGAGATTGAGAAATGGCCCCACCAACCCACTGATAAACCACGGCACGCAATATTGCATGTTGACATAAGGTAACTTACGTAAGCAATTTAGGGGTTTATGTATCTCCACAAGCCTCCACAAGCCTCTTTCGGCCGAAACAACAAAATGGAACCAAGGTTGCTGCTTTATCAACGTCCGATGTTAGGAAGTGAAGCGAGCGGGACAACACTGACTTAAGAATCAAGTAGAATGTTTCAATCAATTCCGATGTCATCTCCATAAAGTCCGCCTCTGAGATCTCATGTGGCTCTCTCTCAGTTCCTTATTTTACAGTATATATATAACTTCGTATGATTCAGAAAAGTTTACAACGAACAATTAAAGAAAGAATCAGAAAACACACTATCAAAAGTCAATATGGTCAAGACAATTCCCTTCGGCGATATCAAGGTCGCTAATCCGGGCTTCGGTGCTATGGGATTAAGCTTTGGCTTGGGAAGTAATCTCAGCCTGGAGGAAGCTGAGCCAGTCCTTCTTAAGGCCATTGAATTGGGATGTACATTCTGGGATACTGCTGTAGGTTTGAGATATCTCTGCATTTGCGTCGGAAGACTACTAAATGAGATTGAAGGTTGTTTACGCAGCGGGTGTTAACGAGAAACTGCTCGGAGACTTCATTAGAAAGCACAACGTTCGTGATAAAGTCTTCAGTACGTCAAAATCCATCGCCATTGGAGAACCGACACTGACTACAATAATCTATAGTTGCATCAAAATGTGGCTTTGATTGCATGGGGAAAGCTGAAGGTGGACTCGGGGGAGTCACTAATTCTGCTTCTCATATTAAGGAGTATATTGAGGGCACCATTGAGAGACTCGGCTTCACACCAGACCTCTACTATTTGCATCGAATTGATCCTAGTAGGTTGACCTAACTTAATCACATGCTCAGTCTGCTAACTTCGTTTCCAAGATACGCCTTTAGAAGAGTCTATCCCAGCTCTCGATGAGATTCGTAAAGCGGGAAAAACCAAGTTCATCGGCCTTTCTGAATGTTCTGCTGCCACTTTGCGCAAAGCAAATTCTAGTAAGTTCCCATTTACAATTGTCGATTCCTGCTGACATTCGTAGTTGCGAAAATTGATGCTCTCCAGGCAGAGTATTCTGCTTTTGAGACTATTCACGAGACAGATGAATTGACAGAAGCTGCAAAAGAGTTGGGAATTGCCTACGTTGCCTACAGCCCACTAGGTCACGGATGGCTTGTGGACGACTTTCCATTCAAGACTCCCGATGATTTTCCTAAGGGCGATTTCCGTCGAAGCAGTATGTCTCTCCTTAACTATGGTCCCTGTTCACTACAACTTGTCCGGTATTTACTGACACTTAATCTCATCTAGGCCCTAAATTCCAGGGCGAAAATTTCTACAAGAACAAGGCTATAGTGGAGGGAATCAAGAAACTCGCAACTCGAAGGGGGTGTACAATCACTCAAATTGCTCTCGCGTGGGTTGCTGCTCAGGGTATGATTGCTATTCCAGGTACAACCAAACCAGAGCGACTTGAGGGCAACTTTGCTTCACGCAACATTGATTTGACGAAGGAGGAGTTGCAAGAAATGCGGAAGATTGTGGATGCCGCTAAGCCACAAGGTAACAGATATTCTGCCGCCGCGCAGGCTATGGTCGGACATTAGAAACATAGTGGTATATAGACAAGATTATATGAAATTTTTAATTGCGATTTCAGGCGTAGATACTTTACTGTGTGAATATTGAATTTCTTCGGTCAATTCTAAGACTTGACATTTTCAAGATCTATACTGTACTTTTTCTCATCTCTGCACTTTCAATTTGGTGTGATATTAGCATATGGCAGTAAAGCATGTGGTGAGAAACTATCTGGGAACTGCTCTGATGGTTCTAAGTTGACCGAAATATATTTCTTTCTTCGTTCATAAACTCAGTCGGCACGTTAAAGTTTGCAATTTGGTCAAGGGCTTTTTTTAATATGCAAAGTAATCTGGGATGATCAGTTAACCTGCTGAAGAGAATTCGCTCTCAAACAATTTGACATGAATTAGATTAGCTTACTGGAATTAATCGTTCACGAGATCAGTTAAGCTCGCCTTTACAAACACCAATTGTTACCAAATTATCACATTGATCTTCGAGGTCTCCTTAACTAAAATTCGCTTCTAGGTTCTTCAAAAATTATTCGTATCAAATATAGTTTATGCTCTAACACTTATGAAATTTAGATGAGGGGCAATTAGCGAACAATAGTAGCAACGGTGTTGTAAGTGATTCACATCTTTCGAATTGGTTGATCTGTAATATGATGTTTTTGATAAAATTATAACCTATACTTTGAGATGGCATACCATACAGTAGGATTTTGGTTGAGGGTATTGAATTAGTGTAAGTCTGAGAGATACAATTCGCCTCATAGGGGAGAAGATATTCAGCAAAGTAATATAGAACAGTATTTATCTATTGTACGGTGTAATATACAAAGTAGCAATAACAGTAAATGAACCCAAAGAAAAAATGATTCCGTTCCATGTTCAACATCATGGGCTCAGAGATCAGTGTCTTTCAACCCAGCCATGTCTAATGACAACTTCCAAAGTTTATCCTCTCTCTCCTTATCATAAGCATGATGAGACCAACCAGTTAGTGCAAACAGTTGATCTGGAGTCCATGGGCCCGCAATCTGCACATCATCCAGATACTTTCCACCATCTCCTTCCAGGCACTTGGCTATTGCCCCCCATACTGTTGTTGCAGCACCCTGCTCGGGCGATTTAAGACTTCCATCAAAGCCCCCCTGACTTCTTAGATCCGCAATGTCTTCAGCGTTCATGGAATCCCATAAGGGCGTAACAATACCGCCTGGGTGCAAGGGAAGGGCATGCAGATGCTTTGAACCGTATCGACGTTCAATTTCATTGGCCATCCAGATGTTGCATGTTTTGCTGCTTCCATATGCTCTCCACTTATCGTAGCACCCAGTGAGGTTGATATTATCAAGATCCGGCTCCCCACGACGGTGACCCAAAGAGGAGAGATTGATAACACGCGAAGCGAATTCGGGAGTTGCCGAAGCGAGGAGTGTAGGTTTGAGAATATAGAAGAGGAGAAAGTGGGTCAGATGATTAGTCTGGAATTGTGATTCGAAGCCATCCTCTGTTATAGTCTCAGGTACAGCCATGATGCCAGCGTTGTTGATCATGATGTTCAAGGTTTTACTCTGCTTGAGGAAACTCGCAGCACATGCTCGTACACTTTTGAGTGAGGTCTGGTCCATCTCTAAGAGGTGTACATGTGGTGATTCAGCAACCTCACCAAGGGCTGCTCTTGCTTTGGTCAAATTCCGAGCTGTGAGAAAGAGAGTAGCACCTGTTGCAAGCATTGCACGCGCAGTCTCTATACCCAAACCCGCAGAGCACCCAGTAATAAGCACAACTTTATCCTTGAGCTTTCCCTCGAGCTCCTCATCTTTGACAACCTGTAACGCTGTTGGACGCTGATCTCCCGGGCCGGGAAGTTTCTTGTGAGCTTCAGCGTACCTGTTTGACATTTTGAACGCAATAAATTCGAAGTGAAAGAAGGGAAACTCGAATACTTGTTACAGAGGTAGACAGGAGGAAAAACGGTGTTGGTCGATACAGATCACCTTGAATTTAAGCAGTCACATTGGGTTAACTTATGGTCAAGATATTGTACCCTGAACAGTGAAGCTTTTCTCTGCCCGGACATATCGGCGGAGATACTCAAGGGAGCCATGACACCTTTCAGACGAAGAAAGTGAGACTATTTTTATGCTTTGTGGGGCTGGAAAAAGTAGTAAAGCGCTCAAGACATTCTATTAAGGTTTCTTAAATCATCTATCTTGGAGTTGTGGATCCACTCGAGTAGTTAGGACTCAAAACTTCTAGGGCCGAGCTACTGATGCACGATGCTTACGACAAAATTTCCTAATTGAGCAACTTCTCTTCGGAAGGTATATCTCTTGAATCATTTGATTTTTTTCAATCCTGGACAGAAAATCATAATGTATGGCGATCTTACCCTGTGCTCAGCAACTATAGTAGATATGGTAAAGTGTAAAAGTGACTGACAATATCGGAAGTTGTACTCTACCTCGTCGTCTCTCAATATATAAAGCATCAATAATGCACAAGATGCACAGAATCAAAATCAAACTCTTTATTTCATCGCACTTTCGTTGATCATAATATTATCTTCTTCCTGCCACTACAGTAGTATTAATTACGTCTAACAAAATGCAATATATGAGGTACGCTCAAGCTCATTACACACCGAACCAATGCCCAGACAGGACCTAACGTTTCTCATAGAGTTGGAAGCTCCGGACTCAAAGTCTCCAAGATCATAATTGGCTGTATGACCTATGGCGACAAAAACTGGCAACCCTGGGTCCTGGCACAAGAAGAGGCATTCCCAATTCTCAAGCATGCATATGATTCTGGTATCAACACATTCGATGTCGCCGATGTGTATTCCAATGGACGATCAGAGGAGATCCTTGGCGCCTTCTTGAAAGAGTATAATATTCCACGGAACAAAGTTGTCATCATGACCAAAGTATTCAATTTTGTTGATCCTGCGAGAGGAGCTGTTGATGCCGCTGGTCAAGGAATGAACGATGGTGATCAGGTGAATCAAGTCGGACTGTCAAGAAAGCACATCTTTGACGCTGTAGATACCAGCATTGCCCGCCTCGGTACTTATGTTGACGTTCTCCAAACACACCGTCTTGACCGCGAAGTATCCCTCGAGGAAACCATGAAAGCCTTAAATGACATCGTGGAGAGTGGGAAAGCTAGATACATTGGTGGTAGCTCTGTAAGTCTTCTGCAGTCCTCGGATCAATACAACGAATTTGACTGATGTTGTTGTTGTAGATGGCGGCCTGGAAGTTCCAGATGGCGCAAAACATAGCCGAAAAACACAACTGGCATAAGTTCATCTTAATGCAAGGCTTCTACAATCTGCTCTATCGCGAAGAAGAGCGCGAGATGAACGCATATTGCAGGGAAACCAATATCGACCTCTTTCCTTGGTCGCCACTCGCCGCTGGTGTGCTCGCCCACTCTTGGGAAGATCGCACCGATGAACGTGAAAAGAGTGATGTTTTCTTGGAGTTATTCTTCCGTAGCAAGCATCTTGAATCTGATCAAGAAATCGTGCGAAGAGTGGAAGAATTGGTTGGTAAAAGGGGTGTTAGCATGGTCATCATTGCAATTGCTTGGATTATATCAAAGGGAGGAATGGCGCCTATTTGTGGATTATACAACAAACAGTAGGTGGATGATAGTGTGAAAGCTTTAAATGTTCAACTTACCGAACAGGAAAGCAGATATTTGGAGGAGGCTTATGTTCCAAAACCTGTTATGGGCTACTGAGTGAATGAACAGACTGTGTGCATCTCAGGTATCTATCAACGATTGCAATACGACCTTAGTTGTTACATAAAATGAGCTAAAGTTTGAAGAGCCTCGGGGTTTCAAAGTTCCCTCCCCCCGCAAAGTGACATGCAATTGCAGAGGAAGTCATTTGAGAGCCCAGGTCTGAGAAATTTCATTCTTCAACCTGATCAGTTAGATAATATTCTGGAAATAACCTAACCAAGCCGGCATTCTGAGCTCACGTAGCTGGAGTTTTTATTTATCTATATACGCTCCGTTGTTTGTTCTCAATAGAATCATTCCAGCGACAATCCTGAGAACAATAGCTTTCCACAATGCTCTTCCTCTCAGAGAAGAATGAATCCAGACAATATCACAGGCTAGGGACATATGAAAAAACATTTGCCAGACCCAGAATAAGGATCGAAATACACATCAGTTCTCAATCAGAAAAAGTAATTCAGGAGAGAACAATTATCGAAATTAATCTAATCATATTTATCTATGTCAATTCTCACCATAATCATAACACACAATTCCCACCATTTCATACCTGCCAATACCAGATTAAGATTAAAACAAATAAAGCGTTATAAGATAAAAAGAAAGAAAGAGACGACTTCGAAGCAGTACACTAGCTCAAACCCGAGTCCGAACAATGGCTCGTTCTCTCTCTGCACGCCTCCTAGTGCCTTTATCTCGTTGTTTGGCTCACTCTTTGTTCGATAGACTTTGGGTCTACCACAATGCGACCCCGGAGGAAGATGATGATGTGGTAGTGCTCTGTGCAGAAGAGGGAGCGATCAACGTCGATAGAACGATAGATGACGAGAGGGCAACAGTGAAAGAACGGGCAGAAGAAAGCGCTGCCGTGGAGGTCGTACCATTTGAAGGACTGGGAGAACTAGAAATATGAGCCGTTGGTGGTGAGACTGGGATACTACTTGTCGTTGTAAGAATTTGGATAAATGTAGTAGTTGTAGTTATTGTAGAGAGAATCAGACCAGTTGAACAAATTCCGTTCGATGGGATTATAGAGGGTTGGGGAACAGTGAGAATCTCTGTACAGTGTTTGCATGCAGGCCTTGAGGAAGGCGTAGGTGTAAACGATGGGTCGAAAATTGTCGAGGCAGTTGTAATGGTGACAGGGGTGGGAGTGACAGCTGGAGGAGTATATTGGCCGACTAGACATGAGCAAGCAGATGAGAGAGCATCTGGTGCAGTGTCACATTCAGAGACGCAGGCTGGGAGGGACATTGGAATCGTGTGAACACTTGCTGTGTAGGTAGCGCAGAATGAAGTAACGGCGGAAGATTCTAGCATTTGTTTGAGGCATGGATCGTATTGACATATTGACGGGGACGGGGTTGTAGTTGCTGGAATAGGCGCGACAGTTGAAGTTATGACAGATCCGGGAATTGTGGTAACGAAGGTAGAACCTGTAACAGTGGTTTGAGCAATTTCACCAGTCTTAGTTATCGTTAGCGTGCTCGCCGAAATAGTTTTCGTGATTGTTGTAGCTGTTACAAAAGTGGTGTAGACATTCGATGTATATGTCACATATAGGGTTGATGGTGGATACGTGGAAGTTAAAATGTGTCCAGATTCTGTGAAGGTGATTGTAGAGACAGGATGAGTCGTTTTGACCACTGTTCCTGACTGAGTCATCGTGAGGGTCGAATCGCAAGGAATGACAGTGGTTTCAGTAGTTAGTGGGATAGTCTTCGTGATAACAATGACTGATCCAGGAATGCTTGAAGTGATGATCGTGCCAGGTATAGTGGTTATGATGGTAGACCCAGGTACTAGAATTGGGTTGGTTAGATCTTGTACTTAAATGGGTATGAAGGATCAAGGAAAATAAATACCAGTCGTAATTATTGGAGTTCCAACAACTGATGTGTCAGTCTGGGCAGGAGGCTGACTAGGCGTGATGGTGGTGGTTATGACAATGACAGTTCCTGAAGTTGTGATAGTTTGAGTAATAGTCTTGCAAGGTATAGTGCTCTGCGGTGGAAATTGACTTGGCGTGATAGTACTGGTGACAAGTATCTCAGAGCCAGATATTGTAGTCGTCTTGACGGTGGTTTCTGGTGGGACGGTAGTGGAAGGGGTATAAATGATAATCGGTGAAGATGGTACCCCTGGTGGACCCGTGCTTGGATTGGGAGTTGTGTTTGTTGAAGGGGTTACTTCATGACTGATAGTTTTTGTGATGGTGACAGTTTGAACAGGAGTAGTCGTGATGGTGATGTAGGAGGTGACAACTGGTGGACAATCGGAAGGTGGACAGATACAAGTCTCACCAACCCATGATCCGCCTGCAACCGGCTTACTTAGAGACGATCCGGATAGTGCGAGCACTGCTAAAGCAGCCAAGTTTCGACTTCGAAACATGTTAAAAACGTCAAATATTATAAGATAGTGTTGGTACGTAAAAGATATCGATGTAAAGAAATGAAAACAACGGACGAAGGAATGAAGACCGTCTTAATTGGAAAGAAAAGGTAAATGAATGAATGTGATGATGAGAGGACTTTACTGATTAAAATATTCAAAGAAAGAGAAAGAGCTCTCTTATAAAATGTCACATAAAATCAAGGGTGATATGTTGGGATGTTGGAGACAGAGGAAAGTAATTGTCGACCAATATATTGTATCGCCTTGCAGGTACTCGAAAAATTGAAAATAAGGGAGAAAATTATTGTACAACTGGAAAGATACAAATGTCTGGTACATTCAGGTAAGGTCTATACGTTCATGAAGGGGGCTTTGCAAGGTGAGTCTTTCACCAAGCAAGGGATGAGATCTCTTCAAGTGACAAACGCATCAGAGCTATCAGAGAACAGCAGAAGCAGAGCAAGGACATTTCCAAGAATTGCCTTTTTTCCCTCACTGTTGTTGCAGCAATAGATGATTAAAGGGGTTGTATTCAAATTCCCAGAACATGCTGGATGTGTTTTGTGAAAGAAATTTGCTTACAAGCTGCAATCAAATTGTAGATCAGCGAGTACACAGAGCTGTTAGATTTTGACGAGGCGATACAATATTCAAGAAACCAGAGCATACTTTGAGAGGTTCCGATACTGTTGAGAGCGTACATAATCCTATGTTCCCAGTGAAAGGAAGTGGAGTTGTTCCCATGGGGAAGAGGAGAGGGGAAATTCCATGATGGAAGGACATTAAACCAGTCTGATAAAGGGATGATTAATCGAATACCAGTAAATTGACTTGACATGTAGAACGGGGAAAGGAAAGGAAAGTTGGGCCAGGGAAGACAGATTGGTAACACTCCGCTGGATCACTACCATGGAGGTATTTTCGCTTCGCTCTCGTTAGGTTGGCTGAAGAAACGAAGGGGTCACCATTTAACTTTACTATGTAAATAACATAGAACTGGTGAAGTCAGAAAGAATTGCTCTCCCAGAGCGAAGCGATAAAGGCTTCACAGTAGTGGCCCAGCAGAGCTTCATTGTTGAACTTTGAAAATCCAATGCCGCATATGTTATATCGTTAGTTGGAATGACAAAGGGGTAACGTTGGAAGTGAGGTTAACAATATGTACCGTTGAGGCTTATTTGTAGTAACAATGGAGGGAGTGACGATTAGATATTTTTGGTTGCTCAGTCAGCTTACTTACTAGTACCTTGAAGGCTACCCAGTCACTAAAAATGTCTAACCGTAATTTAGCCGGGAAGTTGGATCTCCATCATAATCAACTTTCTTATCGAAACATCCTTCTCCCTCCAAAAAGTTAAGAAATGCTTTCTTTGAATAATTCTATCAACATCACCTTGCTTTCGCAAAGACAATCCAAATCCAGTACATTTGTCGCGTAACTGGATATTAGCGATCTTCCAGAGTTTGGATCCCTAAAATTGGTCTGTCGATGGTTGATTGTAGGTAGTACAGTTGGTGTTGTGTGTGGGATCAATTTATCCCTGAGTCGTTGGAAGATAGACAGGACAGAAAATAGGAAAATAGAGAGGGCAGGAACAATGGGCAATTGTTCTTCTTGTCTTGGGCTGGAACGTAATCGGGATTCGTCGGACGAGGTTTGATTTCCCCTATTATACACAAAATAAAGCCGTCGCTGACGACTTTGCAAATAGGGTGAAGACCAAAGGCTATTATTCGAAAACGATGCACATTCTCATCAATACGGCAGTTTCGGGAACCAAGATTCAAATGCCATTCAAGCAGATCCACAAGAAGTGCAAAGGGAGACAGAGGCCTTGCAAAGGGTCGTAGCGCAAACGTCCAAGTACGTATGCTCCAAACATTTCTTCCACATCGATACCCCTCAATCCATAAACTGCACATCGTGGAACCAACTATTCGATCGCATTGATGCATTTTCTAACTAAAGTTTGTGCCAGTCATCTCGTCGATATCTTCGCCATGGTCCCCCAGAATGTCCCTCGAGCACCCGTTACTATGTATAATGGTCAAGACGCAAGACTATTGCGGTATCAGGAAGTTCTAGCCAAGATGCCATCACAGGACGGATCGAGCAATACAAAACAAACCCCCGTCGAAAGTACCCACCCAATTTCCGATGGTTGGGCATCGGACGATGAAGATGTGGAGGAAATGAAGAAGTACAAGCCGGTCAAATCAGAAGACGTAGGACCATTATTAGGAGGGTTTGCAGATGCAGAGTCGGCCATGGAGTAGAACATGGATTCGAACTTATACGGGCATCTTTGTGTTCCACGGCGTATTGGAGTTGGGAAGGTCGTTACAATATCCTCATACCACGGCCCATCATGCTGCCGCAATTTCCCAGGAGGAGTATCGGGAATCGACTTCTGACTGGACCAGCTAAGCGTAATTTGACTATGCGTTGTATCATTCAAGCATTTCCTTTGTCAAAAGCGCCTGCCTACTGGTTACTTGATCATGAATCAGAGCCTATCACGTCTCTCTCTCATGCCCTCTGCAGTCAGGCTGCACAGATATCCATTGAGGATTAGCCACGTTACAATTCACTACTACACTCAAGTTCGTTCAGTCTGAAATTCATAAAGGGAAGGGAGGATCCTGTTGCAGATTTTTTTCTTTTGGAAAGCGTTTCTCGACTTCTTTCCTTTCTTCTTACCATATATATATTTGTTATCCGTATCTATATTTCAACCTCTTCATGAAGAAAACTGTTCAGTGATGATAAATGTGCCGATCAGGTGTGTATGGTTGAGAATGCACATTAGGCTAATTGCAATAGGAAAAGTTTTACACAGCATCACAGCACATACATACCTACAGAACGAGACTTCGCTACGTACATATATAGATCGCGACCCACAAGAAGGAACATTCAAGTGGGATTTCTTCATTATCGTAAGGATATTGATCATCATCGACGGCCAAATTCTCCGACAAGTCTTTTGATATGATCGCCTCTTATGATTTCGGATGGTGCCTCAATTTCCCGAAAGTTCAAGGAAGCTTGCATTTAGCTCGCATGCACTCATTTCCCGAGCCGCCCAATTTCTTCATCTAAGCGCCCGGTCAACATCAAATGGCCCCCTCAACATTTGACCAGATTGTCGGTTCGATTAACAGAATAAAGCCATATCCACAAGTCATTGGCAAATTATTGGCAAATTCAAGGAACTTGTTCAAATGATCGTTTCATCGTTAAGTCGTGAGACTATCTAATTCCAAAACAATTCCATCATCTGTCTCCAGAAACCAATCATTTCCAATACATCCTTAAATGAAAGACCACTCTTCCGTTCCATCATTTCACTCCATCAAAAGAAAGACAACCCTATGAAAAAAGTTCGAAACGCGACAAAATAGTTCGCTAGTTCAGTGCTATCGTGTTGTGTGGAAAGTTTCACTGAGAAAGGAATTAGCATCAGATATTGTCACTCGGACAAGCGATTGGTCTCTTACCTTTCACAAAGCTAAAGCATTCTGCGAGCGTTGCCATTCGAGACTATTGACCTCTTGTTGCAGGTCACGGATCTTCTCCTCTGACGCCTCGATTGAGTGTTGGCGACTCTTTCCGTTTTCCTTCTTCCATCGAAGTACACGCTCTTGCTCCTTCTGGATACGGCCCCATTTTGTTTCGATCTTCGTGCAAATTTTGCACTTTTCATGACTCTGGTATGTGGTCATGACCAATTTCATGCCACAGGTTTCGCCTGTACGGTATTCTTTGGCACAATGTTGTCGAAAGTGACCCCACTTGTAGTCACCACAGACGAATTGGCACTGATCGAAAAAACACATTTTGGTGGGAGCTATGTGTAACCATTCATATTAGTCTTGCTTCTCTACAACACTCCATATGAAACGCGACAATGCTTCATGGCTCAAACTTACTGGTCGAAGTACGGATATGTTATCGATGAAATGTTTGAGATCAGAGACGACGTCTGATGATTTATCGAGTGAGGTTATTATACTGAATGGCGATGATACTTTGATATCAAGAGAGAGTTGAGAGATCGTTTGTTGAGATGCTTTGAAGGATGTTGATAATGATGATGGTGCTTATTCTACCTTTGGGGAAATCGAGGGGAGTATTTATACACGATTTGGACAGCATTGTTTATGGTCCGAACAACCACGCCGTCACAATCCTCCCAGCCTTGCAGCGTGTTTGTCTACTAGCCCCCTCGAGCTTTCCACGCTTCCATTCGAGCCAACAAACGAAGTGCATATCTTTGTGCCTTTCTCACCAAGACATACATGCAACTAATCACATCCTTGGCTCAATCGCCAGAAGAACTGGCACCTATCGTATTCTTCCTCTATGCCGATGTTTGGTTCAAGTTCCCTCGCATTCAGTTACCTCTCTAGTCTCGACAGGGTGGACACTTCATCATGTTAGAATTGCTGCATCGGTAATCACAGTCCGTTGCAACATCGTGTACCCCCCTGCTGAGTGTAGAAGTTTACGCCATGGGAATCACGTTATGAATTTCCTATCCCGTCATTTCCTTGGTTTTACTGATTGCCACAAATCTTCTTTCTGATTACTGGATCATCCGTTCTCTGCTTGCAACGAGAGACCCGCTAGACCCAAGGACGGACCGTAACAACCTTCTTTGTGGAGAGATATCGACCCAAACCTATCACACAATTGCCGGTTACTTCTTATTTCAAACCAACGGGAGTCTAATCACAAATGATGGTCGGTCGATCATCATCATTCTCATGAACTGGCTGTGGTAGCAAACTACTATTGGCTATTACATTTTCTTCTCTTTCTTTCTCTAATCTATATCCTTGATATCGAGACGTTTGATCTAGCATATCTCGCTTTGAGATATTGTCACATGTTGATAACTCCCTGCTTTCTGGCCGGATTCGCATCGAGCCATATCTGCCTGAAAGGGGTGTTTGATAACAGGACATATCTTTACAGTCTGGTGATTGCAAGCCACCTGGAATGCTTGTTCTATTTTCTGCAACATTTACATGGCCGCAGATTGTGCGAAAGACGGCCTCGATATGCATAGTGACTTGAGAGTCCGTTCCGTCTTGCCGAGATCAAGGTGGTCAGAAATCAATGTGTTGTCAGATACGGACGAAGCCTTGAAGCAAGAGATCATCCATACAATGCGTTTGCAAACCAGCATACCCCGATCTGCTTAGCTAGAGGATGTCACAAATTCTCGCCACTCACGGCGCATCTCATACCTACAATGTTTTCGCTAAGCTGTTGGTTAACACGATGCATTACGCACCTAGCTTGGAGAGAAATGGTCCCAATGAAGGGCTTCGGATGGTCACTGACGTGGCGACCTAGGTTTGGCCGAGTAAGTCGCAACTAGATTACAATATCGAGATTCTCAAACTACGGCTTTGTCGGGCTGCAATCAGCATTTTATCAGGGTTACACACCACCTTCTTTGCTTTCTCTCGCATTTTTCCACCAGAGAACATTTCTATCAGATTCTAGCTGGAATATGCGGCCTCACTTTTTAACCGCTTCCGGCCTTTAAACTTCTTTTGTCCCCTCCCAAGGGAAGTGGTGATTCGCCAGAAATCCTCCAGATTGCCCCTGAATGGTCAATCGAGGAAAAACCCGATCATGCAAATGATAGTCATCTTTCTTGCTTTCTTTACTTTTTGATGGACCATATCAGTATGGTCAGCATTCAAATTGTGAAGGACGATGTTATGGGGCGTCAAGGGCAAGGCAATTCAGCGCAGTTGTTCGTTGTATCGGTGGCAAATACTAGTGCAATGAAGTCATCACACCAACTTTATGTGATTTCAATATCGGATGTGCATCTTGGGGGGCGAAAGATATCTAGTACTTCTGTCGTGTTTGCATTGCAGGTGTCAGCCAGGCAATAGTTAAGCCAGATACACAAACATCACAAACATAGGATGAAAGCTAAGTGGCCGTTTTTTCAGTTTGCCTTACTTTACGTTGTACTTGCGTGGGTCAGGGATTCTGTATCTCGACGTTCATATGGTGTTTTGCCAATCTTATGTGTCATTGTCATATGATATTAGGAAGTTTTCTATTGATGAGCAATTTCATCTCTCTATATGGGGATGGTAAGAGGGAAAGGCATTCCAGTGAGGCAGATTCTATTTGAGGATTATCATGTTTGAATGTATGTTATCCATTCCTGGCACACCGATCAGATGGAAACGAGGGGTTGGGAGTCAAAAGCCAGCTGAACTCGTCTAAAGTGATGAAATCAAGCAGATTCTAGGATCATTGAAAGCGCGCTCAGTGTAATTATGCATGATGAGATGATCCAAAGTATGAATTGTATTGCTGATGGCGGAAGCATTGGCTTGTACTGTTGTTTACGTCTATTGAAAGCTTCTCCTTTTTTGGCCCCCTTTCCTCACGTACGATGAAGTTAACAATAACGACGGCCCCTCAATGGGCCCACAAGCGAGAAATTTAGAGTTCTGCGCCCCCAAGAAAACAATAAACATCAATAAAACGGGAATCAGCACCGACGACATTCTAGTTCCAAAATCATAAATTAAAGCTCTCTAACTCTTCCAAGGTCACAAAATTTGGCGCGCGACGATAAAAGCGCGAACACTACTGACCTTACTTTCGGGACTGAAATGAATCATGTGTTGAATCGGTGATGCGGATTTGAAGTAAGGGACGAATCAAGCCGACCAATTGGCTGACTTATGAGAGCTCCAAAGAAGTCAATTGGTATTTTATACCGGGAAAAGCTGGGCATGAGGCGAATTGAAGAATTTGATTGGATAGAGCTTCGCGGGAGAGGCGGTCCCTGAGTTATTGGCTATGAGGGGTTCTGTATGGAAGACTCTAGAAAAAAAGATTCTATAGGTTAATTAACAAGCTAGTTAATTAAGCAGCGAATGTAGGATGTGTGATAGTGCTTACTTGATTGCAAGTAGTGTTTTTTTGAAGGTGGTCAGATAACTTGCAACTTGCAAATGGATGCTTGCTTGCTTCTCGAATCAATAGTTGAGTTAGCCTCCTACGCGACCTGTATATCTGTCATGACATGGTGGACCAAGTTTACGAGCTGAGATTCAGAATGAAGAATGTGTAGAGGTGTGTATGTGAGATCAGAAATAAATACTAGCAAGGAAATAACATGAGAAAGGGTGTCATTCATTCAACGTGTGCAGCAAGCTACACTGCATAAGTTGGTCACCTTTGGGGTCGCTACATGTCGGGTCAAGTCTGCCTTCTTTTGATCTTCACATTTGATGTACGAAGTAAATGAAAGCTAGAACCACGACATCGTAACGGACGGGCATTCTATGCATGCACTACCACACCACATCACCTTTTGATAACCGTAATATATTCAACACACGTAGAATGTAGGTGTGCGGATCTTGGATGTTCGGGAATGGTGTCTTTGACCGATGGATGGACCAATTGATCAAGTAGCCTATGGATAGATAGGTGAGTGAATTATGGACACCGTACATTTGCCAAAATGGAGTTACAGTGCGTTTGCATCGGCGTGATTTGCTTGGTCAACGATTTCTGTATGACTGACTCGCAAAAAATGGTAAGATTCAGATAGAGAGGTGGGTAGATAGATACTAGATAGATGCACATGTATTCCTGCGTCTTGGTATACAAGACCTCGGATCGAGTTGTTACGATGCAAAGTATATCAAACATTTATGTAAATGCGGGACAATTTTGGGTCTACGAAACGGTCTAGGAGAGATAAATATGAGGCGTAAAAAGTTTAGTAAGGAGTCAGCAAGCACCGGTTGATCTTAGGGAATGGATAGTTTTGCAAACATAAGCTACTAAACTCGGGCCGGTACGGAGCCGGTGGCAAGTATGTGGGCTACGGAGATTTTGGTTGGGTGAGGAAGTGGTGGTACCGTGATGGATGGGGTCGAGACCAGACCTTGTGGTCGGGCCTTGGGAAGTTTAAAAGATCTTGACTTGTCGCCTTATAATGATTGATTGATTGATGTTGTGTAGATGTATTGGCCGGAGAATAGAGATAGAGAGAGATAGAGAAGGTTAATCGCATGAATAGTGAGGTGAGAGGTCGCTTCCGAAGTGTTGAGCAATTTTGGGATGACGGAGAAGTTGTTGGGAAGGTTCGGATTGAAATTTTGAGGTAGGTAGGTTAGGACAAAAATTGCAAACAAGATCGATGATTACATGACCGATTGATTGAGCGATTGAAAATTGATTGTACTGTATTGTACTCGGGTCACTATCATCACAAGAACGCCTTATTCACTGATCGATCTATTGATCATTGTACTATGCCTACTAGATTTTATTGAAGTTCGCGATGACCTCAAACGACACCAAAGATTTTGGGTTAGATAAGTGGATTGCCCTGTCATTTGAGATGCATGCCCCATGATGACACGAGTATGATGTACTGTACCTACGTATAGTAGCTTGACAGCATGTACATGCCTCCACCTTACATGAACAATATGTATGGGGATATGATATACACGTTTTATACTAGAACATGGTACCTACTTTGTACCTAACAACCCATGATTTGCACGCACGGGGCACGATAGATGGTCGGAGATAGAGTTGTTTTGGGGGATAGTCCATCAATCGTGTAAGCAGGGCTGATGAAGAGGAGCTGGTTGGTTGTGGTTTGCTGGCGTTGAAGGTGTGTTGGCGGGTCGGCAGGTCGGTCTAGTTTGTAGGGTTGTTAGTTACCGATAAGTTGCGCCTTACCTGATATCGCTATATGTGGGGATAAAAGGTGGAAGAAAATGATTGCGGCTCTAAGAGCGAGCAAGGTCGGTTTGTGGGACGCGAAGGGGAGTCATCATGTGGTTGATTTTTGCTTTTTGATGTTGCCGGAGGTGTTAAATTTTGGTAAATGAGAGGCTGAGGGACGTGAAGTGTGAAAATGGAAGGTCGTGTTGGGGTCTCAGGAATGAATTTGCGTGTTGAACATGGGTGTGGTGGGCGATGACGAGTGGTAGGGATGATCGTTTGCTGTCGCTCTCGACTCTCGAGTAAAGGTTGACATTAATCGCAATTCGGGAGAGGAGAAAAGGCGGCATGATTCAAGGAGGTGTTACATTTTTAGGGTGATCATCTTTACATATGTATCGTGCTATTGAATGTATGAAGGGGGCAGAGAATGACAATATATTTTGACCTCAAAATAGAATTTAGCTACCTACTTTTTCCATCAATTAATTTTCACGGCACGCAGATGTGCTTAAGCGGAGGCAAATGAAGGGGCTTGAGCAAGAAAGCTCGGAAACTCGAGCAAAGTCGACTTGGTAAGAAATTTACCATGTGAAGATTTCATAGAAACGGACATCTCGTCGTTTCTTTTAACTTCCGAGCAGTTTTAAAAGCAAAAATGTAAGTTGTCGTCAAAAGAGTGAAATTGCGCTTGTTTGTTTATCAGAAACGTTCATTCTTTGTCTCGGAATGTCTCAGATGCCGCCGAACCGTGACTGCATCTGCAGCAGTTTGATGAACCCCCGCTATTTCCTGACGACGACGGAATCCCACTACAATCGACATCCATTCAATTCATTCTCTTATCATTTAATCACAAATTAGCAGCTGAATATATTGTTTCATTGACAATATCATGGAGTTAGCTTCGCAGAATGATGAAAGAGCTACCGCAATAGAAAATGCGCTACGATACGAGATCAAGAGCGATAACGATATCGGGAAGCTCAGCTTATCGCAGTTTCCCGACGAGTTAATCCTCGAAATCCTATCCTATCTAGACGTCAATGACTTGTTAGTTGCTTCACGAGTAAGTTATGATGTTTATCCAATTATTCCATACCTCTCCGAACTATCATTCCTCATGACATCGTGAACGAGAATTAATAAGTGTTTCCCAGCTATCTCATCATCTCCGAACCCTTTGCCTCGATCCCCTTCTCCATGCACAGCGTCTTCATGATGCATCCCACGCCCTGTCTCGCCGTCTTTCCCATCGAGCTCCTCTTACGGATCTCATGAGTCAACGAATATACATTACCCGGACTTCACTTGCTGCCCGAAGTCTGGGGAGGAATCTTATCAAGATAAAACTGAATAGGCAGCTGGGGCGAAGACCTTCTATCGAGACGTTGGTGGAGAAAAACGTATTGCCGAAAGAATGTTATGGATACGGGAAAGGGAAAGTAGCACCGGGGCTCGTCGGGATCAAGAGAAAGGTGGAGAGGGAAAGGGTAAAAGATGGACTGAGGGCGTGGGTGGAGGGATGGAGGGGGAGGGTGGGAGAAAAAGAGAGAGAGATTGAAGGGACGAGGGAAGGGAAGGTGGAAGTAAGGTGGTTGGTTAGAAGGTTCGCTGGGAGGGATGTAGATAGGGGTGAGGGCGCTGCAGGGAGAGGGACGTGGGGTAAGAAGGTTGAGCGGAGGGAAATTCCAGCGAGGGCGAAGGTTCTGGGGCTGAGGAGATTTTGGGAGAAGGTTGGGAAAGAAGGTTTGGAAACTAATGGGAATGGTTTGGGTAATAACTGAGAACTTGTCTTCCAGTATGTGGACTACTCATTTCGAATGTTTGTATATTATGAATTATAAAGGGCTTTTATCTCGCAGAGCTCGGGGCGGCTTTTCTTTGGTGCATTTAATAGGTATCTGATACCTAAAATCGCGAGCTTGACCCTGACTACTAACAAAAGTTCTGGGTGAGATGACTCCAATGCCGGTTGAACTCTCTCGGACATATGATATTTCACGTAGGGCATATCAACGACGACTGAGCTTTTAAAGAACCATTTTGTATGGCAGGAAACATAAATCTTTCAATACTGTGATTCCAAGGATGATGAATAGGTATTTCATGATGTCAAAAATGCTCACTCCTCGGGGCAGCGACGTTTCGAAAAGGAAGATGTGAAAATGACAAACCGATGACTTTGAGCCCTCATTTTTGAGGTAGATAAATGGTTAATTAAAGGTGAAGAAGGTCCGATATAAGCCTCAAATTGCCACGGAAACCTCTACTAGGTAATTGTATCCCCCTACTTATTGCTAAGACTGTGTTCTAATTCCAAGGGCTTACCATCTCCCTTCACACACATGCTTCAAACCGTATCAGAAGGGACTTTTGCAGTACAGTCTCCGGCTGTAGTCAATTGAATCAAAATGAGGCATGGCCAATGGGGTTGGAAAAACTATTGTGGCCAAAGACACCGCAGTAAAGTGGAATCGGAGTAAGAGATCGAGAGGGTTGGAGGATTGATGAAATACTCGACGGACGAGAGGGGATAGTTCTGCTGTACTCACACATATTTAGGGAAGCCTTCTAGTTGAATACTGGAGAAAAGACTCAACATAGAAGGAGATATTGTTGGGCAATGAACAGATTACTTTGGAAACGCATGCAATGTTGCCATTGCCCTGAACCTAACCGCCCTGCTCAGAATTGATTACATGAGCCTTTCCTAGAATCTTCTCTGACTGACATGCATCCCAATTATATCTTGAAGATCGGTTTTCGGCTTAATATACGGATGTACCGTTTTCCTATTCATTGTTCTTTGCTCAAAGGCATATGCTAACCCAATGAGTTTTGCATCTGTAAATTTTTCTCCCAAGAAACTAAAGTCGAACCTAGATCTGTCGTCAATAATTGGTTGCGGGCCAGGAATAAAACAACTTACGGAATACTAGGTCCCGCAAATACCAATTCATATATAATAGGCGCACCAACAACACCAGCCCAGTTCCAAGAAATAAAAATGGCAAAATGACAGCTTCGAGCTTATATCGCTCAAATACTCCCAATAAACCTCCTTCATTACCCCAATATGGGGCTCGTTGGTAAGTACGCCAACATTCGTAATCGGCATTACTCCAGTTTTGTAGTGCTGCATCCCAAACGTTCGTAGGTTTATTTTGACAACCCTCTAGTGGCCGAGATTGAGTCCATTCGCGTAGATCGGGTAAGTCTATTATATTGTGCGGATTGTACACTAGCAAATCTAGATATTTCTCCACAACCACACCAAAATCTGCTGCTACAACCTGGACGGTCAATAAACCATTATCGATGGATTCTTGTGCAGTTGGAAAATCGGTGTTCTCGATAATAGCGCCAGCTGATCGTAGAATTGCCAAATATTTATGAAGGCCTCAAGCATTGATCCCATGCTGTTATCTGACATAAGTGGAATTACATTTCGAGGTATGCCTAATCAAGTACCTTTGAGAGCCGAGATATTACACGCATTGACAAGGTCCAGGTCAGCTCCATGCAGGATCGCAGAGGTATAGTTATATGAGGATCAACACCTGCGATGCTCTGAAAAACATAAGCGACGTCTTTGACCGTCTTCGTCATCGGCCCTATAGTATCCATGTGTTCGCTGACTGGAACTACAAGATGACGTGATATCAATCCCACCGCTGTAACATTTTAGTAAGCAGTCAACATCATAATCAGAATTGCACATACTTGGCTTCATACCAACAACACTGTTAAAATGAGAACGTGCTATGATTGAACCACTAGGTCCCGCACCCAAGAAAACTGTTGCTAATCCTAGTCTTGAAAGATCAGCTTCTTGCTTATTACTTGAAGTATCACTTACGTCGATGCCACCGCGCTACCACTCGAACTACCAGAGGGATCCTGCCGGGGAAAATATGGTCCATAAGTTTGTCCACCACGAGTTGACCAGCCGTTGCTGATGTTGAATGATCTGAAGTGGCCCCATTGACTGGGATTCGTCTTTCCTAAGATAATGGCACCAACTTCTCGAAGTTTCCTCGCAATGTAGGTTATGCAGGCACTTTGGCCCCAATTAGTGCATGGGAGCAAGCAGTATTGTTCATGTTGTCGTTTGTGGCGATCTGTAGAAGATACTTCTGTTAGCTCAAACAGTGTAGAAGTCACACGATGAAAAGCGGAGAACGGATTTGAAAAAGTTTGGTCCGTTTGAGATGAAGAAAAGGCTAATGTTGCAGGATTCTTCGGACTTAGCAAGAGAACATAGTACATATTTAATCAAAATAGGAATTCCATGCAAAGGACTGGAATATCAGCTTAAAGATGCCGCATTTATTCATTCTCAGAACTTACCCGCGAAGCGTACCCATTGATCACTCATCGTCGAGCATAGAGGCAATGTGGATGGCATCCGGAGCGATTTCGACCACTGCATTCAAAACATCATTACTGTCATTGATCTGGGCTATTTAGGCCTATTGAATGAGTCAGGGTCGGTTCCCAGCTTATGCATGGACGCTAAGATTACTTGCTTTAATCAAGTCGACACTGGTGAAATCTTTATACTCGAGACTTTCTGCGGAATCTTCAATACCAGCTTTGTTTAAACTTGGGAGTTTATTCCTAGGGGGTCTGGTGTTGGTGGTCAAGCTCGAATTGACACCATCAATGACCAAAGCGCTCAATAAGATCCCAAGAATCATATTGATTGAAAAATCGCGATACTCATTCATGAAACAATTAGTGGTTATTCTTTCTATGTTGCTATGTTATCTCACGCAAAAGATGACGTACATCAACACCAAAGTTTGCCCAACGTCACACAACGAGGAAGTCGCAATCTGAGTGATCTAATTGGAAAACACTATCCGGTTACTTCCTTCCAATTCCGAATACCTCAGATGAATGTCATGTAGAGTTCCTTTTTCGTCTGCCTGGTAAGAGCTTTTCAAAATCCCATTTAATCAACTCGAGTCGAGGCGAAAGAGGAAGAGGGGTGGTAACCACACATAATAGCCCAAGATCACGCAGAATCTGGTTTTCTTGCTGTTACTCCGAAATCAAAATTTAGTTAAAGCTTTGAGGTTGGACGTTATCCTTGACTTTCTGATTTTCAAAAGGGTGGTATAAGCATTTCGTATGTGGCATAAGTGGCGCAAGTGGCTTCACGGCCACTATTATACACTTTTCATGCAATATGTGACAGCTTGCTTCAAAAGGTACTTTAGTGGTCAAACGCATTAGAAATAGCTTCCAGGCCGAAGGTAGAAAGGAGAAATATATTAGTTATTCACTAAGTTGTTTACACCCAAATGGCAGCTCCAATGCATGGTGCCTTTCCCCGGTTGAGACTTAGCCGTTGTAACAGACAGATGCTAGGCATATGCGTGAAAGCGACAATACGGTATACATCAAGTAAGCCGCTTGACTTTCATATGTTCATAATGCGGCATGGCATCTCTTACCCAAGTTTCCAACTCCCCCGCAATCTCATTTCCAAACTCCTCTTTCCACTTCTCCACCTCCTCTTCAACAACTAGGCCAGCCGAAGTTTTCCCCTCCAAAACCCCAGAAGAAGATCGCAATGTAGAACTCATTCTTTTCCAAGCAGCCGTTGATTCTCCCCAGTCTTGCTCGGCCGGCTTCACCTCCCACGAAAACCTCAATCTCGTAGGATCTGCTCCTATAATTTTTGCATATTTAACCATGATGTCGCGGTTCGTCATGATATCATCAGCATCCAGAACGATTGGCTCCTCTGTACCTTGAGAGCAGTACCAATCATACAAATCTCTCGACCATTTCATCGACGTTTGTAATTTCCGAGATTTCCACTCCTTTCTTGAATATTCTAATCCTTCCACATCATGACGAGCTCTGAGGAATGAAGGGATCACCAATGCAGGATGACGAATTAAAAACGTTGGCATCCATCCCTTTAAAAATTCATCTGGTAGGAGTGTATCATTGCCGATGGAACGTGTTTGACTGTCAAAAGCTTTCACAGTCCATCCTTCTTCCCCAACTTCTTCATTGTAAATTAATTTTGTTAGCGCAACAGGATTCATGAGCCAAGCTGCATGTTCTTTGACATAAGCGAATTTCCCTTCTGATTGCGCGGCGATAGCATGGTCGCGCAAACTTTCGAAGCAGGATTGATGAGCTGCTAGAGATTTCTTCCTATCCTCTTGCGTCCAGTCTCTCATATGGGGCGAATCAGCAGCGAAGAGATACTTCCGGGTGTGGAAACTATCGAGAAAGAAATAGCCGTGTTTAGATCTTTCGGTTGTGTAAATGTCTGGTTGATTTTCGAGATTGAGGATTGTAACCAAGAGATTGGAGGCTGTGCGGGGACTGCTCAAGAGGAGGTGATTGCGGCGTTGATTACCCATGATTGAAAATTTGATGGTTTGTTTCGCATTGGAATTTGAGAACTGGGCTGGCTTCATGGGACTTGAGACTATTTATTCCAATTTTGATATACACAAGGTACAAGATTATGTGATATCATTGACCAGTCGAGCGCGCATTGCATAGCATCGGGTACGTCGGATGCATGTCAGCTGGATATGAAATACGACGTGCAGCGCTAACGAGTCAATCACGACTATGTGAAACCTTTGAAGATATACCTCTTCCACAGGAAGTGTCTGAAATGGCGGTGGGACGCCAAGCCCCCCACTGATCTCTATTTTTAAGTTAAACAATGTGCAGGCAATTGCAAGCTTAGAAAAAAGAAAACAAACTCAATTTGATAGATCTGATTCGCATGTCAACCATAGAAATATTGGGATGTTGAAGGCTGCTTGATTGTTTAAGGGCCTTGCCGTTCCACCGCTATTTCAGACGTTCCCCTTTTACATCCTCGTGAGTAATGCTGGAAGTGAATTCTCCAAGTTTTTCCGGGTGTTCAGGAATCTTTGGATACCATTTCATGTATTTAGTACAAGTGTGTATACCACATCAAACTTCTTATCGTGATACTGCCACGCTAAAGACAGACCCACCACCGAGCCCTCCACTAACTTTTGACCACTTGTTCTGAACTGCCTCCTCAAGGTACATGAAGGTTGCATTTGAGGCATCTTCGGCTAACAACAAATCAAAGGTTCATCCGGAGGTCTCACAAAACACGTAAGAGCACGGTTCCTCCCGCTTTCTGTGGTCTCAGGAACAACGCCGTATGGATCTTCATGCAGTATTGTATTACCCCAGCCTGCTGTTTCTGGAAATAATCGGCATTATCCCACTTCAATTTGATGCAGAACATAGAACTACACAGAGGCTACCTTCTCGCATATCTATACTTTCTTTTGCTAGAAATATCGTGGAATAAGTGTTGTCTTTCCTGATCGAACCCGATGTCCAAAATAAGCAAGAATCATGAGACGACGAAAATCCGGGTACTTGCCATATAATATCACAAGCTCAGTTGCAAGGCGAAGGCATACCCCTCTCGAAGCTACTCCCAGTACTATGCTAAGCAATCAAGTCCATGAAGTGGGCCTGGTATCAGAATGCTTATTGCTGAGGCGACTTCCTAACGACCGTGCTGAACCAGAGAAAGTCGTGCATCGTAAATTATATCATAATGATGCGGGGTTTAGACACTGGTCACTGAAATAAAAGGCGATTGGTTCATATCTGTCAATGAGATCTGATTCGCACCATTACAACGGCCAAAAGGCTAAATTAGTACGAGTAGCGCTGAACTTCGTTATGAAAGAGACACATCTTTGGATTCTCCATACGACCATTAGTTGCCACGTCTTATACAGACCTTTCAGACGGAGGCAGCAAAGTAACACGTAAGTGAATCGTCGTGAAGAGTAGAATGAAGTTGACTCACTTTCTTGCCTCCATCGCATGGAGAAGAGTGCAGGAGATCTTGTGTTGTGCTCCTGTCTCTTTTATGATTATCCTGTCTTTAGCCTCCACGAGATAACACAGTAACATAAATCCTTCAGATCATCCTTGAAGTCTATGTATACAACGGCCTCGGGAGATGTTGTGATCGTGATTATCATCGCCAAATGGCTGTCAGAGGTCTGATTACGATCATTCCACGTGATAATAACCTGATATATGCAAGCAGAGACAGGGACTGAAGGGTATTACCATGCGATATCTTCGATTTCTTGGGCGACGGGCATAGAGTTGAGTTTGCCATGGTAATCGTTGTTGGTTTGTTATTAGCGTGTATCACGTGGCATCTATGTAACCCGGTTATGCTATGACTTTGCCGCGGTCATGGCGCGTATCGATCGCCCTATCTCTGCTTACCTGCTTACCTACTAGGTACATGGCACCACCATGGTGAACTTCTCTGTTCCTAATAAAGAAGCCTCTTGATACGATCAATGTTCAAACTCAAACCTATATTTTGTAGAGACTGGATATGAGTTTTGGAAAAATGTCACAATAAATCACGGATTTATTCGCAGAGGCTACACTGATAACCTTTACCCTTGAACTGTGAATATCTCGGATTTCATGCAGTCACGGGATATGGCCTCCTCGACTCCAACTTCTGACAAGACAACAGCTACATCAGTGAAGCTACGTAGCTGTGTAATATGTAGGAGTCGAAAAGTTCGTTGCGATAAGTTATCGCCGTGTTCTAATTGCCGGCGAGCAAATATTCCATGCGTACTCCCTTCAACTGATCGACCTCCTCGATGGGCTCGCCGGCTCGAGCGCGCTGGTAATTTGGCAGCAGAGTCAAATAGCACAAAGCCAGCAAAAGAAATTAGCTCCAAGGGAGATCCAATTATTGAAAGACTGCATAATCTTGAGAATTTAGTGAAGGAGCTACGAGGCCAACTGGAGCATGCCAATGCTACAGCAGGGCATTTCAAAAATGATGGGCTGCTTGGGCTTGGTGGTTCTGGTACTTCACCTCTCGATCTAAATCATGATCTACAAAGCTTCAAAGATAACGTCTCTGTGGAACATACTTCTGATGTGCAGAAGAAATTCGGTAGGCTAGTTCTAAAGGATGTCAATCGGAGTCGTTACATAAGTAGTGGTTTCTGGGCCCGAATGAATGATGAGGTAGGTTTGTTGAAGTTCTCTTATCATGTCCACTATATGATTGGTTAGTTAATCATTGACGCCAGAGTAGATTGAGGGATTACAAATGGAGGCTCGAGGTGCTATCGACGCTGATTCTGATATATCTTCAAATGATGAGGATGTACCCGATAGGGTGGTATCCACATTGGAGCACGAGCGAACACCATCGGAGCGGCATGGTTTTTTATTCAAACATAATCTAAGTCTTTCTGATTCCGACCTCTCGAAGCTGCGTCCATTACCGTCACAGATACCTTTCCTGCTGAATGTATACTGTGAAAATATCCACGTATTCATGCGAATTGTAGACATTCCGGCCATCACTGACATGATCCGTGAGTTACGTGGAAATAAGGACAAGGAACTTACACCACCAAATGAAGCTTTAATGTTTTCCATCTACTATGCAACAGTAACCTCGATGGAAGAAGACGAGGTAAGCGTTTCCTAGTTCAAGGAGGATTTGTCTCAATTATTGTGCTTACGGCATTGTCTTAATCCTAGGTCATAAGCAACTTCGGCTGTACCAAATCGGAGTTAAGTTTCAAATATCGGGTGGGACTGGAAAATTCACTTGCAAAGGCTGATTTTCTCAGTGAGCCTGATATAACCCTTGTCAAAGCCCTGCTCATCTTTCTTTTTCTGGTTCGGCGTCACGAAAGTCCTAGATTTGTCTGGATGATGACTGGTCTGGTCATAAGGATGGCCCAAGCTTTAGGTCTTCACCGGGATGGGTCTCACTTTCCTAACCTTACCCCGTATGAGATTGAAACTCGCAGGAGAGTATGGTGGACGGTATGTTTGCTAGATTTGCGAGCATCCGAGGACCAAGGTACGGAGCTGAGTACTACTGGTAACAGTGTTGACACAAAGTTTCCACTCAATATTAATGATGTCGACCTCAATCCCCATACAGAGAATATGCCACCAGCGCGTTCATGTGTAACTGACATGACTCTTACTATTGTTTCAGCCGAGATGTGTGATGTTATGAGACGGTTGATGGCTTCAAGCATCGGAGAAAGTCCGTCGAGTCCCGAAATTCAAAGCCGATTGTTACATGAACTTTACGGAACAGTCGACAAACACTTTCTTCAATTCAGCATGGGGAGTAAGACCGTTGCATCCTGGTGTTTGTCAACTTTAACGCGCATGGTTGTGTCAAAAATGAATCTTATTCTTAACCTCCCGGTGCTCTTTTCCTCTCCCAGCGAGAAACACTCGGGCAAGATTCGAACAAAACTCCTAATATCTGCCATTGAGGTAGCCGAGTACAACCACGCTCTTAACTCCGAGAAGGATTGTCAAAATTGGAATTGGCTTTTTCAAACTTGTACGCATTGGCACGCAATCGTATACCTCTTGATAGAAACTTCCCGACGCCAATGGTCCCCCCTTATCGAGCGAGCTTGGGTCGCTCTTCATAGCAAATGGTTAATTCCTCGGCAATTAACTAACACCTCGGAAAAAGAAGAGAACTCGCGCATCTGGGTCCCGCTACGGAAACTTATGGCTAAGACGCGTAAACATCGTGTAGCTGAGCTTCAACGTTTGCGGAAGAATTCATGGTCAGCCATTGAACTAGAGAGGGAAGATGAAAAGATGCCGCTTCCGGCCAGTCCAGTGCCGTCCTATGATGGAAAGTCCGGTAATATCTTTCGCGAGCGTTGGCGTCAGCTAGTTGCAATACCTCCAGAGATTGAGGATCAGAGACGGCCTGCTGGAATGTATACCCCAGATTCAACTGCTAGCGACCTACCTACGACTCAACGGAGCCTCGATTCCACAACTGTGTACGAATATAGCGCCTCTTCATCGAATCTGAACATCAACGATAGCAAATTTTCCGGGCAAGAATCATCAAATCTGGATGACCAGTCAGTATATCCTCAAAGTCAAAGAGGAATAGAACAATCTTTATATCTATCATACGACGGAGTTGATCCCGCCTCAAGCGAGTGGTATGACCCTAGTCCAAATGTAAATCCAAATGATACGTCACCTTCATGGAGCAAAATTGACCCCTCAGCCGGCATGTTTGCAGATATAGATGTCAACATGGATCTTGACCTGGACGTGAATTGGTATGAATGGATTGAATCAGCGCAGGTCATGGATCTCCCACTTTAAGCAGAATAGAGAGCAACTTTTTTCTTTAATTTCATATCGGCTCTGAGGATCCGGATTACATTCGGTTTTATAGCGTTTTTTTGAAGCGTTTTAGTTTGGTCATGGAATTGTGGTTAGGAGTTATATAGATATATATTTATTTGAATGTTCTAGTCGGGATGTACCCAATCAACTCTCTCCCAATACGGATATTCATCGCCAACATTACCCATAATAAAACAAAACATACTAGCCCAACACCATGCCTCACTCGACTCGAGATCCCAAATTCCACCTTGCGTTTTTCTCGGCCCCAAACACACCCTCCAATCAATCAATCAATCAATCTTCCTGCACACCCACCACCACCCATCCTACAGCTCCCTACCCAAATTGAACCCCCGCAATATATCCAATCTCTCACAATCAAAATAAGCACTTTTCCCCATCCGTTCATCCATCCAATGCAATCCCCAAATTCGCAGGGTTGTGCATCCTTCACGCTTACTGTACCGGCAGGCCAAGATCACGTGTCGTCCTCGTCAACCGAGTGTGGGGGGCAGCGCGAGCCCAAAAGCGCGAGAAAATGCCGAGCAATTGACGAGGAATGGACGAAATGATGTATCAGATATGGGATTTGCGCGATGGGGTTTTCTATAAAGGCGCTGTTGTCGCTGTGATTTGAGGATGGGGAAATTATAAGTTTCATCATAGTTTTCTGCTTTCTTACTTTTGAGTTGAGTACTTATTATCCGAGTTAAATCGTACATACATCTGCACTTCAACTTCTTTCCACTTTCGCTTCTCTGAGATAAAGATTGAGGTCCACCGGTCTAAGCGATTACCCCTTTGAGCTATTTTAATTTTCAACTCCGCAAGTTGTGCATTGTATTTGTTGTGAGATATCAAACCTCACTGTCAAAATGTCTACAATAGATAAACCATGCAATGAATGCATCAAGGTACATCAAATCCCCCAACTCATCTCTCCAAGATGCTAGCTAATTCACCCCAAGGGAACCATCCACGCCGGCCTCCCCATCGGCGACTACCAAACCATCCACGGTCTGCGCACCTACATCGTCGGTAACCTTTCTACCTCGCGCGCAACAATCGTGCTCTACACCGATATATTCGGGCACCTCCTGCCCAACAATCTCCTTCTCGCCGACGCTTTTGCCGCCTCTGGAGAATATCTCGTGTACGTGCCTGATTTTTTCGAAGGCGATCCCGTTGCGCTTAAAGTGGCCGATTTGTTAATTCCCGTGGATGCGAGTAAACAGGGGACGCTGGGTAAATATACGGGGATCTTGGCTAGTGCGCCGAGTTTTCTGATGTGGATGGGTCGACATAAAGAAGCGAAGTGTAGCGCGGTTTGTAATGGTTTCTTGGAGAAGTTAAGGATGGAGACCAAGGGAGAGAGGAAGATTGGGATGGTGGGGTATTGTTGGGGAGGTCGATATGCTATTCGTGCTGGGTTGGAATCGAATATGATTTCGATTGATGGGGTTAAGAAACCATTAATAGATGCGGTCGTTGCGTTACATCCAAGTAATTTGGTGTTCCCTAGAGATGTGGAGGGATTAGTTGTACCAATCAGTTATGGGTGGGGAGAAAATGATGTAGCTGTTTCGATTAAGTCGAAGGGAATTATTGAGGAAATCCATCAGAAAGAGAAGGAGAAGGGGGGGAAGGTACCGGAAATGGAACATAGGGTTTATAAACCTGGAAGACATGGATTCGCGGTCAGAGGGAATCCAGATGATCCATTGGAAAGAGCGTGCCTGGAGGATTCGATGAAGCAGGGTTTGGAGTGGATGGGAAAGTGGCTTTGATTTGGGTTGAGAGATATTTGGAGTCTTTGGCAACTGTTTCTTGGAGAATATTATCAATTTATTTGCGATCTGAATACCCTTCTGCAACTTGTCTGCTCTTGTGATTTTGATCGATATTGATATGCAACGACAATCGGGTATGTAAGAGCGAAATCCTTCGTTTTCTCAAGGGAAGAACTAAAGTAATGAGAAAGCGGGCGGATTAATGTTTGCTTGACGACATTGAGTCGAGCGACCTATCTATAAAAATGGACCGAAAGTGTAAACGCATTGCAAATATTTTGCTGGAAACTATCTCAATTAATAACCATGGGACAATGAGCATTTGATTGAACTATATCTCGGCCTTGGTACTTGCTGAACATAAACTGCATGTTATGCATAATAATCCCACTTCAATTCGATATATCAATAGGACTACTATGTATGTCATAACTAGAATTGAACATATTCAATTTTAAATCCTTATAACTGAGGAGCAGATATTCTGCTTTGTTAAATAGGGTATAATCACACGGTATCAAACCACGTTATTGCCAGCCTCCGTATTAGTACAAATCCAGATTTGATGATCATCTTAATCTGAATCCATCCCAATCATCCTCATCGTCATCGTCGTCGTCGTCGTCCTCTTCCAATACATTATTGGCTGCAGATTCTTCTGTTGGTATTGGTACCGTTGCGATCGCTTCCTTTTCTTTCAACCTCAAAGCTTCTCGTTTCTCTCTGAGCCGCTTCACTCTCTGGTCTAAGCTTTCCATTTCCTCAAATTCTTCTTGAAGCTTTCTGCTTGCATCCTCTTTATCTCCCTCTACCTCAGCTTCGAGCTTCTCCTTTATTCGCGCCTTCTCTTCTTCGACTGTTCGAGCTTCCACTTCCGCTGTAGTCATTGCAGGCGCAAATATGACAGCCTCTGATTCGACTTCTGTTGGAACATCCGCAGCAGCAATATCTGCTTCAAATGCAGCCCATTCATCTTCGTCCACATTAGCTTGTTTATTCGGAGGCGGTGATTTGGTTGGTTTCGCTGGAGTTGCAGGACGAGAAGGAATTTGCAAATCATGAGGTATCGCGGATTTTGAAGGTGATTCGGATCTTTCTTTTGATGAGTCCTCTGCTGGAACAAAAAATCCTTCCAAGGCAGTAGGTGTAGCTTTACTGCGCTTCTTCAAGGTACCATAATCCATATCTATATCCTCATTTTCATCATCCAATTTCCTCTTTTTACTAGTTCCCTCGTTGCTATTTGTGTCCGCTGTCGCATTGCGTTCACGTTCTGCTTCTTGTTGTTTTGAGAGTCGTAAAATATGCCCTGGTGATCGTAAATGTCCTTGCCATAATGATTCACTCTTCATTTGTAAATGACAGACGAGGCACATGAGATTACCAGCAGTTGAATAACCAGCATGTTTATGTTGTATGCGACGGGCAACTCGCTCATTCTTGAGAAGTGAACGAACATCTGCCATGATTATTATGATGATTTTGGTAGGAATTGCCAAATCGTATAAGGAAAAATTGGCGATATTCAAGAAGAGAGTGGTTTGTTATGTACCGGTTGTTATGGTCGAGCTTGAGTATTCTTGAACTTTATTGTAATCAGTGATGCATTTGTCGAGGCTGAAGCTCCTTCAGATTTTCAATTGAGCTCTTCAAGGTTCCAAGGTCAAAGCTGGAGCTCTTTGGTACCAAATAACCAAGACGCTAACTCCCAGTCGGCTCGCAGTTATTTTGATATCTAATCATTAGCTCGTCAATCGGATCTTACCACTTCCGACATCACATGACTGTATCCCCGCACCTTGGAAAAATCTTGGAATTTCTAAGCCAGCCTTGCCTCTTTGCCTCACCAATGAGCGAAAAATGATCAATCTCCGCCTTCCTTCTTCCCTATCTCAAATTCTCAGAACAGAACCATAATAAAACAAAACAAAACGCTCAAATAGCAATCAACAGGCCTTTACGGCCCACCAAGTATCGAAATACCTTGTCGCATTGTCTCGAATACCTTCATCATCACACTGCGATCGACAATTCTTGACACTATCAAGTTCTTTAAAGCTGTTTTGCGCATTCAATACACGCGGTCAATCAATTTGAAGCTTGTCCGTCCTAACCGGCTATCAACAATACCCAGAAGAAGAAAAAAAGTCAAAATCGCGACTTCATCTGATTGTATTTGGGGAAGGATTACAAAGAGAAGCTTCCCATAACCTTTTGATAGCTTCTTATTTCTTTTCTGCATATTACCCTTTCTTCAACAAACCCATAGCTTGTTCGTAGAGCCAGTGATCGCGTGAAATCAATTCATCAACGCGTACTTTGAAATTCAGCTCCAGGGCGTATATTCATCCCTTGTAATCATCGAATTCGCGTCTACCAGAAAATTTGAACCTTTGTATCATTGATAATATCCTTTGTTATGGCTGGTAAGTAATAGTTACCTCTGCGCAGGTCAACCCACTTGCTTCGCGCAAGGAATTTGCAAAATGCTTCCCCTCCAATACTATCATACGAGGAAATAACTAACAGGGATTCTACAGACGTTAGGAAGTCGTCGCGAGCGACAAAAGGACAACACCCGAAAGCTCATGAGCTTGATCAACCTATCGAAACAAAAAAGAAAGGAAAGAAAGGTGGAAAAAAGACAGCTATTCAAGAAGAGGAGGTTGAGGTTATACGGTGTGTCTGTGGAGTTACTTCGACTACGGATGATGATGAAGCTGCTTGGATCGCTTGCGACATTTGCGCCGTATGGCAACATAATGTTTGCGTAGGTGTAAGTCCATATGAGGAAGACACACCAGACAAATACACTTGCGAACAATGTGCGCCAGAAGCCCACAAGGAACTCCTGGATGGAATTGCTAGAGGTGAACAGCCTTGGATCGCAAGGCAAGAGAAGCACGAAGAGGAAAAGGCAGAGCAAGAGAGACAAGATGCTGAGGAGGCGGCAAGGAAGAAGGGCAAGAAAGGCAAGAAGAGAACAAGCGACCAAAAGCGCGATGTAACTCCTGCGAATGGAAAGATACAGTCCCCCTCAGTTCCAGCCAAGAAGGAAACACAGAAGGATTCGCCTGCAAAGGCATCCAGTCAAAAGCGCAAGACAAGAGATGAATCCCAAGATAAAGAAGCCATCAAAGTAAGTCATTGGGTTCACTGCGGAATGAAACATGTTAACAGTAGTTTAGGAATCTTCGACTAAAGTCCGCAAGACTCTGTCTCGTCCTACACCGAGAGCTTCTCCGCCATCAGACTTGCCTAGCAAAATCTCTGAACTCGAAGCAGAGCAACAAGGCCAGGTTACTTTGATTAAGAAGGGTTTACTTCAAGCCATTCCACATGCTATTGAGGAGCGTTATTATACCTTACGAGCCGACGACACCATTGACGCAAAGGCCGAACGACTTGCCATTCAAATCGAAGCAGCTGTTCGTAGTACACACCCTAACAAGTCAGCCTCCATCAAACAGATCCGCTCGATATTTCTCAATTTAAAACAAAATCAAGAATTATGTAATGGTTTGTTGTCGCAATCATTATCACCTCAGGCCTTGGCGGTTATGACAACAGATGATATGGCAAGTAAGGAGTTGAAACGTGAAACAGCACTCATGAAAGCAAGAGCCGATAAACAATCTATTATGATCACAGATGATGGTCCACGGATTCGAAGAACTCACAAAGGTGAGGAAATAATCGAAGACGATACCAATCCTAATGAATATCCTGATATTCCAATGTCTGCAGCACGTCGAAGGGAAATGTTGGATCCGAATGCTGGTATGGGTGATAGATCTAGGTCTCACTCGCCCGAAAACGAGGTTGAAGTACCAGAAATTCCTGAAGACTATCCATCACATGACAAAGTCCGCACTTTGTCAACTCCCAAAACACCTTTGAATATCGATACAAAGCAACCGGCTCTGAGAAAGGGCTCAACGCAAAGTTCCGCAACAGGAACTTTTGACATTGGCAAAGTCTTTTCGAGTGTTCAATCGCCTCATCCTTCCACCAACAAACAACGTGATGCCGATCATTATAGAAGGGCATCGAACGCACCGCCTTTGAATGGACCTGGAGATGATCCTGATGTTGACAAAATGCTTCAAGATGATGATGAATCCCCGCCATACTCTCCAGTTGAAGACCCCTCAGATCCAGACATTGTTTGGAAAGGTACAATGAGCATGGATTCGGTAGCAAAATTTTCAGCATATGCTAAACAAGTTGCTGGTCCAGATTTGAGTCGCAATCGTATGCAAACTCCATGGTCTGAACTGCTTCATAAAGATTTAAAGGTTCATGGTAGAATTGATGCAGACAAAGCCAATGAATATTTATGTGGTCTTCGATATAGTCCGCCATCTGATGTAATTGTCATCAACATAACACCAACTTCTGGATCATCGGATTTTCTTGACTTGTATAATTACTTTCATGACAAGAAACGTTATGGAGTACTTACTAACAAAGGTCCGGGAAATGTACGAGATACATATTTAGTTCCAGTCCCTCCTGGACCTGGCAATATCCCAGACTTTGTCGTCAATCTTGCAGAACACAATCTACCAGAAGATAGACCAGAGCCTTCAATATTAGTAACTTTGGTTGTACGTAATGGATGGGAACAACCTTCACGGATCCAATCATTCGATGGTGCAACCGATCCCCACAGCCCTCTTACTGCGGGTGGTATTGCTCAACGCCAATTGTCAATCAGTCATTCGGGTCCAGGTATGTCTCCTAGTCCTGTTACTCCTCAGGGTTCTTTCCAGCCATCTTTTGTTGGAAAACCTGAGGAAAGACGTCAACAACAGAACTTAGAAGAGCAAAGACGAATTGCTCAAGCGGAAGGTGAAGCTGTTGCGTTGAGAATACTGGGTGATTACGCAAGGGCTCCGACAGTTGGTTTCTTAATGCCACAGGCTTATCAAATGAGGGATCTGGAATGGCAGGCTATTAGAAGTATTTTGGAAAGAGACGAGAAGGCGCAAAATGATTTAAAACATCTAAGTGAGGTTCTGGCGAGGACGGGTCCGGCGTAATTACATTACGATGACGAGGACATGGAAACTAATGTACTGGATCGAAATGTGGGGAATAGAAAGGATGATAGTTAGGTAGTGGGGTGGATGGGTTTAATTGGCGTTCTTGGCGATATAACCCTAACTCTAACAATCATGGGAGTTGTCTATCTCCATCTTCTTTTACATGTATATTTCGCTTTACGTTCATTCCCTTTCCCTTTCAATTCTTGGCTAAAAAGTACAACTACGTATGGTAGATTGGAATGCAATGACGAGAGTTTTTTCAGAACATACTATGCACTCACTTCGTTCGTATTGTGGTTTGATTTGGCGACAGTCGTGCTTGTAGATGATAATATTATGATACAAGATTGATATAGTGTAATCTCGTTTCCCTTTCCTCCTCTGTGTTCATGGCATGAAGCGAGGAGATGGAATGAGATAGTACCGTTTACGATAGCTTTTGAGCCCTTTTTCCGAGAGAACTTACCATATGTTGAATGTTTTCACTTTCACTCGGATGATTTGACATGTCGGATTGATTGATGTGTGTGTGATATTTTGAATCGGGACGGATGGTGGTTGGTATCGTGGGCTGTTTCAACTGTTCATGTGGATTTGAGTATGTGTGTAGATATCTTTTTGGATGGGTGTTCGAGCTTGATGGCCCTTGAAATGTCTATTTTTGGGGGGTTTGATGATGGGTTGTTGGCTTTGTTTTTATGGGGATGAAGATATAGGTGCAAGTGAAGGATGATTTGGAGTTGGAAATTAGAACTGGGATTTGAGGGGGGATCGACCAGCAAGATTTACAAATCAGTGAATGGTTAGCGAGACGAATGCGTGAAGTGCTGTTTTGAAGCACTTTCGATTGTTTCTAGGTATATAAACTCATGGCAAATAGTATCACAGTTTTTTCGAAGTATAGAATCAGGCAAGTATATCCAGATTCAAAAGGACTGTTGGGCTGGCAAATTGCTACTATAATTTGGGGTGCTGGGGATGTGATTCTTCTCTTAGAGAAATAGCGGTTGTGGTGGAGATTTTATCTATGTCCCTTTTTTTCGTCTGATAAGTTGGTTTTGTTGTCATCTTATGGGTGGGGATGTAATGACAGTAAAAAGCACTTGCTGTTCTTTTTAGAGTGAGGGGTGGCAGATTTGTAGTCATATCTTTGCTTATTAGTTGAATTTTGCAGTTCCCGAATTCTATGAACTGGATGCATACTCACGATTGGGGATTCCCTGTCATTATCCAAGCAGGATGGAAATCCAATTTTTCCAGATTTCCGATGGTTCTTAGGATATTTTGGAGGAGCTAGTGGGGGATGAGAGGGGGTTTATATGCTTGCTTGAAGAAAACTTGTATGGTGTACTAGTCTTAGTACTGAATTAATAAATTTTGAATAGCAAGGTGGATCTTAGTACTCAAGCCTTGAAGGAAACTGTGTGGTGGAGTGCTGAAGATGTTATCGAGGTGAATATCTCAAGTCAATTTCTCAAAATCTGATATCTAGAATCCCATTTTCAGTAATATAAAAGATCTCCCTAGACTGTTCAGTTTCGTGATTGCATACCAAGCAATACGAAAAAAAATTGTAATAAAATAGGCTGATAAAGTAGGCACTTTTCTTAACGTGAAGTAAAGAATGCTCGCGGGATTTATTACATGCAAGTATGTGGTTCATTGGGTAATCATCGTGTATTAGTATTTATATCATCACAAGCTCTTATTGTCGCTATCACTGAATGAGAAGAATGATTAGCATAACAACAGTGATACAAGACTTTGACAGTCATTCATCACGATCTTCATCTCACTTCCTTGACTCTCTTCCTCCTCCCAAAGAAGAAGCCGGAAGAACCCAAACATCAGGCACCAAGTCTTTGCGTAGTCAACACAGACCTCCCTTGACACTCCTTAAAGCATCATTGTCTTTTGCAGATTGTATGAGCAAATCAGTAACTCCCAGAAGTGGTCAACCTTTAAATACTTCCAACTTTAAACCCCCGCAATCTCATACACTTTCCCCCTCTCGCTTCACAGACACCGATCTAGAATCCGCTTATATAAATAGTTGTAGAGAAGCTATCCTTGAATTCTTCAAGAGCTTAAGGAATCAGGATGTATTGTAGCTAGGTCTTGTTTGCTTGGTTTCGAAAACACCTTGTATCCTTTTTATCCAGGAGAATTATGAAGCCTGGATATATTGGATCTAAATACCTGGAGATTAAATCATCTGGTCACGAACTTTTCATCTGATATATACATAAATTTCACTGTCGATTTACTCTACTATGCTATCAACATTGACATGCAATACCCTAATATCTGGATTTTTAGCATGTATCTAGGCAGATAAGAGAGTATAGATGCACACACTCTTCCTTGCGCTTAACTATATTTCGTCAAGTTATTCGAACCTGGCATGACCGTAAATTCGAGCTCGCTTTCTTCAATTTTGGAATAATCGAGGGGATGGAAAGACAATATTCAAGTAAGTTAGAAAATATGTGGATGGGATTCACTATGAAAGAAGTGATGTGTGAGTTTTCTTGTACGAGATCTCATTTGAGGTATTTTGTGAATATAAAACACTACCCAATGCTCTGAGTTCAATTTTACATCAAGAGTAAGCTTCAGCAATTACACAATCAAGACAAGAAATTTTGTAGCAAAGCTTCAAGAATGTAGTGTAGAGCAGATGGTTTTTACATTGTACAAATCTGCGATTATTGGTTTCAGATGCTAAAGATGTATTTTTGATGTATTGACGATGATAGCTCGTAGTGATAATGACATCCCCTTTTTGCCCAAATGACAATATGAGAAGGAAAATCACAATAATGCCCAGATTCTTGCATTATGTATCATCCCTTAAGAATCACAAGCAAAATTATAATTCCGCTGTCAATTAATCATGAAATACAGCATAGAATGATTCTCTCTCCCCGCAAAAGAACTAGCGAATCCCGTCCCTCCTTTAGTCGTCATGTGTATAGGTGTGCAATGATATCCTATCTTATGAGATCTGTGCTAGGAGAGAATATATATGTGTATGGATTCTTATTAACTACTTTTGGATCTCTTACTCTACCTCTTTTGTATTCTCTAGTTAGGGGGTATACATATAAAATGATCTCTTGATCATGAATGAACTCAATTACTTATCCTCATATATCCTATCCCATTCTGTGTGAAAATCAACGTCGCAAACGTTTATATAAACACCCATTCATCACACTCATCAAAATTTCAGATCAACAACCCCGATACCACTCAAAGTATGCCAAGAGTGGCATCCACCTCCACACCCATCTCTTCAAATCAAACTCATAACGTCAAAGTCAATCCGGGCTGCCTCATCGGGCACCCTACTATTCATCTGTTTCTCCTCTTCCAGACTCCGTAAATTCCACAAAATCATATCCGATCTTTTGACTTACAACTTTTAACAACAACAAAACAAATTCGCGATAGTGATAATCATAATTCCTTATAGTATTGTAACATACAGCACAAATCAAGAAACACAAATCAAGAAACACAAATCAAGAAACACAAATCAAGAAACACAAATCAAGAAACACAAATCAAGAAAACACACAAACAGCCCCCCACTTCGCGACATCAACTCATACTCATACTCCCATCTAATCTCCCAATCTTCCAGTATATAATGAATAAGTATCCAATCTATGTGTAGGTGGGAACCTGCTCATCATTTATCCATCTATCTATCTATCTATCTATCAAATATCAAATTACAAGAATAGATATATATTCGCTTCGTCTTTGATGATGCAATTATTATCAATTACTTGTTACTTGTTAAGCGAATCTATACACATCAACGTATCTACATATCTACACATCTACTATACTCAACTCAACTCAACTCTACCATCTCGACAGATACTCCAATCCATTTTTGATAACAAACAATCTAGGTACCTGAATAGAAATTTGAGTTTTGAAGTTGAGTTAGTAATAAGGGATACATATAATATCCCGTAATATCCCGTCGAATCAAATCGCGTCGAACTTCCTCTTCGTTCTCAATCTGCGAGGAGGTAGATAACTATTCCCCAAGACTCCCTTCATATTATATCAGGAATGAAATGAATCCGCATAATACATCCATCATTTCACTAGAAATATTGTTCCCAGGACTAAACCTACTTTCTCCGTATAGATGTGCTGTCGATGTCTATTCCTGCGAGATCCGATAATAATTGAAGCATTCGAATATTAAATCGTAGTTCAGGTAGGAATTCTATTTATATTAGAGAGCGTTTTGAATTGTCACCATGATAATATTTAATTAAATCGTGAAAACTATTAGCCATAGTCTTGACATTTCAGTATCACTCTGCCATTCCCCTATAATCTCAAGCCATTACGATAGAATACTCATTCCTCCCCTCATCTCTTCTCTGCCATCTAGCAATCAACCTAAGAATGACAGCTCAAATTTCCCCTATATGAAACGATTCTCTTGATACTTGTAGTGGTACCGTGCTGTACAGCTTCGTATTGCAGTTATATAGACTTATCTCTGTGCATGACAGCTATAATAATATTCCGATTCCTCCGCTCTTCCATTCCATCCTCAATGAATCGCAAGAATCTCATGCTGCAATGGCTGTACCAATCTTTTCCAACGCTTCGCTTCAAGATATCTTTGTTCCCGTTCTTGTGGCCCGTCAGGGAAGGATTGTTTAGAGAAAGTCACTTTCAAATCCTTCGGTTCCGGTTCCCATCCCTCCAGATCATACCCTAACCCTTTGTACCCTTTATTGTACCCTCCTATATCGTATCCCTCCTCATCGTCCAGAATCTCACTCGGAATCCCCAGTCCCAATTTCCACCATTTTTTCATCTCCTCCTCCACCTCCACCTCCTGGCATTTTTTCTTTCTCCAAATCTCTCCTCTCCTTTCCTCCATCATCTCGTATTCGTCTAGATCTTTCAATTCACAAGGCTTCGATTCACCATCTAAAAGACACTCCCCCACAAACCTAACATGTTTCACCACCCCCTCTCCATCCTTGTCCCATCCACATCTGTTCTCAAAAGCATCACATCCGCATCTGTTATCTCATGCAATTGATCATGATGTATCCCAGCACGAAACAGATGACGAGGTTTATCATGCATCTCTTGGAGCACATTCCCAACAACCATTTCCCTTCTTCTTTTAAAGTTCCTTTTCAACTCCATCTTAATCTTCCCAGCACGATTCGCATGAGACGGATCACGAGGTTTATCATGTATCTCTTGGAGCACATTCCCAACAACCATTTCCATTTTTTTCTTCAAGTTCTCTTTCAACTCCTTCTCCCTCTTCCTTTTCCCATCGTCATTCACCTCGCTCTCGAGTTTTGCCAATACTCGTGCTGCTCTCATTAAGGAGTTTCTCATAGTTTTGTGAGAAATTTCTCTCATAAACCTCATATTCGCCTCTGTCTCCAACATCCTTTTGTTCCAAACAATTCGTCCATCATTCCTACACTCTACATATCGCTCCATGGACTGCGTTTTTTTCTCCCTAAAGAATGCCTCGAACCTTCTATCCATCTCCGCTATACCATCCTTTTCCCCATCCTTTTCCTTCTTCTCAATTAACCCAACGACCTCGTCGCCATCAAAAAGCCGCAAGACAAAATACGGCCCCTCTTCATCCCCATTAAACCTCCAAATTTCATCTCCTACTTCCGCCCGCACACTCACCAGTGCAATTCTCCCATTGCCCAAGCCAGCAAGTTTCTTGCCCTTGAAAATATTTCCACTGGTATCCGTCATGGCCATTAATATGTGCATCCATAAATCTTTCTGGTGTCGTTGAGCGTCGAACACTTCCGAGTAATTTCTCAACGGCTCTAGATCTGCGGGATCCGCAATTCTGGATACCAGTTCCATTCTTTGGAAGAAAGTTTTTGTGGACCTTGAGTAGACGTCTACAAGGAGTCGTGCTAAATCTTCTGGGATAAAATTATAGGGTGAAGTCTCTGGGGTATTGAACCACGCACAGAAATATCCACAGACGAGCTTAAGTATTTTCCTTTCAGTAAGAAATAGTTGAAATGGAGAACTTTCTCCTCCACGCAAATTCTTGATTTCATGACACAAAGCAAAAACATCCTTCCTCTTCGGAATGTCATTTTTGATCCTCTCCACACCACCAACCCTTGTTCCAATGCAGCCCAATACCGTCTTTCCCCCAGAACAACATGTATATCACCTACATCATGAATTCTGCTACCCCCCAACTCCCCTTCATTTTGCTGGAAATTCCTTTAGAAGTCCAATCCGGTACCCAAGTCGGCAAATTATATTTCCTTTCTTCAAAATTCACATCTTCCAAGTGCGACAGGAACTCAAAATTACATTGTCGATTTAAAATATATAATGCCAAGTCCGTGTATACATCTGTTATTGATTTTCGATAATCGATTTCGACGAGCTTTTCGATTTCCGGATCGTCGCTCTTTGATTGATTTGCAAATAAGGCGAGGTGTCCGTACAACATGTCTCTTGGGTTGAAGACGCCATAACCACGACGTGAGTGGAGGATATTGAGCAGATAGTCGCATGGGCCGAAGGAATAAGGAGTCCCTGATATAAAATTTTCCCGTAACATGCGCATATCATTGAGAACATTATGATTTGGAGACTTGACCAAAGCAGAATCATGCTTGGAATCAAAAAATTAGGCTCGTAAAGTCTGTCCACCTGAGACGATGAAATCCCACTTGTACCCAAGGATCACCGGAAAGGATTAGTTCTTGGAGAATCCAAATTCTTCTGAACCATGGCATGTCTATCACCTGCCGAATTAGATCATCGATCTTTGATTTTGTATATTCTTCTGAGTGTAGATCCAAGGTCTGATCGGTAGTGTAAGATTTTCGAGCGTTTTATGGAAACACAGGTTTCGTTCGCTTCATCATTGGTGACATTGGAGAATCAAGTAATTCAAAGATTTCATCAGTTTCTGAAGTTGTCTCTCCAAGGAATATGACAGTATGCCTTGCAACTTCATAAATCAAGCTCATCAAACTAACTTGTTTATTCTTTTCTTTAAAGTCGAATTGATTTATACAGATTCCATCTGCCCATACCGATATATCTTCCTTTTTATCTCGTAGATGCCGTAATGCTGAATCAAGACTTTCGTTGATAAGTAGTGGTTTCTGATCGACCAATATTATCTTTCTGTTATTTGCATCTCCCCAGACGTAAGAAAGCGCTATGTAATGATCTATGAGAGATTGATCGTAATGGAACAGGGTAGAATAAGTTAAGCTGCATGATAAAGGTGATTCGATGGATAAGGCATGGTGAATGACGATGATACGAAATGCATCAGGCTCGAGAAGAGCAGTATATTGATATTGCTGAATATCCTCCATCCTTGGAGATGCTGGTGAAGTGGGAAAGAATGATCAATGTTATGAAGTCTCTTAGACAAAAACTTTGGTTTGAAGAAGTCGTTGGATGGATGAAGAGACATTAATTGGAAAGATGTTCTGGGTTGATATACGTGTGACCAGTCATCCACATGACATCTCGAAGCTAAGCCAATTTAGGCAGCTTCAGCCCCAACTACTCGAGTAGAGAAGATCGAATCATTTATCAGAATGTAGTATCAAAGATAATTAGGGCTCTATTTGTTGGCAGGGGGGAAAGGAGGCAAATTTTTTCTACATCAATCTCTGTTGAATTCTTCAGAATTGATTGATTTAAAGATCGACCACAAATGGTTCATATAAATTGACGATGGTTAAAAGAGATGTTACCTTATTAATATTAATATATGATACTCAGGGGGAACGATCAAGCTATTGAAGATATCATATAACTGATCAGAATCTGTCTCTTTCCCCCTAGCGGATAGGTCTGTCTATATCAGCGAAATGGCAAGCGGAAATTGACTCGACGGACAGACTCATCAGCTCCTTATGCATTTTTCAAACCAGATGGAATTGAGAGCCAAAACTTTCTATAAACAATATCAAGTCAAACCGTGTTGATTCTCCGTTTTTGCAAGAAAACTTCCATGCTGCTGAATACAATTGTCAGAGCCCACTTCAAGTTCATTGCCTTGTGTGAAGGGTCTGCTTTAACCATAGCTATCATTCATTCTTTTTTCATCATCTTCAGCTTCATAAACATCGACTTCGAGTCTATCAATTGGATATGTCATGATTGATACAGGATCACTAATGATAAACTTATCATAGTTTGCGAGTTCTTGTGATGCAACTTAACTTGGAGTACTTACGGAGTAAAGAAATAAATTAACGGTACGGTATTGTTGTTGAAATAATGATTGATTGAATAAATTTCTAGAATGTTATCGACAAACATGATGTTTGGAGGTTGAATATCTCAGAGCTTGTGTTCAAGCTGATCACATGATTATGATTTCTGTAAAATTTGACATACCGCTTTGGCAGAAAATGTGGGTTGGTTTAATGGCTCTTGTGGCAGTGGCAGTGGCAGTGTTGTGGCAGTTAGATGCAGGTGCAAGCTTAACTGGAAGGTTGAAATCACAACCTTGGTTTGTGGGATTATTAGACAAGACTAGGTAATTGAAGCCTTTTCTCCATTGCATATTGACATTTTCTTTCATGAATAGAATGCCTAGTCTGCCACCACGGCAGTGGCCCCCGGAGGGCCAGCGGAGCGTCATATCGATTGAATTATATGATTCCATGTATGGAGATAGCCTCTACGTAAGCGAAAACACAGGCGGAAGTTGAATACCTTTTCAAAGGACTTCTTTAATAGGTTATAAATTTATTTCAAATAAAATATTGAAATTCGAAAAAATAAAATAAAATATCGAGTTTTTTATATTAATATCAAGTGTTTTTATTATTTCAGTGTTGTATCAAAATAGGATTCTAGTTGTTAAAGTTCTTTCAAATGATAATCAATTTCCGCCTGTTTTTTGCTTACATAGAGATAGCCTCTTAACTTCAAATTTATACTCGAAACCCTTTCAAAATATTGCAATATATTTCTCCTTTGAAATTTCCAAAATCTTCTGCAAATATTATTTCATTTCTATTCTATAATGTAAGCCGTCTGCCGCCCCCTCCCCCGCCTATTAACCCTGAAGCCTCCGGAGGGCCAGCTAAGTGTTATGCCGATTGAATTATAGTTATATCATTGCAAAACTTCCTCAAGTCTGCTAAGATTCTTCAGGGAATGTCTTCACACTCCATGAGCCATGTTCTTATTCAAAGATGCAAATAGTCCAACGGAGCACCATCTGATTGAATTATACGATGCAACAAATGGGAGCAAGCCCCCAAAGCCCCATAGCTCGCTGCGCTCGAAGATTTAGCTTCTGTGGCTCATTCGAAATTCGGACCATTGAGGATCTCCATCGTCCATACGAGCTACGAGGTATTCTCATTAGCTTCTTCATTGGACATTCGGTACTCTGTTCTGTTCGTCATTCTTCACTTCCAATAGAGTTGATGTTTCCCCAATGTTTCATAGTGTATGCTTTTGATAGGTAGATCAATGCAAGCTGATAACCAATTATTTTGAGGCAACTACTCGTACGTACGTGCGTGTGTGTGTAATATGTATATCGTATATCGTATTGGAAGGTAGGTAGGTAGAGGTAGGTCATGTGAAACGAGAGAGAAAGGACAATGACAATCAATGAGCAGGGAAAAAGGGGGGAATTGGTCTCAATATGGTTCATGCTATCTATCGATTGGTGAACTTCGGAGTCGGGGTAGAGAGTAATTAGCAGAGTAGCAAGAGTAGGCTAGTCGTAGGGGTAATTGATTAAATTCAAGGCACCAAAGGGATTCGATTGGTTGAGATGAAGAATTATGGAACCGCTCTATGCCATTTTAGGAGAAATGCTGCAGTGATCACCCAGTCAGATAGTTCCAAAAGCATCTCAACCAATGATAATTCCTAATTCCCCCGGATTAATAACGGATATCATTATCCTTATCGAGGGATTTCTCTCTCTTTTTTATCTATTTTATCTATTTTATCTTTTTTATCTTTTTTATCTTTTCCATCGTGGGTTTCGTACCTTGCAGACTCCACTCTTTTCCACTCTAACTGGTTATCTGTGGTTGGGGGGAATCCTTGAATATTGAAGGAAGTGAAAGGAAGCAGAGAAGTGAGAAATGAGAAATCGGTATGCGCGGAATAATTCATTTTGCTTCATATCAACAAACTAGACCATGAAATGCATCTTTCCATCCATTGATTATGAATATTGAAATGGCCATGAAATAACTTCTCCTAAGAATACTCCTCCCTTTACGTTGTCCTCAGTAACATCAAACACCCAAAGACATTTCTTCTTGCTTGGCTTCTTCCCCTGCATGGTAACTTTACATGATCAGCCACCCAACAGCCACCCAACAGCCACAGAACGGTACGAGCAGACACAGAACACAGACTAGGTCCACCCTAAACTTGTCTCACTTCATTACACCACTGCTTTGCACTGCACTGCACTCCACTCTTCAATCATTCAATCATTCAATCATTCAATCATTCAATCATTCAATCATTCAATCATTCAATCATTCAATCATTCAATCATTCAATCATTCAATCATTAAATCATTCATTCATTCGCTATCTATTCACCACTCACTTCCTCGACTTACCCTCACCTCAATCTTTTCCTGGGCAAAGAGATCTTCAAACGCTCAAACGCTCAAACGCTCATACTACGCTCGTACGAACATCACTCTCTACTTTTGTTCATCACTTCTTTCGCAACTAATACCTCTCTTCATCCCATCAAACCCACCGTTTCTACTTATAAAACAGACATCCGAGCTCAGAATCCTTCAGAAGAAGACCATTGGAATAGAAGCTGGACTTTGCCACAATTCCACATCTCACATTGGATAATTCGAGAGAGGGAGAAAGAAGCAAAGTTGTACACACACACACACTCACTCACTCACTCACACACTTTCACTCAACATTCGTTCTTGATTGCAATTTTGTCATTCGTTTTTGATACCACGATTTATCTCCACAATCGCATTTGTACCGCGGAAGAAAAGAAAGAAACTCAATTTCGACCGCCAACTTCCGACCAATTCCTAACGACCCCCATACCAATTTCAAGGTACCTGTCAAAGGACGATCAAACCCGCGCGCTTCAGAGTAACACAATCGGGAAGACTTCTCACCAAAAAGAAACAACAATTCCTTTTTCATTTGTATCAATCAAGTCAAGCGATGTCAATTTGATCTTCAATTAACAAGATTTTGATACTGCTAATTGACTTGGTTCAATTCAAATCGCATGAATAGTGAATATTCTGGTCGCATTCGCATTCATTTCCACCTTCTCGTGAATTTGTCACAGATCAACAAAAATATGATTCAACAATAGAAACGGCCACTCTTTACCATTTCTATTGTCGTTCCTTGCTCAGCTTTAAGCCACGGTCGACCTGAGAACTGTTATCCACAATCCTACTGTCGTTGACGTTTGTGTCCGTTACCCGTTTATTCGACCTTTACCATCCAAGACTAATCGTTGTCTTACCTTTTTCATATCCGTCCTCGATTGATATCATCCATACGACCAGGTACATGAATACTTACTCGATATATCAATTGTACACCACCCTCACTTAACCTGCACAAGTCGACACTTCGCAGGCGGAGAACGACAAGTGCATTAAATATAACTCTACGTTCATTATATCGAAGAGAATCACTCATTGCGCAATATCCAACAAATCCTTCAAGGTTACAATTCCTTCTCTTCTAGCCAGGTGCTTCGACATTATATCAATTGTCATCGTGGCAGAGCCAAACGAATTTAATTAAAAGACATACCCTTTACTTTTTCAAATATGGGGATTTTTTCAAGACGTGTGAATAAAGACGACCTACGTCCTGAGCAGAAATGGGACTTTATTGTAAGCTTTGGAATGTCATTGGAAATGGGGAGTTACTAATTATCTTTACAGAGTCTCAATGATTTTAAATCCACATCCTGTCTCACTCCTTTCGCATATGCATATCTTTGGATTTCCTTGGTTATATCTACCGCCGTTTATGGTGTAGATACTTTTACCGCTGTTAACCTTTTAGCTTTCAATCGGTGGTCTGGTGAAATCCAACCAATTATTCCTCTCAATGTTTCGAAATGGATCTTTTCTGGATGTATCATTGCTTCCTGGGTTAATATTGGATTCGAACATTTACGAGCGTGGAGAGTTATGCGACGAGGAGCTGTTGCCGAAAGTTATTTGGACAATCTTGCTGTGCGACTTGAAAGTATTAAAATGGGACAAACTGGTCGAGGTTGGAGAAGATTCTTGGTCTTTGCCGAATTGACAAAGTCCAAAAAGGGTACCGAATATGTTGCGCTATTTACATATTTCGCTTTTCAATGTACGTCGCAAAAAGATGCCCATATTTTCATTACTAACATTTATAGCTTGGATTCGTGTTGTATTCTGTCAAGGACCTCGTCAAGTCATCAACGCATTAACTCTGTACTCAGTGTTCCATGCAAAACTCGATCCTACTGAATCCAATGATGTTGGAGATGCCCTCTTAACGTTTTTCAAGAAGGTTGGAATCCTTGCAGAACAAGAACATCAACAAGCAGTGATCTTGTCTGGTATGATCTTCACACTTGTCATTTGGATCTTTTCCGCACTAAGTCTTATCCTCGCAATTTTGTTCTATCTACTGTTCTTATGGCATTATATTCCAAATCACGATGGTGGACTTACAGGCTATTGCGAGCGAAAGATTAATGAACGTTTGACAAAGATTGTTAGTGCCAAGGTCAACAAGGCTATCGAGGAAGAGGAAAGAAAACGAACCAAAGCAGAACAAAAGGCAGTAAAGAAAGGAGAGAAAGTTTCTGGACGTCAAGCTACTATTCCAGCACTTTTCGATTCGAAAGAAGATGATAAACTTCCGGATATGCCTGTGCTCAATAGAGCAGATACAATGACAACCCTACCACAATATACATCACGACCAGGTACCCCAAGTAGTAATCTTCCACAAACAGCCAGTTTCGAACTTGAGAAATTGGACCAAAAACGACTATTACCTGGACGATCTGTCACAGGGTCAAGTTATGCTTCAAATGCTCCCCTTATGGGTAATGCAGGTGAAATGGGAAGAGTACCGGACTTACCATCACTTGATACGGATATGCCATTCCCCGCTCCACAAAGAACGAATACTGGAGGATCTCAAGGTAGTCAATGGCAACGTGGTCCACCACAAGGTCCTCCTCAAGGTCCGCCAAGAATGCCATCTGCAATGGGTGATCGTGGGTTTACAGCCAGTCCATTTTCTTATGCTGATGGACGAAATACACCTGGATTTCCTGGACCACAAAGACAAAATACAATGGATTCTTATGGAAGACCAATTCCTCGATCACATACACCCATGGGTCCTGGTCCAGCTCCATCAATTGGAAGACGTACACCATTCGATCCTGCTATGCAAAATACCCAAAATCGTATGATGTCTCCAGCATCAGAATATGGATCAGAATATGGAAGACAAACACCATTCAATCCAGCACTTCAAAATCAAGGCCGACCAGCACCAGCTCCAGGGTCAGAATTTGGAGGACCAAGGCCACCATTCAATCTCTATAATGATCAAGGAAGATCATCTCCAGCTCCGGGATCTGAGTTTGGTGGTCCAAGACCACCATTCAACTATAATCAACAAGGACGTTCATCACCAGCACCTGGACCTGACTTCAGTCGTAGAACACCATTCGACCCAGCTCTCCAAAACAATGGACGTTCTTCTCCAGCTCCATCAAATATGGGTCAAGGATATGGACAAAATACACGAAGTCCGCCATCAACAAATCCAGCCGGGTATAAACCATTCAATCCCAACTCCATCAATCCAACATTAGCATCACCAGTCGAACAAGAAGAAGAACACCAGCATGGTTTCGATTTTGGTACGGGCACATCAAATCCACCTCGAGTTAGAAATTTAACGGAACCTGTTTCAAGGGCTACGACTACGGGACCAGAACAAATGAGATCTCATGGAAATCGAAACGAAGATTATGGAGATGAGGAAATGGGATCTATTTCACCTCCTAGAAGAGCTGCTACGGAAGTTGGTGAATTTAACCCAGATCCAAGAACGAATCTAAATCAAGCTCACCAAAGACATGGCTCGGAATCTGGTTCGGGATTGGGATCTGCACCATGGGGAGGTTATCGATGAGAGGTGTTTTGAATTTAGGGGTTTTGAAGGATTGAGAAAGGGCGTTCAATTTGGATTGGATTGTATATTTAAAGCGAAATGCTGATAGGGGGTGTTTTTAAGCGGCGATGAATTACATACTTGGTGGTGTTTTGAGGTGGTTTTTGGTGTTTATAGGAAGGATGTTTATATTTATTCACTTACGTTCTTTATGAAGATATTTGAAAGGAGAAGATGGGGAAAAATAGATTTATATACCACATGTATGTAAAATAGGGAATTCACCGCTCGTGAGGTGGTGGTATCATATCTGGGGGAGAGATGACATGTGGATGTTTATATGATTTGGTGGATTGAAAGATGGATTGACGATAGTAATGAAGAATTACTGAATTGGAGCCGGTGGAATGAATCGATGATTTTGTAATGAGGTGAGGTGGTTCCTAGGTAGATAGATAGATACCTTTGAGATACCTAGCTTGCAGAGATGAAATGATACCTTACTTTAATCTTTTTTGTTTCTTTGACTATTATTTTTGATATACCTACGTTGTTTGTATCGTGTTTATGAGAGTGAATTGGAAGTTGGATTCTGATATTTCTATTATTAGATGACTATCTATGTAGTTATATATCTATGTACATCTATCTGTCTATCTAATAGACTTCCAAGGTTATATGTTGTACCTAGGCTGATTAAATAAATATATATAAAAAAGCCAAAAATTCATTATAATGCATTTCATGCATACCTGACTTTCTACAGGATCTAGTGAGAAGCATGGATAGGCTAGGGATTGAAAACATGCAGAGATTATATCAGATTGATTTGATTTTCTTAGGGGCTACCTACCTAGGTACCTAGGTAGCTATGGATGGAAGAGCTCTATCATGGATCATAGAAGACCTCGGGAACTCCTATTCGTACGTACGTACTAACTAGGAACTCGTTCCTTCTATTTTAGTATTATGTAAACTAGGTATACCTAGGTACCTTTTAACATAGGTTATACGCATTTGTTTATGTGGTGTGGTATGTGGTATGTGGTATGTGGTATGTAGTATGTGGTATGTGGTATGTGGTATGTTAGGCGTGCGTTTTGTGTATTTGAAGGGAGGGAGGAAGGAAGGTATATAATAATGATACTCTCGGTCTGATATTTTATTGTTATACAGTACTAGACCACTTATATCCGCCCCCCCCCACTTATTTATGATATTACATATTGCATTACCCTTTTTCAATATTAAATATTAAATCAATTAAGAATTATAAAATTATTAAATCTGAATAGATAAATAATGTATTCTTATATTATTGATATATATAAAAATTATTTCATTATTAATTCTCAATCTATCAATATTTAATATACCAGTTATTCGCTATAATATAAGCTTTAATTCTAAAAGGTATACTAGCTTCTAAATTATTAAATAATTCTTTATTTAATATATTCTAAGTTATTTATAAACAATTTTTTAGCTTTTAACAAATATATTCTGATTTGTTTTTATTAATAATAATATTAGGAAATATTTTATATATTCTTATTTTTAAAACTTATTATATATACTTTATAAAATTGAAATCAAGATAATAAGGAGGTTAATTCTTCAATAAAAAAATCTCCTTTTTTTGAAATCAATTTTATATCTTATAAGCACAATAAATAAAAGTATTATTTTATATAAATTTATATTCTAAATTAAGCTTTTTGAAAATAGGGTTTATTTTAGTTTTAAGAATCTCGAAATAAGATTTGGTGTTATATCTATATTTCGTATTCTCAAAATCCTTATTTATTATATATAAATTACTTTTTCTAATATTCCAAAAGCTTTTTTAATATATAATCTTTATATTTTTATTTTTATTATATATTTCAATTATTTCTGAATTCTATTTCTGAAAATTAGTATAAAAATATTATTCTAATCTTTTTCCTTTTTCTTATTTTATAGAGTATTTATTTAATTATATAATTAGATTTTATTTTTTAATTATTAATTCTCTATAAGTTAGATATTATTTAAACTATTTAGCAATATATATTAATATAAGTTTTAATCTTTTTTTATATTTCTAATTAATTATATTATATTTAATCAAATCCTTTTAATAATTCTAATACTATAATTAAGTCTAATCTTTTAAATAATCTATTTATATATAGTTTTCGAAAATAATTATATATATTATAATAACATTTGTTTATTTCGTTTAATATATAATTTAGATTAATTAATATGTAATAGGTATATATTATTATTGTATATTAAATTTTGTAAGAAAATATATTATATAATTCTATAAAAAAATCCAAGATTCTTTACAATTCAATAGAAATTAAGGTCTTTCTCTATCTTACTAATTATTTTGTTATATATATATAAAATAAGATATTTATAAGAATTATTTTATATATTTTTAATATATTATATATTATAAATTGAAAGTATAATTAAAATAATAAAATGTGATTATGGGAGTGTAATGTGTGAAAAAATGTATTTTGTGGAGTTTCGACTAATAGAAGTGCACGGTGACTGTAGAATTCGCTACGGGAGTATAGTATAACAATGCGAGTGTTATGGTAATCTCTTTCTTATAAAGATTTACATATTTATTGGGAGGGTAATGATTGCCTGCCTGGTGTTTATAATAGGTACGTACTCATGGATACTCGAGTGCACTTGCACTTTTTGTTAAAAGTTATGAGGTTATTTGAAGGGGTGGATTGGAATGGAAGCTTTGTTTGAGTAGGTAGGTAGGTAGGTAGATAGGTGTTGAGTTGAGGAAGTTGGTTTGGGTGGTTTTTTTCATTGGAAATTGGGGGGGGTTTTTTGGCTTTTTTATTATTAATTCTTTTTTGAGAAGGGGGGGAGAATGATATAACTTATAATTTACAGTGAGGGTTGAATGGATTAGAACGTAGATAGATGTTCATGAGATCGATATCGTAGTCAAATTCAGAGTCTCCAAGAGATGATGAAATCTTATGCTTGAATGAATGTATAGGTAGGAATGAGATGGAGATATTGGGTTTGTTGGTGTGGTGATATGTATGTATGTATGTGGATGTGGATATTTATATGTATGGTAGTGGTGATGGAAAATCTTCTTCTTTTTCTTTTTTGTTTATTTTAGAGAGAAATAGGATTGGATAGGATAGGATAGGATAGATAGAGGGAACTGAGTGATTGGATTGGGTGATTGGATTAATGGGTTGATTTGAAGATTGTGTGGATTATGTAGGTAGGTGTTGAATATTATTAGGATGAGATGGATGAGATGGGATGCGATGATGAGAATGGAAAGTGAGTGAGTGAGTAAATGAGTAAATAAGTAAATAAGTAGTCTAAGTAGGTAGCTAGATGAATACTATACTCTGAGAGAGGAAAAGAGTAGAGAGATGAATATGATGTATTTGGAATGGAAGTAAGCATTTGGGTTGAGATTATGATTATAGTTATGATTTGGGGATTCTTTTTTATATAAGAGATTGTAAGGAGATGGATAGTAAGGGAGGGAGGGAAATGAGGGGGATGAGTAGGTAGACGAGTGGGTGGGTGTTAATTATATTATAAAATAGATGGTAATTCTTTACGCTGATTAGATAGGATGAAATGAATGGGGGAAATTTCGTATCGTTTTGATTTGTTTTGATTTGGTAGGTGTGGAATGCAGGCCTGTTATGATAATGATGTTTATTTATTATTTATTATTTATTATTTATTATTTATTATTTATTATAGGCTGAGTGGATGGTAATCTATCTGATTGATTGATTTACTTTTCCAAATTACAGTATGAGTTGTAGATACCTACCTAGGTCATCTCATCATCTTTCTTTCCGGTCGATCGATGATACTTTGAGAATTCTTTGATGCTGTTTCTGAGTTCTGAGAGAGGAACTTTTGTACGGGATTTGATTTATGATAGTAGGAATGTGGATAGGAAATAGATGTACTTATTAATTCAAGGTTCATAGTACTATATCAACTTTAAGAATTCTGATTAATGTTTATATAATATAGGTAGTCTCTATGTAAGCGAAAAAAAACAGGCGGAAATTGAGTATATTTTCAAAGGACTTCTTTAGTAGATCATAAATCTACTTCAAATAGAATATTAAACTTTGAAAAAAGCAAACGAAAATTTGAGTCTTCTTTGTATCAATATTAAATAGTTAAATGATTTAATATTATATCAAAAAAAGATCTTAGTTGTTAAAGTTCTTTCAAATAATAATCAATTCCCGCTTGTTATTTTGCTGATGTAGAGGTAGCCTCGGTAAAACTTACTAATTCGCTGTCTGTATTATGTTTCGTCTCGATTACCTACTTCAGATCGCTTGGGGTCGCTTGTGATTTTATTTGAATAGTGAGTTTTTAAGGGGTAAGTAGCTGTAGAGATAGAAGTTAGAGGGTGTATTTGAATCAAATCGATAGTATTGCTTTTTGAGGTTAAGAATGAATATTTATTCTAGGAAAAGATGGGTTTGTACTGGTAGTAGTATAAAAATAGATTTATATATCTCTTGTTTTACGAATTATAAACATATCTAACATTTCTATAAAAAAATATGTTCAGGAATACACGCAATTATCTCTTCCCCCCTCCCCCCCCCCAAAATCCTAGCCCGTGCATCCAATCACAGAACTCGATAGACATCCAGAACACAACAAGTAAATTCTGAAACCGCTCAATTGTTCGCGAGATCACATCACATCACTGGATGTGCGCTTAAAATTAAAGTTTCATGATTTTCGTAAAGGCTTCAGACTACGCTAGTAACTTCCACTACACAAGCTGTAGCTGCATCTTCATAGCGCTGCTGATCCACGATCGGGAAATATTCAGCGTGCAGCATGCATGCGCTGTGGCAAAGGGCAAAAATGACGCATAGTAGAGAGTCTTTCTATGGTGTCTAAGAACTCGGGATGAGCGTACCGGCGACACCGCGTCTTTTTGTTGGGCGTGGAAATGCTTGTTTGTTGCTAGTGGTTTGATGAACTTCTTGTTATCTATCTTTGGGTGGTTTGGTTGCTGCTTGTATCATAGTAAGCAATTAGTCGGATAGTCTCAAACCTTATCGAGACCAACTGGTTGAATACTGGTACTGCATCCATTCAGTGTTTTACTGTGATGAAGATTTATGACAATAATATATTTTTTGATATTCCCATAACCCATTTGCCTCATCTACTGACTAGGCACTTAGCCACGTCCCCCCTTTTATCCTCACATCGCTCTCCCCCCTCTTCCTCACCATTTCCCTCTCGCTATCATTCTCGTAATCCTCTCCTGCAAATACCACCGGCCGTCCGTGATCAAACTCTTTACTGATCGTGGGCGCGGGACTACTAACTGTTTCTGCTAACTCTAACGTTTGCATATCATCTGCATCATCGTGTTTGATGGAAATATCGGTCTGTATGCCGATCTTCAGGGCCATGCGATTCTTGGGTGGTAGATAGGTGTTGGGAAGGACGGATACCTTGGCGATTAATTCGGCCATGGACATTTCGATGTTGAGTTTAACGATGTAGGCGAGGGGATGGAATTGCATGTATCTGATTATGGTGTTAGTTTTTAATCTGTACGAGAGATTACAAGATAAAGGGGAAAGAGACAAAAGATGCAGGATATTTGAGGACTGGGGTGACTTACACAAAAGAATTTTTCAAACTCATCATTCCGATAATTAACGCATCCATACTCAAGGAAAAAACCACCAGTACAGCATTAAACTTAATCAAGGTCTTGTATTTTTGCAAGCCATTGCCCACAAGCTTGCTGTACACCGTTTTCATAAAATAGAGGTTTAATAGTGCATCCACCAAAAGATAAATGCTTTTCTCGCATCGATCCCAGACGTCATTGATGCGAATAAATCTTTCTGAAATTTGTAGTCTGGCCGGAATCCAGATGCAGTAAACGGAAATGTTGATCATTGTGATGATCACTGCGACGGCAATTTTAAGATGAAGTGCTTTCTTTTTGACGGTGAAGAGAATGCTGATTCGATTTACTATAATCTGGAGGAGAAATTGAACCTGTAAAGCCCAGAGAGTGAGGATGCAGAAAAAGAATGCGAAACTGTATTGTTTTAGAGGGTGATAAATAGGTTGATCGAATGCTGGAATATATACCTTGGGGGAATAGTTTCAGCATCATACAAATGAAGCCAGCAGATGATTGCAAACGCCAAACACACAGCGAGTTCGGACCATATCATTACCACGTAGGGTGTATGCACTCGAGTGATTCCATAACGTTGTCGAACGCGTCTTGTTTGCTTATATGCCGTCCATGCTGTTAACCATCCAAAACCAAGAGTCCATCCAAAAGCAATCGATGCGATGGCTAGGTCAGCGCTCGTCGTAGGTTGGGCCACATAATTTGAAGACAGTAATGTGAGCATGATAATGATTGATGTCGTGAAGCCTTCACCGAAGCTGGATCATCTCTGGGTGGGGCTCAATGCAATAATGAAATCGAATGAACGCCTAGAACGAGGAAATAATGGAGAAACCACAGGAAATAATGAAAGTAATATAATAGGATTTATCTCAGGGTAACGGACGTTGATACAAGGTCTAAGACTACTTTGTATATAGTTCTTGAATCGAAGTGGAAGTTTCTTTGAGATCGATTCAGGAACCAGATGTCAAAAGAGATCAGCTAAAACTCTATGGCAATCAGTAATCACATAGTGTTTGGTTTCTGGGTGCATGCCATACCTGTGAAGATTTTTATGAAACAGGGGTCAGGATGAGGCGACGCTCTGGGCCTTGATTTAGAGTTCACCTCAAGGAATATCCAGATCTCTGGGATTTGAACTCTTTTCATTATTACACTTCTGCCATCCCGGTGCCATGCAAACTTTCGTTTCCATTGTATTGGGTAGCCCCCCTTTTTTTTGGGTAGGGATTTCCCCGAAGGCAGATCCCCCGGGAACTTTGACAGGGAATTTTGAGTACATGTCCACTTGAATCTTAGAATATCATATACCAATTGAAGATTCGTTCATCTGCAAGACAGGCTATCCCAAAAGTCAATACTTTGAATTCCTTCCCGACTACCCATGTGGCGTTGATCGTCGAGTATCTTGACCATCATGGACCGTTTTATGTAAAGAACCACTTTGACATATTTCAATCATTTCCTCGGGGGAACTGATTATCACTTCGTAATCTCTTAAATATTGATTGATTCCGATTCTTTATTTTCCATTACCGACAAGCGAGCTGGTTCCAAACAAGGCTGAATGACCTTCCGAGAGGTTCTAGGAACAATCTCTTGCAAGTTACATGTTTCAATGTTGACGTGCTAAGGGAAGTTGTAAATTGAACGGGCAGTTCTCGTATAATTCAAGGATGTTTGCTTGCTCGCATTGATAATGGCCTAGCGTATGTGTCGGAGAAATTTTCTAGCTTGCCAAGAGATCAGACTTTGGGCAGAAAGTGGGTTGGTAAACGCCATGACCTTCAAGTCCACATACTGAAGAATGGAGATCTAATACTCGATTCTTGAACAATATCGAAATATCGATGAAAAATTCTTTACCTCCACTCTACTCAGCCATAAGCATAACCGGGGAATGGGATTAACATTGAGCATGGATCGGGTGAAGGCCAATCATATGTGAAGATCCCAACAAGACTTTCAATTGGGTCAATCCAATAAAGTATAATTTTTTAGTAAGTACAGGCATGATGCTACTTGTGAAATCATGCGGAGGTTAACCAGTGTTCCAAGATCACACACGTAGATTTCAAAGCAGCGTCTCAACTATACCTAATGCCTTCGGTGGCAATCTATCGCGTGTTGGCCGAATGGATAAAAATTTCATTCTCACATTTCAATTGAGCCCTCTTTGCTCCTCACTCACCAGTGCACACGAACACGTTCAGACGGATCCATACCTCTCCTTTCATAGGATGAAGAGCTGCCAAAAACCATCGCGATAAGTATCTTTTTTGGTAACACAAAAAGTGTATGGATTGTGAAGCAGCACTTCAACCTTGTTACCTGCTGTCGCTCTATATATTCACGGACAATCAAATTGAGCGAGATGTTTGCCATTCCTCGGTATTCCCTTGAGCCAATAATAACCAAGAGCCGAATTAGAAGCGGAGCTAGCCAGTAAATCAGAATAGCTGAAGTGGTCCAGCCGCCCCAGAGACGCTACGGACGGCTCGCAACGTGGACTCCACACTTTTCCAAGGCACTTCAAATTCTAATATATTTTATATAAACAGACCTTGCGCCAAGCATTTTGATATTTGGTGGCACCGTTCACCGAGTATTCATTGTGAGGTAAATTGCCAGCTGAATACCGAGAGGAAGCTCGGAGCATAATTTTTAATCTTAAAGTCTTGCATTACACGAGCCGAGATGCTGGATATCGATTTTGACATGTCCTGTAGCTCAACCTTAATTATAAGGTTCGCCAGTTGATCATGTCTCGTGTAACCGATATCCCTGCATCTTGCACAACCCTGTATCTTGCACAATTTGATTTGTTAAATTAAAAATCGATATTAAATTCAAATATTATTATAATGATTTTAAAATTTGTATAATAGGATCTTATATTTATTGGAAAATAATATTAGGAATTTGAAAGATTTGAAATATTCAATTAAATATTAATTGATTTTGAATAACAATATTTTAAAATATTAATAACAAAATAAAGCCTATATTAAAGTGAATTATATAATTAAAAATGGTTTTTTGTATTTTTTTATTTTATTATTATTAATTAAAAGTTTGAAATTTCGAAAAATATTAATAATCAAGTTTTATACTAGTTTTTAAATTTTTATATAATTTAAAAAAAAGAAAAATAATTTAAAAATACTTTTTAAAATATTATGAAATATTTATTTCGAGATTTTAAAAAATGAAATTGATATTTTAATTTAATTTATAAAACTTTATTTTTATATATTAGAAAAGATATAATATAATAATAATAAATAATAATAAATAATATTAAAATAATATATTATTTAGAAATTATAATTAATTATATTATAGAATAATATAAATAAGAAAAAATAATAATTAAATAATTCATTCTTATATTCAATTTAAAAGTTTACTATACATTTTTTTTAATCAAAAATATTGTAATTCCTTTTTTAAAAGAATTTTATTTCTAAAAAAGTCTTTAAATTTTATAATATTTCTAAGAAATTTATAATTTATATTCAATTTCAAATTCATTATATAATATTTAATACTAATTATTAATTATTAATTTGAAATTTAAATTTAATTCAAGATTTTCTTTCAAAAAATATTTGAATAAAAATTCTTTATTATTGATTATATAATTGTAATTTTTAAATATTAATATTTTTAAAATAAATTATTATATATATAAATATATAATAAAACAGATGTATTTTATTATTTGATTATTAATCTTAATATATAAATAATATATTATATAATTAAATTATATTCAAAATATTATTAATACTTAAATTATAAAAGATTTTTGTTTTAAAACAAATTATTTATTAAAACTCTTATTATATATTAATATAATTTCAAATTTTTGATATAAAACTTAGCTTTTTTGATTTCTTATATTAAAAGATCTTCAAATTTATAGAATATATTCTAAAAACAAACTTTTATTATTTCTATTATTAAATAAATTAATATATAATAATTTTATATTAATAGTTTTGATATCGAGATTTCTATTCAATTATCAATTATAATTATAATTTTATTATTTTATATAAAAAAAAATATTATAATATTCTTATTTTAATTTTTAATAGAATTTAATAATTGATTAATTATATATCATTTTTAGAATATTATTTTCAAAAGAAATAAAAGTGTGCAAGATGCAGGGTTGTGCAAGATGTAGTGATATCGGTTATACGGCGTAGCCAGTCAAAAGTTGAAGCGAGATTTATTATGAATTGGGGTATCCTGGGTAACATTTTTGCATACAACGTAGGTTTTCGTCAACCATGACATATACGAATTCTGCATGGAATTTTTCTAGGCAATGCTACAATGTCGATGCTAAACTACTCGCCACTGTAAGGATGAACGACTCGAAATGGCTTAGGCTCGGAGTACTCTATAAAGTCTAGACTCCGCGACGTACGAAAGCACATTTTGCAACCTAAGAGTTAGATTTCTTTTTTTTTTCCGTTGTATTCGTAAGAAAGATTAACAGATGATTAACGCAGCGCTTGATTGGTTTATGTGTAATGGGAATTGCGACTTTTCTCGGCTTTTAGGATGCAAATGTCGAAATCCGTTCACGGTATTGAATCTCATTCTCTTGCGGAACTTCGAGACATTCCACATTGCTCAAATCGAATATGGATTGGGATTTGTAGTGAGCACTTGTGAAAGCGTTCTGTTATATTACTTAGTGCACACTGTACTAGAACTTGGAACCGCAATCATCTCTTCGTCTATACCTTCATCGTTCCAAAGTCAAATTTCGATCAGTGCAACTGGAGATTAATTATCCCGTTTCTTTGACTGCATGCCTATCTACACTAACCTCCACTTTTGACATGGGAAGATGTAAGTGGTTTATAGCAGAATTCACTTGAATACTATGTCACTCTGCCACTTTCCCTGTGCCGTTTCCATATCCCAGATTTATCGTACGTTGAGCCGAGATTGTTGTGTTTTATTCATCTTTATTGATCCCATTACTCCAAACGTAGAACATCTCAGTCTACTCACACCTGTCGATTTCATCCGAGATAATTGTGTGAGACTCTGTTGATATGTATATGTGTATGACCGAAGTATCCGTGATCTTATTACAGCCGTAGATATGGCTCATGCCATGTAACCTTTCACCAGACCAGTCTGTTCTTCCCAAATCTAGTCATCAATGGGAAATAAAATGTAGAGGAAAACACATCCACATTCAATACTCCAACACCCCTCTCGATCAAGATTCCTGAAACATAATCTCTCAAAGCTGCAGGCCAAGAAGGAGTATCCCAGTATCTAGCTTTCAAACCCTTCTCGTTTGCTACGCTAACTTGTTCCCTAATCTTATCCAGCTGTGTTGAACTGAACTTCCACAACCACAGTCTGCCGATGGCTTTTGACATCGAAACACTAGCATAGTAAGAGTTCGTGTTATCGTAGAGAGAATTTTCAATATCCTTTAACGGAGCATCGAAGAATATATCGCGATAGGTGGTATTGGAGATTAGAAGGTCAAAAGGAGCGTTTCCGGAAGCGACAACTATAATTGGGGCCCAAGTGACGCCACTCGAGTGATTCCAGTGGGTAAGCCAATTCTTGGCTCGGAGTTTCTCAAGCTGTCGATTTACATATGGCCAAATATCACTACCATCGGATTTGAAATCCAGAAAGAGTGTAACAGTAGTGTTTGGACTGGATTGAAAGATG